GGTGGCTGAGCGGGTGGTATCCTCGCGCTACGGGAGAAAAGAGTCACGCAAACGATTATTTCAAGAGAGACACAACGAAGTCCACTCAGTGCCCAAGACGTATTACTGTCCCTTCCCATGAGTTCATCAATTAGCCTCTTAGCATAGATAACGTTGATTTAATGAAGCGTTTCTTTAAGCAGAATATTACTTCCCTTTTCCCAAATTAATGAGGCCGTTAATTGTCCCAATTTGCGCGTGAAAGCCCAGCATTAAGATTTGGTCTTTTCTCAGTCGAAGCACCTCCGTAGCTCCGGGTGAGTGAGGATAATTACAGACTGGCTGCTCCCAACATCAAGAGGTTCACCGTTCCTGGTGAACGACTCTGTGGAAAAACATGGAAATGCTGTATTTTTAGGAGACTACAAAGTCTTTCATTAAAACACTGCAGGGGAAACGATGAACAGTAACTTACTATTGCACAAAGATCACTTGGGCTCACTTGGGTGGTGAGGTAGAGGATTCGTAGTGTCACTGTAGAGTTACAGCTGCCTTTAACTGTAGTTAACCCCATGCAACCCACTTTTCATTGAATTATCACTCGCAATGAAATCACTAGAAACACATGTTGGGTTTAAAAATTGACAAAGAATTATAGGCCTAGAATAATTACAATTCAAAACTAATGCTACTGCCCTTAACAAAGATCCAAATCTATGAACTTTTGCTTCTTAGAAGTGTAACTAGAGATTATGAGATTGTTAATCTTTGTCATGCATCAAGGGTCCAAATTTGCCAAGAAAATAATTACCTTAATAATAAACAATAGAAAAATTTTTGTTACAGCTGCCTTTAACTGTAGTTAACCCCATGCAACCCACCTTTCATTGAATTACTACATGCAATGAAATCACTAGAAACACAGTTTGGGTTTCCAAATGACATAGAATTATAGGTCTATGTGATGTAAGAATTCAAAACTTATGCAACCGCCCTTGTCAAAGATCCAAATTTATGAACTTTCGCTAACTAGAGATTGTGAGATTGTTAATCTTTGTCATGCATCAAGGGTCCAAATTTGCCAAGAAAACAATTATAATAAGACAATAGAAAAAGCCTTGCTAACATGGAAATAATAAGGCTCATCCATGCACATAAAGTGAATTCAAAGAACTTGCAGGCCAGCTGAGCAAGAAGTTATGAATGCAAACTACAGTTAGTCAATAATTAATCAACAGTATTTGTGTGACTACTACCACATTACCATTTCTTATTAAAAGATCTCACCAGGGTTTTTGCGCACAGACCCATTCAGTAATTGTAATTGTGGCCCAAATGTGTTTTTATGGTTGTATTGCAGATGTAAAAAGGTGTAGTGGTACCTTTAACAGGTGGACAAAGAAACAGAGACACAACACGCCACTCCAAAGCCTCAGAAATAGAGCAGAATTAATTATAGATTGCTTGGGGCCATGGTTCCCCGACAGTGGTTCCCCAGGGAAGAAAGAGGAGGTTTTATTAAGGCGTCCTGTGAAATGAGGACTGCTTTAATTTCACTATTAGGCCTGCTTCATTTACTTGAAATTAGAGCAATGAGACCAAATTATAGGCACTATTCCCATCCTCTCTTTCTATTCACAGGAGAAATGGAACGGTTTCACAATACTTTTTTAAGCAAACACCTGAGTTTAAGAACATTATTTCTCACCTTCTGGTGTGACAACTCGCTTGACAGTAAATGACTTTGGCTTTGTTTTCTCATACCCATTTGCTACCCACAACACACAGTTTGCCTTTTAGACTAGCAGGTGGTTGTGTTACTGTCTGACCTGAAAAAGGAAACAGGAAAACATTTTAGGCTAAATTTGGTTACAGGTTTCAGAGCTGGTTTCAAGCTGAGATACCTTTCACAGGTGGTTAAATGTCTGTGTTAAATATAAGCAGTTTCAAAAGTTAATTTAACTTTTCTTATTTGAGTGATTTGAAGGTTCATAGGTCTTTTGTATGGCTCTACAATGCAAAGTTAACAACTGTTAAAAATTTGAGGAAAATAAGTAGTTTTAAAAGTATGAAGCCTTTTTTTCTGTTAATCACTTTGCTGCCATTGTTCAAAATTCTACTTGTATCTCAGTGAGGTAGACTTAAAATCTTGTTTTTCATGCGTTATTTAATTTTTGACATTATGTGTATTACTTGAACAGAGATTTATTCATTATTCAATTTGAAACAGTTTAAAGGGGAGATTTTTAATAACACTACAAGTTTTACAACTATTCAGCCTAGGCCTACTGCAGGTAGGCGACTTTTCCCATCACCACTTGGCAACTGCTAAACATGACAAAGACAAAGTTTATAGTGTTTGGAAAGAGACCAATTCAACCAAATACAGAGGTTGAAGTGAGTATTGATAATGCTAAGATAGAAAGGGTGTATGAGTGTACTTTTTTAGGGATGAAAATTGACCCCCCAATAAACTATGTTAGGTCGAAGTTGGCTGGGAGTATTGGCTTTTTGGATAAGACAAGACACATATTGAACCATAAAACATTATACTTATTATACAATATGCTTATATTACCATATCTGACTTATTGCATAGAAGTCTGGGGAATACAAGATGAATTTACAACCTATACAAATTATGCAAAAGAGAGCATTAAGGATTGTTAACAATGTAGGATTCTTCCATCGTACTAATGAACTGTTTATAAAATTAAGAGTATCAAAATTTGCTGATCTAGTTGAATTTAGAACTGCACAGACAAATGTATCAAGCAAGTAACAATCTACTCCCTAGTAAGATACAGAAAATGTTTCGTGGAAAAGAGGGAAGGTGTGTACTCAGAGGGGAATGTAATTTAAAACAACCAGGCGTTTGTACCAGACTTAAAAGCATGTGTCTTTCTGTTGTGGGGGTGAAGCTGTGGAACAGCTTGCCCAATGATCTTAAACAAAGTAAAACTATGGCACAGTTTAAAAATAAAGCAGAGTATGATTGAAAATACATACAAAAGTGATTTTCATTTTGCTACACTTATCATATTGTATATGGGTATGGTATAGTTTATATTTGTGTGTATAGGCGTGTTTAAAGGTATGGGTGTATATATGTACATATAAGGTCTTTGTTTTGGTATTAGTTACATATTCATGTTAGACTTTGGAGCTTTGGTTTCTTTTTGGCAACATCAGAAATTCCAAAGACATGTAAAGGGTTAACGAATAGGAAGGAATGAGGGTTCGAACTCCAAAAACTAGGGGATTTCTTGTCTAAAATTGTACTGTCTGTATATTTGATCGAACAATCTCACCATCAAATAGTTAGCATCTTCCCTTTTGAACCTGTGGCCTACAGTAGCCTTAGAGCTGGTAACTCTTGAATTGACAGTCATGATGTCTCCCCCTCCTCCCTGTCTGTGGTGGGACACATCAGTCTCTCTTGCAGCAGGTCACTAAAGTTGACCTTAGAAATGTCCCTCACACCTCCTCAGCCTCCACTGCCACTCCCCCGCTCGCGCCCGCACCAGATGGGAAGTGTGCGGAATTTTTAAAGCCCGCGCGCAGGTCTGCAGGCTGTTGCGCTGGTCGAGGGGCTGAAGGAATGAAATATTCATGTGGGCCAAAAATGAATGGACACCCCGGGACGGAGAACGTGCCGATTTATTCAACTACCACCAGGCCTCATTAAACTGCTGGCGGTGAGGCAGGTCACGGTGATTTTCTTTACCAGCGCGCGACCATTGACTGTTACACACATAAATACCCACGCGGGGGATGGAGAAGGGGTTGTCCACTGAATGCCAAATTTGTCCAAACCACCATCCTAGCTTAGAAACCCCTGGCTCTCCCTCCGGACAGGTCTGATATGCTGCTACAGAGTCTCCTCTCGCGTAATTGATGACCTAATGAGTGATTAGGTCTCGTGTCAGAGCACTGAGTGTCAGCGTGGAGGCTGAGTTGTCGCTGCGCGCGGCATATGGGAGACGTGGGTGACACTGGTTGTGACAGAGGTGTGTGAGTGAGGTGCCAGGGGACAACAGCTGATAGGCACAGGGAGCACGTGACTAATCAAAATAAAGCTAATTACCCATACAGGAATGAGCCTTACTTTATGTTCACATTAAAATCCAAAAAATCACAACATGTGTAAACTAATGGAACTTTTGCAGCTTATAGGCCTATGTCTTATAACCTACATGTTTGGACCCCCATCTGTCATTAAATGATTTATAAATCCCCTGCAGACATCTTATCGGTTATCATAGCTCTAGTATAGACAGGTGTGTCCCAGAACTTGCCTTCCACCTGTTCGTTTTATTATTCCTCTGCAAATAATCCGCAAAAGATTGTCCACCTTTTTATTGTTTGTTTGAGAACAAACCTCGATGCTGCCAGATCACCCAAGAGACAGACCCAATGAACGAGTCAGTTCCTTTGGCCATGAGAAAGATGTCTGAGTTATTTTTCCATGAGCTGAAGATGATCAGGGCGGTGATAAAGCCTTTGGTGTTTTCTCTTTAGAAAGCACCATATCACACATTTTTACAGTTAAGAATTAATGTTAATCCCTTTAACTGCTTTTTCACAACAATGAGATTAAAAGACAACACTAATACTCACATTTAGAGATCAGAAAGTACTGAAGGTCTGCGTATTTAAACATTCATGAGCAGTTAAGACACCAACACTTTGTTGATTTCTTTCTTTAAAACTTTAACAAAGGGGCCAGCAGACAGGCAGCCCAAACTTCACGAAATGGGTTCATCAGATCCAGTTTTCCAACGCTTTAAAAATCTATAGGCCACGCTCTTAAATGATTAATTCCGTCCCCCCTCTTGTGTGGGGATAATAACAAGGCCGTGATTGAGTTACAATGCACAAAAGAAGAAGAAAAGTCAGCTTTGTCTAATTGTTCCTTGACAGGGACAGAGGGGGAGTGCGATTGGCTGCTGCCTCCCGAGGCTGTCAGATCTGTTTGGGAGTGACATCAAGGTGACTGAGGGGAGGCCGTGGCTTATAAAATGCTAGAGCACTCCCAACCTCTCCGGAGAGCATCAGTAAGTCCTCACTGTGACCTTTCTCTGCCGCGCACAACTACAGGCCAGGCCATCACAAAGATGACTGCAAAAGCAGAGCTCTCAAACTGGCCGGAGTACCCGGAGGAGTTTAACCTGCTACAGCAACGGAATTTGACCCAAATCAACCCCAAAACTTGGATTTCTTCTCCTTCTCTCCATGCGTTCTCCAGGACGCACGGAGCCGTAGACGCAGCCGTGTCCTTGGAGAAACTTACGCCAATGCATAAACTTCCTGAGTGTATATCTGTGCCTGGCATGTCAGAGACAGACTCCAACAAAGCAACGGGAGGAAAGGTGAGCCCCTTCGGTCCCCAGAAACACCGGCGAGTCGCAGCTAATGCCCGGGAAAGGAGGAGGATGCACGGCCTGAACAAAGCGTTTGACGAGCTGAGGAGCGTTATCCCTTCACTGGAAAACGAAAGAAAGTTGTCCAAGTATGACACCCTGCAAATGGCGCAGATTTACATCACTGAACTGTCTGAGCTCCTGGCCGGTGTGGTTCACCCAGAGTGCAGAAGTCCAGGATCAGCAGAGAAACCCCCCAGAAGGAGCCTGATCCACTCCATCCTACCATCAACAGGACAGCCGCCGAATCAAGTGAGCGGAGAGCAGCGAGACCCCTGCGCTTCAATCGGCCACCTTTTGATACTGGGACCTACACCTGACATGGCATCAGATAAATCAACGAGCTCCTCTACCAGCAGTGATGGAGAATCTTCACACCTCAGTGACTTGGAGGAGAGTCAGAGCAGTAGACAGTGACAGAGAAACGTCTCTTACATTGTATACTGAGGTGTCTGTCGTCTGTCAGACAGAACCAGGGGGACCAGCTTTTACAGCCTGTGAGAAAAAAAAGATCCTGTTTTGTAGTCATGCATTGTCTGCTGTCCTTTTAATAGCTTAGATGTTGCACTGCCAAATTTCAGGAAAAACAAAAAAAACATGTGAAACTCAAAAAATGTATTACTTTCCAAGGCCTGATCAACTCCAAGAGGCCTTTTATGCACTTTATGGCGTAAACATCACTGACTGAGGACATTACCAATGTTAATAGTAACATTAGTCTAAATTAAAAGCAGTTATTTTCATATTTATGTATAGATATTTTATGAGGATTGTTTTGCTACAATAAAGATATTTTTGAAAAATGAGTTGTTTTGGATGTTTTTCTTGAATTTTTTTTTTTAAATCTCTATCTGCCGCAAAACGACTTTAAGAAGCAACTACTCTCTCTGCTGCAGAAAGGGATGACAACACATAAAGTAGACCATGGGGCTTGCAACAAAGGTGTAATATATTTCTCACAGAAACTAAGAGAGAAGCTATTTTTCCGAGTCATTTTCATGATGAATCATCTTAACACAGAGAGTCTAATTTAGGCAGCCAAATAGTGGTGATGTGGCATTGAATAAGCAATTTATATGAAGCTTTTTAAACATTTCAGTGTGAAGGAAAGCACTTGTCAAATACTCTTTCTGCAACAATAAGTCACAGGATAAAATGCACATAGGCTGCACATAAAGGCAACAGCACCATGGTGTAGACACACTTGGAAACTAGTCATGCACTCATACTTGGTTTTTAAGCACAAAGATGAACACAACTTGTGTTAAGTAAAGCATTCATTTTGCAGAGTGAAAAACCTCCAGAATATAAACAAAGCAATACAATGATGTTATACTACAAGGAAAGTGATGCAAGAGCATGCAAACATTTATATGATACTGCAGCCAATAAAGGTGGAGCTAATTTGGGGAAGTCAAGTCTAAGACAAGATGTATTTAACTATATAGCAGTAACAATATAACTGCAGAGAGGCAAAAACTTAGAAAATAAAACATGAGTAATTTCATAAAACCTAAAAAGAGACAAAAGCAATAATTGTGCTTGGTTGGATTCCACCACTGCAGGAAAACACCCTAAAACCTGCAAGCCAAGATCTGCTGCCTAATGCCCCCAGTGATAGGGGTTTTAAAGAAATAAACTAGTTAAGCTTTCATACAGTTTATCATAGTTAAAACTACTCCCTCTGGGCTGCCTGCGAAGTAATAGTCTATTGAGAAAATGTGAGGCTGCCCGCCCCGGGGGGAAGTGGGGGCTGGAACTTTGCCAGGTCCTTGGAAATGATTTCTGCCAGCCTGTGTTTAAAGCTGCCGGGAGCCTCTGTGGGAGCCGGGCGACTGGAGGAGCCGGTGGCCTCCTCTTCCTCCTTCATGTCATCCACTGGCTGATCTTGTGTATTGTTGTCTGGCTGGAAGTTCACAGGGGACTGACGCTGATATCGGGGCCGAGGGAGGATGAAGGGAGCGGTCTGGGGAGGAGGGCAAGGAGGAGGGCAAGGAGGAGGGCAGAGAGCCAGTGGGGGGACAGGCTGAGGGAGGAGTGAGGAGAAGGGCAGTCTGGGATTTAAAGGAGACTGGATAACTTTTACCTCAGAATAGATGCACTCTGGATCTTCAATCCCAGGTTTGATCTGTTCTCTCGGGATCAAGGGCGGCGTTGCTCTGCTAAAATTGCAATAAAGATTCTCCTCCATGACATCATTTAGCTGTAAAGACTCCAGGGAGTGACAGCGCTCATCATCATCATCATCCCCCACAGACTCCTTGCTGTTATAGAAAAAAGGCTTGAGAAGAGATAGCTGCTTGAGTTTTGGTACAGAGGTGTCATTAATCGTAGCATAATGGTCTGTAGACTTGTCCTCTTTGTCGGCAAAATAATCTGCAGGACTTTGGACAGGAGAACCGAACGGTGGGATGGTTTTAGTGGGGAGGATAACAGGACACTGGTCAGATAGTGATCTTCTGTGGACGGCCAGTTGCTGAGCAGAGGGCGTCTTCTCCGCGGTGCACTGTTTTAGTATAGCCTGGAAAATCTGGGGGCCGTGCCTGGACAGGAAGATGAACACTCCTTCACCTGAGTCACAGCGACGGCCAGCCTCAATGCTGAACCCACCCTGCAATAACATCAGATTTTACATTTTACTAAAGGGAAATGGTGGCCAAACTATAAGCACCCATAAAGAATACCAATATGATTAAACAATATCACACAAGGGACTGTGCTGTTATACCCAATATTAACCCTTGCATGATTTCAAGATAATCTCAGCTGTGCAGCTTTTCAGTGCAAAGGCTCAACCCTGAGTGTGATATTGATTTATCTTAATTGTGAGTGAGTCTAGACTGCAGACAAAAAATCACCCTCAGATATTTTCCAACCCTCTTTCCCCTCTGTATGTCTTCCAGTTACACATAAATACTGTATTTAATTATTTGCAGAAATTATTTGCATTTGTATCCATAAGTATGCTGTAAAGTTTTCTACTTTCTGGTCAACCACTGATAGCCATTACTTAAGTGATAAAAAGTTTATTAACAATATATTTTTACACCTGGAGCAAACTAGTACATGCAGGCTAGTATGAAGTCCCAGGGCTAAATTAGTAATAGAAAGCCTCATGTCCACAAAAGGGACTTAATGAAGAGGAAATATCATAAAGAATGTTATTTCTTCTGTAATTATTAAGTAAAAAGTAAAAAATAAAGATAAAGAAATAAACTGTAAATATATAATATGATATAATATGTTTTGCTACATAAATCTCATATTAGCATCGACAAAAACACTGTAAACAGCTTAAATAGCCGTCCTGGCACATGCCTTGAAGTCTGTAAACCACAATGTGTCATTTTTACAGCTCAATTCAAGAGACAAAACAAATGAGGTGTGATGTGCTTATGAGTGAGTGTTAGAAATGCCTGCAAGCCATGAAAACCACTTAACTATGGTTTATGAACAGCTCAGATCAAAAAGTGGCCAAGGCAGGTCACAAAGTGGGCGGACTGTATTCCCATAGATGGTATATACCTGTAGCTCTGCAACACACCAGAGTGGTTATGCTATAAAGCTAGTACTTCAGTGTCGGATGCCAGTGTTCTGCTACAGTTTAGAGACAATTTTGTTTCCCTTTATAAAATACCTTACCTCAACCTGTCCAAATTTCCGTAGGAATGTGTATGGCCAGCGATAGATGATGTGACCAGAACTCATGGACAGCAGAGACACAGCCTCTTTTTCTGGGGATACCACATACATCCCCTTCAGCTGACACCTCCTGGACGCCTCTGTGCTCTGTATGGTCACTTGGTACTGATTTGGAAGAAGGGTCACATCTAAACATGAGAGACAAGGCGACATTTCCATATGACACAGCTTTGTGACATTACAGCGCAGTATCTAACCATGAAACACACAAGGTTTGCTTTATAAGGCAATGCAGCAGCAGAGAGACTAACTCTACAGCAAATGCATTACCATGCAGGAAAGGGCTGGTTTGAAATTGCTTGTATTGAACTAATCTCCCCACGTGACTGACTGGCTGGATTGTTCAGCCGGAGTGTAATCCATTAGGAAATAAAAGGAAAAAAAAATGTGTAAGCCACAGCTTGCTGACGCTAATATATTCTGTCATTCCTGTTTGAATAAATTAGTGGCTTTGGTTGCTGCTCCCACATATTCATTTTCTGCTGATGTCTTTAGTTTATGATACAATGAATTTGTCTCTCTCTGCAAGAGTTTTCCTGGTCTTTATTGAAAGGTGTTCCCAAAGTAACACAGTTAGAGCTGTGGGTTTTTCTCTGCTCTGTTTGTCTCTTTCCTCCGTCAATTGTCTCTCTAGTCCTTCAGGTGATACTGTCAACAGGGTACACCTGGTTAGGGTTAGGGGGCTAGGGTGTCCCTTGCCTTCGCCTGAAGATGCTGGGATAGGCTCCAGCCCCCCCACGACCCCGGGAACGGGAATAAGCGGTAGAAAATGAAAATGAAAAGATAACCAATGAAGATACAAGGAAGTGTACGCTTACAAATATTGCATAATAAATCATGCGTTTATGTATCTAATATGAGCTTTGTTGTTTTAGGAACATTATGAACAGTGAACATACCAGTTTAAACACAAATAAAAGTTAATAAAAGACACGTAACAGTAAAAGTTTTGGTGTGAATCACAATATAAGGGGGGACATGAGCTGCTTGGCGGAGGTCTGCCCTCTCTGAGTGCTTTTCTAGTTTTATTTGTATTTGGTGTGAACACAACCTAAGACAGACATTTTGTCCTTTTCTTTGTTAGTATGATCGATGTTTTTGGTCCTTGTTGACTGATATGGTTCCTTTGTGTGTGTTAAATATTAAGTGGATTTAAAAAGTAGGTTGTTTTTGGATAGTTTTCAACACCATACAGCCCCCTTTTTGGATGGGGTGTACCATATATTATTAAATGACAGGCCGATGACAAAACAAGAAAAATGGCTTCCGTTCGATCTGCCTTAAAACTCCACAGATGGATCTCAGTACTGATCACTAACTGGCCGATCAGCTGTCCGCCCACAGACTGACAAACATTACCTGCTTTCCAAGACGAGTAGAGGTCATTGTCCTCCATAGTATAACCATTCTCTTTCTCGAAACCCCCTTTGTCTGATTCTCCAGGATCCTTCTGTAAACACAGTGGCACAGTAAACATCACATGGAGTGTACACTAGCCTCTTATCTTCTTTTACGACCTTGCAGAGCTAAGATGCAAGAAACAGAATTGCTTGTGCAAGCACAAGAATTAGAGAAGTGAAGTGGCAGAAGTTACAGATACTACACCCACTTCCTCATAGTGCTATCTGTCCCTGATTGTGGGTAAGGTTAGCCCCCAACTTTCCCAAACGATAACACCACTGTTATCGATAAGAGAAGAAAAGTGCAAAAACAAAAGTGGGGTGTGATACCTGAAAGGCCAGAAGACAGAGGGCACTCAGCCAGTCCTCGCTTGTAGTGGAGGCCAAGGTGTAGGTGCTTTGAGTGGTGTTTAAGTAAAAAGCTGTGCAGCCACGAGGGCAAGATTCCTTTGGTGCAGGGGTCACGCTGAGGAAGTCACTTAAACGCACCACCTTTCTCTCAGGTGTTCTCTGCCAACTGCTCTTCTTCTGATCAGCAACAGGACTGTTGTCCACCACTGTATGAAGCTCTAAGCGTCCAACCCCTGTGGAGCTGGGTTTAAAAAGCATCATCCATATTTTCCTCCATGTTCTCTATTATAGGTGAAAGGAGGGAGACATGAAGACAGTACTGTTAGTAAATAGATTGCGTGACATGCTTCCTTTGTGTTGGTACTGGTAAACCTCGTGTTACAACATCATTATCATCTTTATTATCAAGAATGTCATCTTTCTCAAATGTTACACAAATGACTGTTTAATCAACATGTCTGCTTCACACGATCTAAGCCCTTTTGGCAAAGCTTAACATTAAATTCAGTGATTAGGTCTGTCAAATATTCATACAGCTATGAGAAAAAAGCGGGTAATGGTTGAAGAGGACCAGCCAATACTTGTACATCGAAAAACAACATTGCTGGTTTAAGATCAGGAAATGCAAAAAATACATCTAACAGCCTGCAGGTCAGTCATCCTATTTTCTCAAAAACAAAAAAAACACATCTTGATTATCAAACTCAACTTTTCACAACAGGAATAAATGAATTGCAATAATATGTTGCCTGCAGGTTATAGAGTTGAATTCAACCCTTACGACCCCCCCACCCCCCCACCCCCACTCCAACCCCGATGTGATCTCTCTCTCTCTCATGGAACACAGATGTGAAACGCCACATAAATCCAAGTTTTTAAGTTTATTTCATTATAAAATATTTATTTTCTTGATTCAAAGTCCTGAGAATCGGTTGTGCCTAAAAACAGACATTTCAAAGGTTTCTTTGGGTGATTGATTACTGTGCTTAAATCTTGATATGCCGTTGCTTTTATATCCAGTTTTCTTTAAGTTTAGGTTCAACAAGTTTCTATTGGTTCTCTTTCTTTAGTTAAGGACCTAATCGCTTGTCAACCACTAAACTAGCAGCTTAGTCTCAGTGAAACCTAATGAGTTAAAATAGAGCTTCTTATTTATGATTAGGCCTTACATATGCAGCAGGGTTACATTGAGGATGAAAAAGCATGACTGCAGCAGTAGTTAAAATAACTAATGTTGCTATTTGTGTGTCGTTTGAGACTTCATTTAGGAGAATAATCCTAATTTTTACCTTTAATTCCTTGTTGTCATGTTTATTTTCAGACTCAAATTTAAGGAAATCGATTTAAAGGGAATGAAAAACTGTTAATAATGCAGTATCATGCTGATTTCACATAGCTGGATTTTGTACGGTTGCTTTACTTTGCAGAGATGCCAAAACTACTGAGCTGTTAAGACATTTAGGCAGAGAAAGATTTAATAGCTTGATAAATGTGATGTAAGGTCTGGAATGACATGTTTTCTAAATTTTGAAAGACTTCGTTCTGTTGTCAAGAGCAGAGGTGACAGCTGTCCTATAAAGTGAGAGGTTGAAACACTTCAGCATTTCATTTTCTCTTTCTTTAGTTGTAAGAAACTACTTTATCACGGTGTTGCTTTTTTCAGCTGTCACTGAAGCAGACATTGCTAAATACTTTGTATATCAAGTGATATGAGCTGATGAAGTAAAGTTTCAAAAAGACTTACTTTTCCAAATTTGACCCCTTGAAGGAAGAGCATCCCCTCTTTAAAGATCACCTCCATACCTCTCTGCTCTTTCTGCGAGTCTTGAAGCGCAGCACTTACTGCCCTGTGGTGCCACACGATGGGTTAAAGTTAGGTTTTCTATACCACAAGAGCAAATGTTTCCTTGACGTCATCAGCAGCCCTCATGCTGTTGTCCACCTTCGTTCTTCTGTGTTGCAAAAGAAAGCACACTCATGTTGTGTGGCTCTTTTCTTGAGTCAAACTTCCCTTTGCATATGATGCTAGATTTTGCAACATCCTCGCTGTACAGAAACCAGCACCACACCTTGTTAGGAGGAGCATCAGACATCACAGCAGATATAGTGGTTTTATTTACAATTAGGCTATCAAAGAGTATCTTACAAAGGTGAAACATGACTGCAGCTGAAGCATTTCAGGAAGTAGGTAGAAAAGGTTTAAAAAAAAAAAAAAGATCTGACAGATCTGAACACCATGTAAGGTGATGATAAAAATACATTTCCTCAGTTCAGTGACAAACATCAAACTGTTCAATTCCGAGAAAGTCTATCAGCTCAGTTTCCCACAGAAGAGTCTTCCACTGAATGAAAATCTCCTAGAAGTCCATAGAGCTATGTGCCAGGTAGTCTTTCCGCCCGATGTTGGTGACCTGTTTGGTCTGCATGGCTTCCAGCTTTGGACAGTCTGTGATACGATGACCCAGACCACCACAGAAGGTACAGCCCCTCTCTCCTGTGAAAATCCAAGAATCGTGTGTGTTAGCAGAGTAAAGCAAACACTCACACTGTTTCTGTGAGTTTGTGACTAGCTAGAGAAAGTAAAGAAGCTAAGTTTTTACAGAGCAGTGGATCAATAGAGAACATACTGGCCTATATAAAAAAAAAAAACAGTGAACCAGATCTGGTGTGAACTGTGACTCACCTCCGATGTCCAGCATGGTCTCATCTCCTGTCTGAAGCACCTGGAGGACTGGAGGAACCTTCTGCTTGGCTTCAACCAGCAGAGCCTTAAGGTCCATCAGTACTGACTCATCTACAGGGAAATCCAAATACTAGTTTAATTTCTTTCATTTTGCGTAGCGGTAAGCTTACTCCCCAGCTTTAATACTGTAAATTTCAAATATTCATGAAATAAATAATAGAATGTTCTTGATTGGTATTTTTCCTTACCACAGCCCTTGTTGATGAACGTAGTGGCGATACCAGTCTTGCCTGATCTGCCAGTTCTTCCAATTCTGTGGACTAAAACAGACAGTTTCCAGAAGTTACTTTGAAAATCAGTTTGCAGATCCTCCTTAAATCTCTTCACCTTGACAAGTGTAATGAAAAAATTTAAATGGATGGTTCATCAAACCACTTTTTAGGTGTAACTTTTCTGTTTCAATCTAATCTGTTATTCATCCAGCAAGTGCAAATCCAAGAAATGACTGATTTAAAAAAATGAAAATGGATCTGTGGTGTAAATATGGCGGTAATAGCACTATGAAACATGCAAGAAGAGGACAGGTAGGATGGTTTGGGACTCTACAAACTACTGCCAGTATCGGTAAAATACTCCCACTGCAGATTATGAAATCATCCCAAATGATTCTGTGCTTTTTTGCATCAACTTTTTCATGAAGTCTGCATGAACCAGGAATGGTTTCAGCTTGTCGTTCTGTTGTTTACTAAATCAGACTCTGTTGGTGCAGTGCTGGATTAAGCGTGCTTTTAACTGGCAGTTCTTTCTGATTCCTACCAAATGTATTCTGCACGATTGAAGGGACAGGCCTGTTTTATTTCCAACTGGGCAGTATTGAAACTCTTCAAAAATAGCTTTGCACCATGTCTTCTTACCATAGTTTTCTATCTCCTCAGGCATGTCATAATTAACCACATGTTGTATGGCTGGGAAATCCAGACCCTTGGAGGCGACATCTGTGGCGACCAAGACATCTTTCTTCCCCTCCTTGAATGCCTCTATGGCTTTAGTTCTTTCCTCCTGATCTGATAAAAAAGCACATTAAATGGAAAGTGTTATGCAAGATGATGACAAATGGAAATCATAAAGGAAGTGTCTGCAACACCCCGTGTCTAATGTTAAGCAAAGTTTGTAGAAGCGGTGATATTTGTAAGTAGGATGGCATCTGGTGGTGATAAGCGATAACTGCAAGAAAGTTTCAGTGGGAGAAAGGCTGATCTGATCTGAACGTCCCTCTTAATACAGTCCTTCTCTGCTGGTAATATTTGTATGTACTAAGTGCTGCATATGTTGTCATGGTAACAGACGTCTCGCGTACCTTTTCCTCCATGAATGGCCACCGCCTCCACTCCTTTTAGCAGCAGATACTCATGAATAGCATCTACATCAGCCTTCTTCTCAGCAAATATCAACACCTGCCAGAATGAACACACACCATGTCAACACATCTGAAATGGCTGGGCTCGTCTGCGTGCATGCTGATGTTGCACCATGAGGAAATACTGACCGGAGGAGGCGTTTTCTGGAGACATTCAAGCAGGTACACCATCTTGGCTTCTTCTTTGACATATTCTACTTCCTGTACACAAACAAAGGGTTTTAATAGCCTGCATAGGTTTGTAAATATGAGTTTGTGATTTGAACCCATAGTTGAAGAGTAAACTACATTTAGCATTAGTGTACCTGGATAACATCCAAACTGGCAGCACCAGCTCTGCCCACGTTGATGGTGATGGGTTTCACCAGGGCACTCTTTGCAAAGTTCTGGATCTTCTTGGGCATAGTGGCACTGAAGAGCAGGGTTTGTCTTTGTCCCTAAACAATGAAAACCAGTTTCCAATTTACTAAATTATGCCAGACTACATCTGCAAATCTCTACTTAGACATATGTTTAAGAGAATCTAGACACTGGCTGATTGAGACCAGTGGCTGGGTGACTGGGTGACTTGCCAACAATGACAAATGCTTTGAGGATGACTTAATTTGCAGCCTTTTAATACATCAGGAAATCTGTGCACTGCAGAAAATCTCAAAACATATGATGCGTTTGGATGAAAAGACAACATAGATAACTGTCTAGGGTTATTTTTAAAGAAAGTCGCTCGCAGTCCAAACTAAGAAACTGAGGAATCTGATGCAGGGTTAACAAGGAACTTTCTTTGAAACTAACCTAGGCAGTCAGCTCCTGATTTCTGCACCCACATTTTTCCTTTAACTTACAATATATTTGTTGAATTTCTTGTCAGAGATTACAGAAACATCACGTGACAACATTTGACATCTTATTTCTAGATAATACATCCTGTTTATCTTGAAATGTGTAAAAACAGTTGCCAGCGCAGCAAGTTAAAAAATTTTTAGATCAAGAAACTAAACAGGTAAGTTTTATCTGACTGAACCTGTTTCAAGCACTTCAAGTTGTGATTTTCTTCTTCTGCTATCTTGTAAAAAAGATTTTATTCCTGGATTTGTCGGTTGTTTACACTTTATGAAGTGTTTTAACAAATAAAAACACTTCGTGAGATTGCCTCTTTTTTTGCAGTAGAACAATAGCTCATACTTGTTTTTGCAGATGAGCTTTGCAAATTTGATCTTCAAACTAGGATCTACAAGGATAAACTCACCTTGAAGTAGGAGAAGATGGTCCTGATATCCTCCTCGAAGCCCATGTCAATCATCCTGTCAGCCTCATCCAGAGCCAAGTAACGACAGATGTCGAGACTCACCATCTTTTTCTGCAGCAGGTCCATCAGCCTGCCGGGGGTTGCCACCATCATGTGGACACCACTGTGAGTAAGAAGAGATACAGTACAGGTTGAACTATTTGCTGCTTGTGTTCAGATTGAAATGCTTGGTGCTTTTGATGAACTGTATCTGAACTATATCCATCTATGTTGTTCACCTCTGAATGGTTTGAGGCACAATTAAGAAACTTTTTCTGCTTGTTACTGGTTTCAAGTGAAAAACTGAAAACAGCAGGGGCTAATTGACTTACTGTTTGACTACCTCCATCTGCTCCTTGACAGACATTCCTCCAATGCAGAGGGCAGATCTCAGCTGAGGCGCTCCCTCTTCCTCCAGCAGCTTGCAGTAGTACTCGATGATGCCGTGAGTCTGCCGTGCCAGCTCTCTCTGGAGTTGAGAGGTTATTAAAATCAGATATGCTTAGTTGCAGAAAAATCAAGGTTGCTCATGGTAAACACCATCTGTCTAAAATGCTTTAACTTAAAAAAAAAAAGGATAATTATCTTCCCCTTTGACAGTCAGTTTTATCTTTAAGCTATCACACTTTTCAAAGTCATAGATTTCACCAATTAGTCTTATTTCAAGTCATCTATTGTAACACAAATGCTGTATTTTTGTTATTGCAGGTTACACTGTGTGTTAAATTTAAACCTGTGTTCTGAATTCAACAGGTTCGTCTTACCGAAGGACAGATGATGAGTCCGTACGGTCCCTCTCTCTTAAAGAAAGGAAGCCTTTTCTCTTGTTCCAGAGCAAACATGATGATGGGCAGAGTGAAGACCAAAGTTTTTCCAGAACCAGTGAAGGCGATACCAATCATGTCTCGGCCTGACAAACTACAGAAAAACATTGTGAATTAATGAACACTTGAAAGTTGCTTTACTAATACTTATATGTGTTGATTAAAGACACTCACACTGTTGGGATTCCCTGTATCTGAATAGGTGTGGGATGCACAATTCCCTTCTTCTTCAAACCTTTTAGAATTGCTGCAAAACAAAAGTTGTCAGCTGTTACAACTTTAGCCCTCATACAGAAACACAATGTGTGTTTTTTTATCAGTGTAAAAGGTAATGTGTTGTAACCTGGTGGAAACTTCATCTCCCTGAAGCTTTTGATTGGAGGAGGGATGCCATCTCCGTCAACCAGGATGTGAAACTTCTTCCTAACCCGCTCATGTCTGGTGTCTGGCATATTTAGGATGTAGCGTGGTGCCTTCCAGCTGTGAAAAATATTCTGTTTAAATAAAAGCAACAAAATAAACTCAACAATGATGAACAGTACAACATTTACTGGCCAAGAACTTACCTTGTTTTGATGGGATCATCATATATGATACCTTTGGCCATTTCCTTCACAGACATCAGAGCTAAAAAAAGGGAAACACGAATTATCCCTTTCAGCTGAAAATGCTCTGTATAAATTGTTCTGATATTTGCATGTTTATCACAGTAGATATTACCCATGAGTCATTACAGGAACTTTGCAGATTTATAGCTTTACCTCTGCCCTCTGCGACACTCTCAAGAATCTTCTCCTCCTCTTTTAGCTGCTTCTCTTTAGCCGACTCCTTACGAGCTGGTGATGCAACATAAAGCAGGTAAAATAACAACTATGTATTTCATAAAAAATGATGTATTCTTAGGTTGAGCTGAACTGTGAAAATAATGCGAGTTCACCATCCAGTTTGCGTAGAGTTTGAACTGAATACCTTCTGCTTTTTCTTTGAGGTGCTGATGCTGGTCAAGCAGACTGACATTGGAGCGTGGACCGAGACCCTCATCCTCATCTCTCTGCTCCTCCCCGCTGTCTTTCTGCTCCTCATCCACCGCCTTTCCTCGCAGACGCAACATCTTCTGTAGCTTTAGACATATAAAAGTGCATTTTATCCACTGCTAATTCAGTCAATGTGACATCTACACTCTGATAAACTTTGTAGTGTTCTTTGAATGATACGGAATTTACAGAGAAACAAGCCATTGACACTAACCATTTGTTGCTTTCGTATTTTGACTGGAACATATGGGACATAGTCATCTTTTTCTGATCCTTCTGAGCCAGACTGATCGTCCTCCCCATGGGATCTCTGTAGAAACAAAGCACCAAAACCTACAGTGTTACCTCTTTCCAAAGAAAGGTTTAGGTCTCACATCAAGACAGACCAACAAACCTATCCAGAGCAAACTGTTACACTAAACAAAGTGTGCAAAATAGATTGAACACTCAGATTCCAAGCATATTTCTAGGGCTGCACTTGAGCTTATCAGAATGCCATCGCAAATGGAAATATGTGTGGGATGAGATTTCACACGTCAGAGTCATATATACATATTAGAGCAATGTGATTTGGACACCAGTACTAAAGCTGCACATTTGATTACATTTTAATCACCCAATTTTAAATTTTGGCCGAGCTCAAAGTAATGTGATCAATGATGAATATTGACCCAGAGTGCAGAAAAACATTTGCAGCAAAGACCAGACCGAGAGGATGAGATGTGTACATTAGTGAAGAAGGGGGACCACTTGAAGAAGGAGAGGAAAACCGTAGCATTAACCAGCATAAATGTTTGTTGATAAGTAATAAGTAAAGGGCTGCATGTTTATACACTGGGCGACCTATCATTTTGAAATATAAACAGTGTTAAAGGCTTAAGTCTTAAAACACTGTCTGATTCTTGATTCTTAATAGCACACTGAGAAAACACTCCAATACAGTGAGGGTTTGTCTCTGTGTTATCATTGAGATAATCAAAATCAGAAATACTTGAATCAAAATAGCTTTTTGTCACATAAAATTCCAGTGCAAATAAAGTAGAAAGAGGAGATAAATGATAGATAAAATAAGTAAAAATAAAGAGATTAATAGATAAAAATAAGTAAAATAAGTAAAAATAAAGAAATAATATACCAGAACACTATATACAACACAAAATAGTAAAATAGTATGCATGCAAACAGTAAGCAGAGTCCAGGTAAGTAAGAAAGTAAGTAAACTTTCTTTGTATAGCACTTTTCACAGACAAAAGAGTCACAAAGTGCTTCACATAGACAAAAATAAAAATGTACATACAAATTAAAAGGCCAAGACAACAAGATTAAACAGCCATAGCGCCCCCAAAAACAATTAAACAAAAGCCTGAGCAAATAAATAAGCTTTGAGTTGGCTTTTAAAGGAGTCAACAGAGTCACTTAAGCGCAGAGAGAGAGAGGAAGATCATTCCAAAGCATGGGGGCAACAGCCTGGAAGGATCGGTCTTCTCTGGTCTGAAAACGAGTGCACAGAACCATCGGTAGATTCTGATCCACGGACCTCGGAGCCCAAGAGGGGGTGTAAGACTGGATCAGATGACAAATATAAGATGAAGCCTTGACCATGCAAGGCTCTAAAAGTTAGGACCAGAATTTTAAAACTGATCCTAGAGGAAACAGGCAGCCAATGTAGTGCTTTAAGAATAGGGGATATGCGAGTCCTCCTATTAGTGCGGGTCAGAGTTCTCGCTGCAGAGTTTTGCACTACCTGAAGACAAGACAGCTCCTTTTTGTTCAGACATGAAAACAAACTGTTAACAATAGTCTAAACGTGAAGACACAAAGGCATGGATGATGAGCTCCAGGTCACATTGTGACACCATTTTCCTGAGTTTCGAGATTTTCCTCAGTTGATAGAAGCAGTTTCTCGTCAACTGTTCACAGTGTTGCAGTAAGGACATGTCTTTGTCAAAGATGACACCCAGGTTTCTTAGGCTAGGTTTAGCTGACTGGCCTAAGTCACCCAAGTTCTGTTTAATCCCTGGAATTGAATCATCAGGGGCAAAGACTACTGACTGAGGGTGTCAGAGTCACTAATGCTTAAGTTCTTGTAAAAGTAAAGCCTGAATGTTTTTGGATGTTATATTTGACCAAATGTTTGGGGACAGTGCCTGACAAAAATTAGACTCCTTAAATTTAAACACTTCTTCAAAGTAAAGTTTATGGTTCCGCTGTTACATTGAACGCAGGTGTTAGGGCGATACAGGATCTATTTATGAACTAAACATCGTTTCCAACATTGCAAGCCCTGGACAGACAGGGTAACTTAGTACTCGCATGTTTGGTTTTAATAAATGTGTTTAGTCTCCTCTGAGCTAGCCTGCTGACCTCTTTCACACTTAGCGTCACCAGTACGTAGCCTCCTTAATGTGAATGTTCCCATATTGTATTAAAAATACGGGGTTGTTTAGCGGCACAATACGAATTTTGCCCTTAAATGACGGAAAATGTCATCCTAGTCAAAACACAACTGAAACATGATAGAAAATTGGACAGAAAACATTGCAAGGCTAACTAGCTACACTTAGCTAGCTCCGGCTAACTGGTGTAGCTTTTTTATAATACGAACAGCAGGATTTGATTTACTCACCTTTTTAGGTCGGTTATCGATCTCCATTTTGATTATGGACACAGTAACGCTCTTCTTGTCCTTCAATGATACCTGAAACGCAGTTTAATGACTACAGCTAATCCACATGTTTACACAACACAGAGAGAGATGCTAGTGTACGGAGAGCCGGAAGGGTCAAACTTTATGGTGACGCCACGTTCAGTCATATCAGTGCGATTTTCTTGAGTTTATATTTCTATTACATTTAAAATAATCGTAGAAAGCAAAGACCACACTTTATTTTTGTCAAAACTGTATTGTTTTTAATCTTTCTGAACGAAAGATTTTTCACAGTATCAAAAGTGAATTTAAAAAAAGAAACAAGCCAACATACACTTGGCTATTATTGATATAGTATAAATCTACATTCGACACAATAAGATAATCCTCTCTAAGTGGATATAACCTGGAAAGCATCAGAGATGTTATATGAAAACAAAGTTTTAAGCACAGATTCAAGAAAGACATGATCCATCTCTATGAAAGCCATGAACTAAAACATGAGTACTGATGTGAAATGGGCTCTTGTCCTGAAGGTATCAACCCTTCAGTTGTAATTCCTATCAATGGATTATAGTCAGACTTTAGCTAGGCTAGCTGAAGCACAAGATGCCACCAAGGTCACAGTACAGGGAAAAGAGTAGTATGGTTGAAAATGTATCTCTCTCTTACACACAAACCCCCCAGAAACAAATAGGCAGGCTCAAAAGGGCCCAAAATAACCACTCACTATGTACAAGCATTGAAAATAACTTTTGTAAATGTGGGATGGTTCCAGTGATGACATTTTACTCCGCACACTGGTGTACCTGTCACTGCTGGGATAAAGGGGTTAGAAGAACAGATTGAGTGAAAGCTGTGGTGAAGAATCTTCTTTAGACTGCAGAGTGCATACTGGGTATCACTTCAAAGAAGGAAACTGTTCCAAATTAACTCAAAGGATTGATGATGAAGCAACTGACATTTCACTCTTAACCAGAAAGCACTGGGAAACAAGAGTTCTTTGCTCGGCATGCTTGGGTCTTGTTTGCAAGGATATTTTATGTATTTTCAAATACACCCTATGAGCCAAGAGTTTTAATCCATCAGACAATCACAGACATGTTCTTCAAGTGCTGTGCTGTACTAAAAACTAAGTTGATGTTTTGTTAACTCTTAATTTGTGTAATCAGTGTGGCAGTGTGTATAAGTATTTGTCCTTTTGGTTTTATAGAACTGGCTGCAAACCATTTAAGATCACAGTAAAAATGTTTGACCGCTAAGAAACAACAAATACACAGTAGTTCACTTCTGAATGAAATGAATGCAATTACTGTCACTATGGTAACCTGCAGAATTTTTTTTGTATTTAATAGGCTAAAATGCTGTCCTGTTAAAACATGTCAGATCGATCGTCTCTTGTGTCGACTGAGACCAGTATTGTCGAGGGAAAGCTAACAATGTATAATATCTGTTGTATAAGGAGCACCAAATTGAACTGATTGGAATTCAAAGTTTAACAACGTTAAAATGTCCCAGATTTGTGATAAAAACATTTATTTCATTTAAGGTAATTGTTTACATACTACATAAGCACATGGATGCAGTGGATTGAACAGACTTTTTTTCCATTTTTGCATCTCATTTAGTGAACATTGCAATAATAGCAAAGGGTAGAGTTGGCCTTGAGAATGATCCCTGGCCTGTCAGCCACAAGTTATGTATCAGTCTTGTGAATGGAGAGTATGGATTTGAACCAGGGTCCCTTGGCTTAGTAAGGAAGTGAAGAAAACAGGGAATGAGAGAAGGCCTCAGGCCAAGTAGAGCTCTAATGAAAGAGTTTGTGTTGGTAGTTTTTTTTTATTTTCTGTGGCACTCATCCAAGTTATTGAGCTGCATTGGAAGGAACCTTTTTGAGGCTGAAGTTGGACCAATTCACTGCTACCTTCTGGCGAGTTTGTTTTGCAGAGTCAAGACAGAACCTGGAGGGAACGTAAACAGAGACAAAACAGCGGGAAGAGACGAGGAGGAGAAAGAAAGTGATGGTGTTAACATGAATCAATATGACAGGTTGGTTTCAAATTTTTGAGAAATATTCCATTTCACAGCTTCTGCGTATCGAGCCTACCTTTTAAAGTATTCCACTTCCCGGTCAATCTCATCCATTTCTGTAGGATCAACATCTTTCGGGAGAAAAACATCATCTGCGGAATGACAAAAAGCCTTTGGATTAGTTTAAAAATAATGAATAAATGATAACAAGAACATGTTTTCAGTGTAAAACTGTTTTATTACCGATAGTACTGCTGGGTTTTTCCCCTTTGTTCTTGTTCTTCTTATTCTTTCCCTTGGTTTGCTGCTGCTGTTGTTGCCCGTTCGCTGTGATAGTAGGGTTGGCTTTGTTTTCTGAATCTTGCTCAGACCGACAACCTCGTGTTTCTGTGTCACCTTTTCCTTTTTGTGCGTTTGGGAGGCTACCATTTGCTCGGCTTGCTGGATGTTTGGTCAATCTACTCTCCTCAGGTTTCTTAGGCCCATTTTTCTGGCTGTCTGCAGAGTGCTGAAGCTGTTTGTTTCCAGCTTTAGAACCGTTAGCAGCCGTTTCTTTAGACTCATTGGTTTTCTGTGTTTCATTCCCAGAGGCAGCTTTGGTTGGTTTGTTGGAGTTTTGCTCTGACACAGATTGCTCTGGCCTTTGCTGCTGTTGCTGCTGCTGCTTTTTGTTCTTCTTTGACTTTGCACCACCATTCCCAATAACTGCATTCTTGGGATCGGGGACATCCTCCTTCGATTTAGCTGTAGCCTGGGCTGGCACCTGCGGAGAACTCTCAGATCCAGTTGAAGTGCATCTTTCTGGGGATCGAACTCTTATGAGCTTCGAGAGGCTGGGGGTGGTGTGCAACCGCTGGATGTCCTTGGACACAGCAGTGACCCCTGACGGTGTGTGGGTGGTGGTGTTAGAGGACGAAACAGGGGTTGTGTCATCCCATCCATTGACCAGGTCCAGATGGCTCTTAAAGGTCCCCAGTGAAAGAGGAGCCAGGTCCAGGTCTATCTGCTGCAGGTCAGAGGAACCGTTGAGATGCGACAGTAAATGGTTGCTCTCCAGCGTGGCTGCTTTCTTTGGGAAGTCATTGACGTCCAGATTGAGGTCGTACATACTAAATGAGGCCCGGATTGAGTCTTTGATGGTATTCTTAATCTCTTCGAGTCGACTGGTGAGGAAACTGTTGACGCGTTCAAGCTCCAGCTGTGGCCAGTCCAGCAATCGACTGGCTTCTGAACCGTCAGGGAGGGACTCGTCTATGGGCTCAGATGGATTGGAGTGGGGGTCACTGCCTGCAGCACCCATATTGCCCTGCTGAGCTTTTTCCTGGAACAGAAATGGTAACAAGCTTAACAATTTGAACAAATGGTGCAAACGCAAGTGCAATTCAAATGAAAACACGGGAAAAAAATGAAAGAATTCCAAAGTTGCCGCACCTTCTTCTTTTGTTTGTGTCGTGCCCGTTTAGCAGCCTTGGCACTGTTGACAGGTTTGGGCTCAGAACTGTTTATGAAGTCTAGAAGCTCGTCCACATCTCGGTTGTCGATGGCTCCGGTCACTGTCGGGTCTGAATCCTGTCGCTGGGGCAGCTCCTCCTTACGCCGAGTCAGACGTGAGCGAAGCTTCTCTCGGATCTCTGCGTAGTTCCGGCTCGTTGGTGCAGCTGGAGGCTGTAACCAACAATCATTCAGATATCTTTTCATAAATTCTAACGTTTCTCAGTGGTTGGCATTGACATTGTATGTTAACGCATTTTGAAAACAGCTTGTTAAAAAAAGTCTTAAAGTACCGCATTGTGTCCAAAGAACTCGCAGTAGCAGCAGTCGCAGTACTTCCCGTCTTTCTGGTTTGTGGAAGAGGAGGCACAGGAGCTCCTCTCAGAGCTGCTGTCTTCATCCTCCCCCTCCTCCAGCTCAGATGAAGGGTGACACAACGTCCCATTTGTCATTTTGTGCCCTTTACATGCCTGGTCCCTAAAAAAGTATCAACACAGACCCTCAATAGGAGCTCATATTGAGAATAAACACAGCTACAGAGGCAGTTTCTTTGTTGCTCATGCTGTATAACAAGCATGTTGAGATACAGTAGTAATACTAACCTGCAGGCCCCAGCTGTCAGATGGCCTACATTTGAAGAGGCCACTGTTCCCGCACTGTGTCCGTTACACGGGTGGTTACAGCCCATGATGGAGCTGCCCAGTTTGCTGTGTTGTGTGTTTACAGCAGGAATGTGGGAGTTTTTGCAAGGGCTTGGTTTGTGGACAGATGTGGGGCTGTCTGGACAGGGTGCACCGAGTTTAGCTGTGGGGCCGTGGAGGTTTGGTACCAGAGGGGAGAAGGGAGCATGAGCTGCCACACCTGGGCCAGCCGAGGAGGTTAAGTGGCCGTGCTGCCCCGAGCTTGGCTTTGGGGGCAGGAGTGAGGAATGCTGGGATGACAGTCCAGTGGGACTGTTGGGGGGTACCGACAAGTCTGTGTGTTGATGGTGGTCACTCGGATGGAAGGCTTCACCTGCAATTTTGAAAACAGTACATTTGTTCATTTCACGAGGTTCCTCTTTGAGCATATAAGAAAGGTATAATTTCGGAGTAATATACAAAATGAACTACTCAAAACCAGCGGGTAAATTGAAATTGTCATCGACTAGTTTTCTCACTTTTCTATAAATCAAAAAATCCCTTCAAAGTCAAGCCCTTGTTATAATGCAAATGGTGTCTTGCAAATTGTTTAAGCTTTGGAAGAGTAACTGTAATAAAATTAATTTTATTTTTTTTTTTCCATTTCAGAAAGGGCTTTGTTTTGGTATTCATAAGATTAAGATAAAGATAAAACACTTTTTACATTATGCATATTATTTTGTGCACATATTATGGCAAAAGTTGAAGGAATCCAACATTATGATCACACAGAATGTCAGGCAGTATATTTACAGTGTTGTGACAGTATAATTATTAGTGCTCATTGAAGGTCGTAAAACTTTAGACAAATTTCAGCAGGGTGAAACCGAGGCTACCCTGAGAGTTGACAGAAATGTTACCTGGTGGAGTTGGTCGGCGGCACATGGTTTTGAAGTGCTTGGGAGTGGTCTTACAAAGGTCTGCTGAGGTAGACAGGGGGTTCCCGACAGAAGATCCGCTGGAGTTCTGGGATGACGGGTGACTGTAGGGACAGACTTTGGGTGCTGACGTTTTAGCAGATTTTCCAGGCGCTTCATGGAGTCCTCTTTTCTCGTGACAGGTTGACCCTGCTGCTAGACCTGTGGATGGACAATATGTTTCAAATAAATCTGAAACGTGTTACAAAAAAAAACAGTGAGCTATATTCTCGAGCCAAGTGCTGATTTCTGTTTTTGTTAGTATTGTGTGTTAAAATGTCTAGTCGGGAGGTGTCAGTGATTTGAATAACATTTAGAGTGACAGATACGTATCCATATCACCAACTGTCCAAAATGTCTTTTTTGAGATTTTGAGGTTTTTTTTGTTAATGCCTTTGACAGAATAGCTTCCTAGTTCTAAAACACAAATAAGTATAAATAAGTTTAACTCCCTGCCTTATAGAGGGGTGTTGATTTTTTCAGTGCTGATGATGTTCACGAGTGGAATGTGAGAAAAATCTAGCATGCACCTTTGACTTAAATGAATAAAACCTTTGTTAGTAACCAAAAATAAAAGGAGAGAGAGTAGAACTACAACATCTGAATTATTTAACAAAGTCATTTTCAAAAAGGACTCTCTGTCTCCATCAAACATTAATCTCTTCTTTCCAGTAGAAGTAGTGAACTGTAATATCAACTCAGATTTGTAGTAATTTGAAAACAATTTTGTTGAGTAGCTCAGTTCTGCTCGGTCTGAGGTTGACAAATATTGTTGAATAATAAGTACAGCTAAGGCACCCAGTGGTCTACAAGCAAAAAACAGCACTACTTAAAAAAAAAAAACACTCACTTGAGATGCTATGATTTATGACTGCTTTTGCACACCCAAGTTAAGATGCAATTTTGCACAATGATCCATTCACAGAATTTGTTCAACTAGAAATACTGGCACAGTTACTCATCAGGTAACCTTAACAGGTTGGTTTGATGAGCAACAAGAAACAGGAAGAAAACAGACAAAAGCAGAGATCGCAGCTGATTGAAATGCTGTTCTTCCCCTCTCACAAACAACAATCCTTACTCAGACACAGACCAACAAACTAAATAATCTAGATTTTTAGATTTTAAATTCAAACATCGAGGAGGAGGTTGTAAAAAATCCCTTACTCACATCAAGTTACATTATCTTGGGTGATTCTGGCAATATTTTAAAATGTGATTTTGTTTTTTCTGGATAGCTTAAATGCTGAACTTCTCAGTTTGTTCAAATATTGTTGTTATCTTGTTGCATGGTTAAGTTATGTACATGGACCATAACATATCGGGGTAGTTCTCACATAAACACTATTTTTTAAGACAAATAATATGAGATGATAATTTTCTCTAATTTGGTGGAAGAAGTGGTGTTGATAGTCTTGTTAAGATGAAAACCTGCAAGTACTAATCCCAGAATAAAGAGTGTAAATAAACAATTACTGGTCTAAAGCTTTAGTAACTGTAAAGATTATACTATTACAGGTATGATGGATAGTGAACAGTTTTTGCAAGAATAATGCATGAGGATCAGGCTGACAATTATCAATTCTTTACTGTCAAGTTCTCATTGACTCCTTTGCTGCAGTAAATCCTGCACTGTTTGAGCCAGCTGGATTAGGTCAGGTCTGGAGTATGTTCAATCTTCTTCACTGGGTTTTACCTCCACTATCTGAGCACACTGGGTTGTTTTGATGACAGGATTGTCTTGTAACATTTTTCAACCTATAGTGAAGCTGAACTGAACCTATGTAAGCAGAGCCTGTGAGCTTCTGCGACAACTTCTATGTTCTTCTGATCTTCACCAGCTCTGTAGCATGTGGACAAAGTTTCCGAAAATGTGTCAAACATGTTTTGCAAATAACACCGACAAGTCACTCACACATCTAATTCTACAGTAGATTTAGATCTTTTTTTCAAAACTGCACATTACATTACAGACTGAGATTGAGGTGTTTTGGGTTTTCTGTGGTGATTGTTGGTACCATCAAACATTCTCCACAGCTGTCTTTTACTCTGACCTGACAGACCTTGTTGTGAGTGTGAAGAAGTGTTGTGATTGCAGTGCTCCCCTCCGTTGGTGTGGGCAGAGTTCCAGAGACCCGACAGTTTGTGGGCTGACAGGAAGGAACTCGGGTCCCAATCCACAGTACTTTGCTCGGGGTAACCGTTCCCACAGCTCTGTGACTTACAGGAGGAAGAGTGTGACAATGGTACCTGTATAAAAAAAAGAGAAAATCCCAACTGCTTAATGACAGGGCTGTATACATAGGCTTTCGTGGGGCACAAGAAACAACAAAAACTACCAACACTGGCTTGGAACACACTAAGAGTGGAAAATAACACCAAAAAAAAAACAACTAAAAATATAAATTTAAAATGTTAAAAAAGGAAACACTGAGTGATTGTTCGGCAATCTCCTCCTGTGGTGTGTTTGTGTTTTTTTCTCTCTCTTTTTGCATTTGCAAGTTTGAGAAAAGTATCAACAAAACATCAACACTCAAGCTTCAATATGATGATTAGGTCTTCAAAATTTGCATTGTGTTATGTAAAGTTTATTTGTAAAAACACCTCAGGACAGATAGCTAATAAGCTGCCTCTAATTTATGACTGCCACAGAGAGACAAATACCAAATATTCTAATTTAGAGCCCACAAAAGCAGAATTCATGTTTAACTTTACCAAACATTAAATTCAGTGTGTCATTGACTGAGCTTGTACGCACATGCAAATGCAGTGCTCTGTTTGGCGAATGCAGATGAGATTACAACAGTCAACAAAACATACTTCATTTAACTATAAAGTACTGAAAGACATCGTGAAAAGGATCCAGACATATGACCCAAATCAATCCTTTTTTATTTACCGGCGTCGGCTGCTCCAGGGTGCTCCGCCTCTCCTCCTCTTCCACACTCTTGCAGCAGCTTTGACAGATCCATAGAGGCACCTCTCCCAACAGAGACTGTGACAGCGAGGGCACGGCATCAGCCAGCTTACGCCCTGGCGCCTCCCGCAATAAGGCCTGGGAGAGCGCAGGCACGGCATCAGCCAGCTTGGTCCCATGGCCCCCGGGGAGTCCGTTCACAGAGCCTGCTCCCCAGTCCTTAAACTCACGGTGACATAGAAGGCAGCAGGTGTGCATAGGCTAGGAAGAAAAAGAGAAGATGCAGAAATTGAGTAATAGGATGATAACATAATAAATGTGACCCTGGATTGGGTCAAACTCTGGAAATAAATCAAATGGGATAGGTAACTCAAAATTATCAGCAATATCTGATCATGGCAACAGAATGTGTAGTTATTAAAGAGGTGATTTCTATAATTAACAGTTATTCATGTGTGCATGTGCATTGGAGTGTGCTATATTAATAGTGTTCCTCATATTTTGTCCATTTTAACAAAATATTACAAACAACTTTCAATATTATGCACCCAATGTAGGGGTGTCCCGATACAACTTTTTTACTTCCAATCCGATACCAATATTGTAGCCTTCAGTATCGGCCAATACCAATGTCAGGGTTTTTCCTGCGTTCAAAATTGCGTGGCGGCCGCCTCCACCTAATTTTGTGCCGCCCCCAGCCAGAGCGATTGATTCCGCTCAACACAGCGTAAAGCTCCAGCTGTGTTGATTGAGCGATTGATGTCCCGATGCAGCAGCAACGTATTTTAACTGCAGTTGCAGCGTTGCGCCACTATAGAGGCGCTATATCAACAGCAGTGCACCGGAAAGACCTGAAGCATCTACCGAAGAAGAAACGGATCGAATCATGTTTTTTCAAGTTTTTTTTCCCGCTAGTTGGTGCTGTCGGCGTCCTGATTTTCGCTGGCGGATGGTACAAACAGGTAAATACTGCTTCTCTTTTTTGCATCCAAGCATGTCGTGTTTATTTAAAAAAAAAAAAAGTTTCCTCCGTTTTTAGCGTTGCAGATATGACAGGCAAAATCAGCCAGTACTTTAAAAAGCGACCTCGCGAGGAGGAAAGTCAAGAGTCCAGGTGAAACACAGCAGAGAAAAAACGTAACAGGCAGTTAAAATGCTATAATTCATGTTGGTGACAACGTGGAAATTTGTGTCAGGTCTGAAAGTAGTTCACAAGGGACTGGTGATCGCGAGGGTCAGAATGCAGGACAGGACGAGTCGGCGAGGCGAGGGTAATTAATTAATTAGTTTCCAATTAGGAGCATAACAACGCAAAGCCGACGTGTACGTGGTTTTTATTCGTCTTTCCAGATCTTCTCAAAAACACAGAGCCAGTGGCTTTGACAAGCAATGGCTCAATCAATTTACCTGGCTCAGGCATACTGAGGAAGGCATGCACTGTTATTTATGCCAAAAGCACTGTGTCCCAACACAGCAGGCAATTGCTGCCTCCTTAGCGAGACAGCCATCAACCAACTACAGGCTGGACACATTAAAAAGACATGAGGTGACAGCCATTCACAAAGCAGCAGAAGAGAAGGAGAAATATATTAAAGATGGTAGTACCTAAAAAAACTCAACTAATAAAGTTACAAAAAATAAATAACATAGTTTAGACAGTTTAAGAAATAATTGGTTGTCGTTTTTTTTAGGGAGGACACTGCAGCGTATACATATATATGATTGAAAACACTATCACTCTTCATGTCTGTATCAGAATAAAAACAAAAATACTTAATGCATGATGAATTGTTTTGTTTAAGGTGAAGACACATCTGTGGAACAGACTGAAGGAGAGGCACTTGGATGTCTGTTGTAAGGTGGCCGTTGATGGACCAGACCAGGAGGCCTTGGACTACAAGGAGGGCATGACGAGGTTCTACAGAATGAAAAAGAGGAGGCTGAAATGTTCTGTATGGTTGCGAGATGTGTGGATGAAGTGTACTTTCAATTTAAAGTTGCCAGCTGATTTGTGTATGTATATAGTTTTAATAAATGAATGCTTTAACATGATAATGGTCACACTCTTTTTTTTGAACTCTTAACTTAAAGTATGTTGCCTGTAAAAGAAAGTGAATCGGTTGAATTTACAAATACATGCACGTCGTGGCGCATGGTCAGGATGGTGCCACCTCTGCCTCAATTTGAGCCAGGAAAAACCCTGCCAATGTTGATCCGATATTGGCACAAAATTGTGCATGAAAAGTTTTGCACTCAGCTGCAATGTCTTTTTTGCGACTTCAACGAAAAACTGAAAACTGGCTGACATCACTCCTACTCCTTGCTATTTTGTTAGTACCTATGTACACACTGTTGTCGTGATTACGTGGGCTCCAAATGCTGGAACGGAGTCTAGAATGGACTGCTTGTATCGGAGTGCCTATATCTGAGATTTTAGATGCAGGCCGATATAATCCGATATTTGTTTTTTTGTTGATATCGAACCGATATCCGATATCAATATCATATCGGGACAGCCCTATGACCATGTCAACAAGAACTGAAAATGCAGAAACTTCCTTAAAGTAGAATTTATTGTAGAACTGATGCATATTTACCCAGGTGTTCATAATGTTATGGCTGGTCGGTGTGTGTTTTAGTGCAGTAGGACTGTAATCAGTTCACCTTGGATTGCAGGAAAACTGGCAATAAACATTGATGATAGCTTTTTCCCAGTAAATTTGTTTTTAGATTACTATAGAATAAATATTTATGATCTGAAACAAACTGACCCTTTATCATCCAAGCACAGCTCGGTACTTTCCCAAGAAAGAAATGCTTGATGTCTGATTTGATGAGCTCTGAGGCGCGAGATATCAAATACATGTTATCACCCAACACAAGGAGCAGCAATATTAGTTAGATTTCAGGTTTGCGGGTTAAATGGGGACAGTATTCGTACAGGAAAAATGTCCATTTCACTGAAATAGCTTACATTACTGTCTCTGATGTAGCTCGGCATCATTGGCTGATAACTACACGCATCAAAACTTTTGAAATTGGCACCTGTCACACTCTGATCAGAGTGTGTGCTGCAGCAAATAAACAAAAGCAAGTTTATAAAGTCGTATTAACAACTCGAGCCATGCCTGAGAGGTAGGTTGTCTGTTTATGCTCCCGTACATCTGTCTCTGCTAACCAGCTAATTAGCAGGTAGCTGGTTAGCCTCTGCTAACTGAGGGGGTTCCTGTGGATGTGATCAGGCAGAGAGCAGCACGCTTGCAGCACACTAGCTTGGTGATGATAGCCCGGCTAGCCACCAGGCTAAGGCTAGCTGGGCGTATAAAGAGCTGTAAAGGCTGGAAATGAGACGACCTGTCCGAGGCACAATGTCACCTGTCCGGCTGGAGAAAGATGGGCTGCAATGCTAACCCCACAGCCTGAAAGCCGCCTGCTCACCTCGCTAAGTTGAGCGTATTATTTATTTAATTCCATGGCTAACGACGTGAGAGGCATATATCAACAAATACTACATTAGAACTAAAATAGCTTTCACTAAGCTGGTGGGTGCTTTTAACTTCACTTCTGCAGGAGTTACCTACAGAAAATAAAAGCACAATAGAGGATGCTTGGATTAGCAGAGTGGTGCTAGCTCAGAGGCTAGCTAGCCAGTTTTAAAAGCAGCGATTGGCTTGCTGTTAGCTAACCTACCTGGTTCGCCCTGGTAGTGGCCAGCCTATCCAGCCCAGCATCTCCGCCGCCACCGCCAGCTGCATCGCCGGGAGAGACTGGGCTCTTCGGTACGCTCTGCTGTCCAGGACTTAGCTCCTTCTGGGCCACCCCTTGTTGCTTGCTTTTCTTCCTTGCCATCGCGACGCTTTTTATAACACGCTTTAGCCAAGTTTGCACCAGTTTCGACGAATTCAAGAGCACACTTTCGTTTCTTCTCGGACCTCAAAATGTTCTCTATCTCCTCCAGTCAAGACAACAGTCAATATGGCGGAGGACTGGCACACTCGGGAGTTCATAGGTTAAAGATACTGCTGGCAAAGCGGCTTCACTGCTACAAGCGGAGTGCTAGTGTAGCTCGATACACGAAGTGAAGCCAGACGCCGCCATATTAAGTAAGGGCAATCCTCCCCTCCCACTTTCTTCGAAGTATGAAAGGAAAAATAAAAAGACGCTGCGACTAACCGTTGATAAACAAACAGTTTAGTGTTGTTCGGTCTCTCATAAACTTATCATTATGAATTTTGTTTTGCAGTCACTAAATTAGTATGTATCTGCAGTATTGCCATATCGTGCTTTCTGAATGTAGACCGTGTATGAACAATAACAGCTACTCATATAGTGATTAAGAATGACGAAACAATGAAAATAATGTGTATTGTAACTGGAGAACATAAAAAGTTTATTCTTTACGACCTTAGTAGGGTATAAACGTTTGGCATATGACAAATAAAAGCTGTATTGTCAAAGTGCAACTTTACTAACACAGCAAACTGGCAACTTGCTTTTGTGAAATGTGTTTCTATTTGTCATAAAATGTGTGTAAAACATGCCCAAAACAGCGCTGTGGTGAATGACACAGTTAACCGGTATATACATAATGTCAGAAAAAAAAGTGAGGCTCTGTGAGAGGGGATGGGGGCTTGACAATGACGTTTTACGTTGTCTGTTGATGCGTTTAAAAACGTAGGGAAATTACAGCTACCATTTAGATTCATCACAACAGTCCACCAAAGTCCCATTATATAGAGAAAATCAATGTGTTAATATTTCAACTTTTTTTAACAAAATAAACCCCACCGGGATAGGTTGCTTTACTTTGCCATTATTATCTTTAAAGCATTTTGTCGGGTCTGCATATACTCAATTGAGTGTGTAGGCATTCCTGACAGAACATAACAATATAATATAATATAACACTTAGACAATATAACACAATAATATAACACTATAATAACTCTTTAAAAAAAAAATAAAACAATCGGCACCGATACTTTTGATGGACACGTAGTTATTTCAACTTAATGTCTGTATTTGTCTTCGAAGTTTAAATTATCCGAGTCTACGTGAGGACTTGAAGGCAGCGCCTGTGTTGGGAGTTCAGTGGACTGAGGACGTAGCACAGACACGGCTTCAGCTACTTCAAGCTATTGACGCCTTGCACCAGTGTAGGTTGTTTACCCGCTTTTGTTTTGCTCAAACAAAAATAAACATGGAGGGAACCATTTGCAACATTCAGGTGCTTCTCCGGGCTGCGGAGTTTCTCGAGAGAAGAGAGCGGGGTAAGTATTTGAAGCCGAAGTGTCAGTTAACGGGGAGGAAGTTGGTTATTGTAAAAACAACAAAATGCACAATGAAACGATAGCATCTATGTATGCAAAACACTATACAGAAACACGCTGTAATGCAGACGTTTAGGGAACAATTGATATTGTCGCAAAGAGGTAATTTTAGGCGATTTTTCCTATTTGACTCAGTGACCTACATATCGGTCGCATCATTGTACTCAAAGGCGCCAATCTGGTCCAGTTTGAAAATGAATCTGAGCGGCGCTGAGCGTTTGCGACGATGAATGAAAGCGGGGCAGAAAAGGGCAAAACTACGAGTTTATTGCAAAATTAAGGCTTCACAGACTTTGTACCGGGTATGACTCACGGCTGGCAGCAGGAAGTGTTTTTTAACAGTGGATAGGTAGTATGTGATGGCGCCAAAAACCAAAAGCAGATCTGTCTGTCTGATGGACACTGCAAAGTGTTTTATCCCTTTGTACACAGTTAATTTTGCACGATAACGGTTGTCTGTTTGTTGCACCAGGGAACACTTATCTTAATGGGAAGACTTTTATTTTTAGCATTGCACACAGTTCCTTATGTAGTATTTTCTGACGCAGTCTGTGATTTGTTTTTCTGCACAGAGGCTGAACATGGATATGCGTCTGTCCTGCCTCTCAGTCCAGATCACTCAGATAAGAGAAGCAAACAGAAGAACAAGAAGATATCTGCTGGTGGTAATAGGTGAATGCATTACATAACCCATAACTGCCAAAAGGGGTGTGGTTGTGAAGTTTTACATGGCTCAGCTTTGATAAAGCACCCTTTTAAACATGAAAACCTCACACCCACACACAGTGCAGAGCAGCAGCCATTTCCATAAATGTTATTTTAAGATTTTAATGTACTCCCTGTGTCTTTTACTGCAGATCTGTTCACAACGAGCTGGAGAAAAACAGGTAACGAAAGTTGTGTCATATCACGAATCTCACATGATTTATGTTCACAGATGTGTTGATTATTAATAGAAGGCTGAAGGTATTAAAGGATATGCATTATTGTTGTTGTGCTTTGTAGACGGGCTCAGCTGAGACACTGCCTTGAGCAGCTCAAAAAGCAAGTCCCTCTGTCATCTGACTCGATGAGGAACACCACCCTCAACCTGCTGAGACGAGCTCAGCTCCACATAAAGGTAAACAAAGCACCATGGTATTGCTCTTGTTGCCTTTTGGTACCTCTGCAGAGCTCTTTAACAAGAGCTCTGTAAAGGCACATTAACTAACACTGCTTGGTGGCCTCGAATGCTTTTTAGTCCACTGCTCACTTCTCCCTTCCCTTTCAGAAGCTGCAGGAGCAGGATGAGCGTGCGGAGCAGCTGAAGGGCCGCCTGCGCTGGGAGCAGAGGGAGCTGCAGGTACGGTTGGAGCAGCTGCAGAGAGGAACGGAGAGGATGAGGAACGATAGCCAGGGGTCGACCATGTCCTCCGAGAGATCTGACTCTGACAGAGGTAGGTCTCTATAGAACAAGAAGAGGCGGTCTCTAGTCATCTCAGTCTCAGTGATGCTTAGCTTTGCTTGATAACTGCAAGTGTAATTACAACTATGTTTATGAAGTAGACATACTCCATTACTACATTATCAGAGAAAACACAGTTGTGTGCCTAGACTTGAGTCGTAGACTACACCGATATCAAGAACTCTGTGGATAAGAGTGGAAATAGTACATAAAATACAGTACAGGCCAAAACTTTGGACACAACTTCTCATTCAGTGTCTTTTCTTTATTTTTTTATATGACTATTTACATTGTAGATTATCACTGAAGGCATCAAAACTATGAATGAACACATGTAGAATTTTGTACTTCTAAAAAAAGTGTGAAATAACTGAAAACATTTCATATTCTAGTTTCTTTGAAATAGCCACCCTTAGCTCTTGATGACAGAAGTACTTAGTGACTGACTCTGTCAGTCACCAATCATCAAAAAAGCAAAGGGTGGCTACTTTGAGGAATCTAAAATATAATACATGTTTTCAGTTATTTCGCACTTTTTTCTTAAGCACAATTCCACATGTGTTCATTCATAGTTTTGATGCCTTCACTGAGAATCTACAATTTAAATAGTAATGAGAATAAAGAAAATGCATTGCATGAGAAGGTGTGTCCAAACTTTTGTCCTGTACTGTATATTGATTGGGGAAAACAAACTGCCGATATTTTGCGAGCCTAAACTAACATTACTCTCTCATAGCATATCATTGTTGTTTTATTTGATACCACAATGTTATAATTCACTTGAAATCCTTAATTTTAGTTATGGTAAATGGTATCTTATTTATTTTCTGGCATTCTTGCAAATATCTAGTAATGCATGTTGGGCTTCATCTAAGACATATACTGAATTATTGGAAAGTCTAGATAATAGGCTTAAATGTTTCCATTAAAAGCATGTGGGTGCAAGTTCCTGGATAAGACAGAAAAAAAATCAAAGGAGATGTCATCATGAGAGAGAATATTGTGCCGTATTAAAGACATTCATATCACACTGAAGACAGTATTTTAGCTCACTGTGATATGTGACTATTACATTTTTCCTTCTGCTAATTTATTTAATCTTCTGTTGTTGTTGTTTTTTTAATTACAGAGGATGTGGAGGTTGATGTGGAGAGCATCGTGTTTGACTGCATGGACTCTGATGGACTGAGCATTACACACACTGGTTCAGACCACTGTTACTCCAGCATGGACAAAGCCTGGCTATGACGGCAGTAACATACTGTAATGTAATGTCAACAGGTGAACAGTGGGAGGAGAAAACATTCCAAAAATAAGCAAACAGGAGGAGGAGGAGGAGGGAGAAAGATGTTACCGTACAACTGAACATGTTTTTTCTTACAGGAGAAGTAACTTTGGACTTTCTTTTTTCACAATACATCAGACTACAAGCTAAATGATGATGTTATGAACAAGCAGAGTCCATTTGCACTGAAAAGCAGTAAAAATCACTGGGCTGGGATGGATGTACCATATGCATTTATATTTTCTGGCAAGCATTTCTTTGAAAGCCATGACGTCTGTAAATTCGAATGGTTAAACAGCTATGATTATTTTTCTCGAGGAAGTTTTAAATCCAAAAAAGGGCTTTTTATTCAACACTTGTAACTTATTCTTTATTTCAGTATATCTATACTGAATTCTGCCTTAAATCAGATTTTTTTTGTATTCAATACAGCTTTCTTTAGCACTAAGTTCATATTTCAGTTATGTCATGTGTAGCATGCACTTAAACATTTATCTCTGCTATTTTTCTTTGTATTATTGCCTTTTATGTAAGGTCAGCCATGTATTTTGATCTTTTTCCTCTGTTGCACAATACGTCCTCACATTGCACTTGTTTTGTTACTTAAGGATTGTGGGTAAAAAATCAAAACGACACCACAAGCAGAAGTGAACTGGTCATATTTGCACATTTATAACTGGCAACCACGTAACCGTACCAAGTGTTCATTTTGGTAATTTGTACACGATTCAGTCTGTAATTAACTGACGCCTAGTATTTAAGATTCAGTAGTTCATCATGACTGTACACTTCATTGCTTTTGCAGTTTGTCAGAATAAATGTTAATAATGCATGCAACAAAAACAGTCAGGCAGGTATTGTCTACTTGTAATAGATACACAACGCAAGCTTTATTACAAGTATGTATCATACTCATTGCTATATATTTAATAACTGAAGGTGCTTTTTTCTTTACTTTTGTATATGCAAAATGCCTTATTATCTTTAAATATTATGTATGCATTCATCTGTCTCTCCGCCCAGTAATATTATGTAGCATTTTTGTACTGGTGTAAGCTTTTTTTAATTGAATAAATATTTTCTATATTTATCTGATGTTTCTGATTATTTTTGTCAAACATGATGACTTCAAACACTTCTTACCCCTTGTGTGGATGTTACAACACTTTTATTCACCTGTTGAATTTGCGCATCCTGTGCTTGAAGAGGATCTATCACTGCTTTAACATGAGATAGGTAGTTCATTATCAGAAAGAAGGGAGCTGTATAGTTATATATGAATTAAACCTTGAAGTTGTCAGTGATTTTTCCAACTAGCATGCCCTGAGATTCACCCCAAAACCCCTTGGAGGCGATCCTCAGGAACAGAATACTCAGTCAAGCATCTCTGAAAGTTTCCTAATAGAACAAACCATGAGTGTTTTGATAGTGTGAGGACTTTTGGGGGTTTGCAGAACTGAAAGTTTACACTGACAGCTAGTTCGCTAATTCCAGCACTTTATTTCAGCTATTGTTAAATTTTCATTTTGATTTTGGAATTCTCTTTTTATTGAAGCTGCACAAAGCATCAGTCATAGTAAAATCTTTAACTTTATCTTATTAAACCAAGACCAATGTTTTTTAAAGCCAAGAAATATACATGTAAATAAGAGACCTTCCAATAACTGGTACCAGAGAGGGACCTAACTTAGGACATATTGACATTAACTTTACAGTGCTGAACCACAGGGATCTATTACCAGCTGTCTGGTAAGTGGAAATGAGGCCTGAATGGCTGTTAACATTTCCACATAAAAACCCTTAAATGAAAGTAGAAGTAAAACGCGTATTACTTTATGTACTGCTGTGTCTGAAACCAGAACTGATTGATTACGGGGTAAACATCAAAGTGATCTGCTTTATTTTCTCTAGTTTCTCCAACACCTTGCATCTCGATCTTTTGTAATTGTTTTCCATTGTTGCTCATTTCTCTGTCCATTTATCCTCTGTTACATTTGCCTCTTCCTCCCTCAAGAGTATCATTTCCTCTTGGATCTTAGAAAACAAGGTTACAAAATTAACTTCCTGTCCAGGTCTGACAACATATTAACTAATCCTCATTTTGCTTCTGAGAATTGAACGATCATTTTGCCTCTGGTAGTGATAAGGTCCCTGCAAAAATATCTGCAATGTTCAACAAGCTGAATGTTGGTGTAGCAAACAGAGACAGGAAGTCAGTTTAAATTCTTTACATCATGTTTTTTTGACCATCTGATTTTTATTCAATAGAGTAAGAGCACATTGTTGCATTGGATATTTCGTTGTATCCATTTATACATTTAAAGTTGTCCTTTTACACTTTGTTCACACATTGTATAAGTGGGCAAAGACACAGACGGTATCCAGATCTTACCACGCTATGAGTGCTAAATTTGTATTTTCTTTTACATAGCAATGAATGCCAACAATATGGACCCTTTATCAGTCAATGCACTTCAACTTGAAGCAGTCAGACGTGGTAGGATGATTAAGGTGTGGCTGGGTGAGCTGAACAAAACAACAACAGCATAGTGACAAAACATAAAACAGAGGTAAATCAAATCACATGAATTAGCATGAACAGATAATCCTGTGTTAAGCTTATTTTAGCTTCTCAGGCAAGAAGCTGGTCATAATGCCAGTCTATTACAAAACAACAAGATGCACTCAGAGGAACGGAGTAAAAAGCAAACACCGATGGGCACAGCGGTTGAGCAAAGGTCTGAGGAAAGTATGAAGCTTGGCATAGTGCTATGATCGTTTTATGGCACCCAGAGCCATATTCAACCAACCCTTCCTCTATCTCTATCTCTGGTAAACACTGAGATGATGTGGTATCAAAGGTAAAATAAATTCAAAATGAGACAAACAAGGAGGCTGAAAGAGGCTCTTAGACCAGCTCAAGCCTATTTATGGTCCACCCACCGTTTAAGTCAGAAACTTCCTCATAGAGGTGTCTACCCATGACTGGGACAAGTCGGTCTTACCCCCAGTGTTCAGGGGGGTAAATATAAATCTGTACCTGTATCAGTTACAAAAAGTAGGACTTTCACATTTCTCACATCACACATATTGTTTCTTCTGGGCGTGTGAAGCAAGGTCTTTGGCTTTCTCCTTAGCTGCCAGCGCCGTCTCTCTCGCTCGCTCCGTAGCTGTCTCTGCCAGAGTTCTGGATGGTGTCTCACCTATGAAAGTCACAGCATATTCCTTTTAATATCAGCTGATACATTTGTATATTTATACCATTTATGCATATCAATATCACTTATTGTTCAAGGTTTTTTTTTTCACAGCCTTGCTACAACACACCCCTGCAGCCTGAGACACAATGGAGCAACTACAAAGTTTTTTTTCTCGTCTTCAACTCCACTTCTACCGATTCAAATTCAACACCTCAGCAAGTTCATGGTCAACAGGCTGATTTTGGGCCAGATTCCCCCTTTCAACAAGTCAGAAAACTTTTTACCCCCCCCCCCCATCTGCTCCTAAGATGATTGGAGCTGCTTGGTTTGTTTTTGTGACAATTCAACATGTCTGATATGGGGCTGTCATGACATACCGGTATTGACAATAATAGTCTTGGAAAATATGGAAATGTTTAGAATAAGTGTATGTTAATCTGGTCTTCACAGTAGGGGGTTAAGTCCTCCCTTCAGTTTGGGAAAAAATAAAGTATTTGTTGAGGTGTGACGCAGAACCACAGTTGAGAAGAGACAGTGAGTTTTGGTTTCATCAGGAATTTGGTGACATGGGAAAAACGTAACTTTGAACTTGTAAACTAGTAGGAGAAATGGATGATCAATTCTCCTACTAGTTTACAAGTCTAGTGTATTTATCAGCAAAGATTAAAACGTGACATGTCACTCCACTCTCGTCTTTGACTTTTTCCTACATTTTCTTCAAACACTGCATTACTATTAATGTGGTGAAGTTCGATATCATGACGGAACTACTTCAGTATTTATGATCAGATATCATGTTGTGGGGGGGGGGGGGACCCTGAGGACAGCCATGCACACACTTGGAACTCAGAAACTTCAGACTTACATCAACTCACACATGGCAACAACAAAAGTGTTTCCATAATGTATCTGTAAAACATCAAACTGAGCAGAAACTCTGACTGCAAATGAATATAGCAGGTAACTAAGCAGCTAGAAACCATCCTGCTTTCCACCATGAGTGTTTGCTGTAATTTCATGTCTTGACTGTAAGAAATTTTCACATGTCAAAGAATCTGCTAGAGTGTGGTGTGCTGTGGTGGCCGTGATGCGCACTATGCACTTTATGGGATATTCACGTTTTCAAGATCTGTAAAGATTTGAAAAAGCTTTCACTGTGGGCCAGGTTTTGGCTGGAAAGCCAGTATCATCTCTATTCACAGCTGATACTTTAACTCGTCTCTATTATTGGTCAGCAAGAAGGTTAGAAATAAAATGTATTGACCAGACGTACTGATGACAGCCTTATGGACCACTTACCTTGCATTTTGGCCAGGACGTACTCAAAACCCTTCATGGTCTTTGTAACACTGGTCTTGAACCTCGCAAGGCCAAATTCCTGGAAAGTGAAAAGACAAAGTTTTGTGTTGTTGACAACCTGTGACTCATGTTGCTATATATTCATCAACATGTGTTCTCACAATGTACGCTTGGTGGCAATAAAAGCTCCCTCACATCTGTCATAAATCATTCAGTTAGATCTCTTCAATCTCGCAGCTGTTGCATCTTAACACTTTGTGTTATGTTTCTAACTCCAGAATGAAAGTCTCCCTTTCCCTGGGCTGCTACAGTGTTTCCCTCCTCTTCACTCTACTGACCTGAATAGCTCTAGTGAGTCCGTATACATTGGAAGAGATCCAGGCTTCTCTTTTTATCTCTGTCCAGCTGCCATTCTCAGGGTTAATTCTGTACTGACAGCGCTCTTCCACAGACTGGGACAGAGAGGGAAAGATAAACACGGTGACATGAGGCAGTGTTGTTACTCAAAGCATTGCTATGAATGTATGGAGGAAAGCTTAGAGGTACCATGAGGCGCGCGTGGCTGATGTTCCATGTCAGCGTGGTCATGGTCCTTTTCTGAGGGTCCACGACGGAGTCCTCGATGATGTACGCCGAGCTGGCCATGTGTTTGGGAAGGTACCGCTCCATCCAGCGAGGCGCTCGGCTAGTTTTGGTCAACAGGCGTCTGGAAATGAGGCAGTTGGCAGGAGTAACCTCCCGAAAAATGATGTCCTCCGTTAAAACATGGTTGCTGTAGGGGAGAGGGGAAGTTATGGACAGGATTACACAAAAAATAAGGTTTGCAACTTGTGTTTTTTTTTGCCCAGTAAAATACTGCAGTTTGTGCTTTACGAAGGAATCTTCTTCACTGAAATGATATTGCTCCAAAAAGAGCAAAGACAGTGGAGCATTTGCATCAAAATGAACTTCAAGCACTATTGTTGTGGTATTCATTGAAAACTGAACAGCCCCTCTATAAGAGTTATTACCAGGGGCTAAATAGGATCTTCTTGCAGTGGATTGTTTATTTTTTATATGCAATTATTAAGCTTTCTGATTACAATTCTGACTAAACTGTTTTGGTTGCTTGAACGTCAGAGCCTTCAGAGAGCTTCTGAAGCAGCTCAGCAACATATAACCCCCTGATCTGACAGTCAGGCAGTAAAGTGTGATATGTGGCAAGGTACAGAAACCACTGTGTCAGAGACAGGCAGGTTAAATAAGTTCATGTCTCTGGGTTACTGTACCCTCACCTTTATATAAGGTTATTAACAGTCCTGATTGCAACGCTGAAAACTGCACTAGCATGCAAAATAGCCAACAGTGACTCGCAGCCTTATCTTATCAATTACGTCATAGGCTGGATATCACTGCGGCTTGACCAACAATAAAGCTGTTAAATGTGGGCTTGTTTCACCTTTGCTAATAGCTGGAACAGTATGTGGTGGAAAGGAACTAGCTTTTAGGCCCTGTGTTGATGAGTGACCTGTTGAGGGTGTAGCCCACCACTCACCCAAACTGGAATCTACTCCATTACCCCCAAGATCCTCAAAACTACCGTCTCTGTGCTAACGCCCTTCTTTCTAAAGGTCATAATTGTCTTTTTTAAGTTTCTTTAGGGGATGAAAGTAGTCAGCATTGTTTATCCTTTCCTGTAAATTTCACTTTTATAAATCTATAGACACACAGATATATGTGAAGAAAAAACAAGTCAGGTTACAGATTATTCAAAATCTGCCCAATATTGCAACTGATCAGACTGAGGAACTGTGACCAGTTGGGTTTTAGCACACTTTAAACATAACTGATGCTTTTCATGTTCAGAGCAGGGAGTATTCATACCTTGTTATGCTGTATTGTTATTTCATTAAGCCCAGACACAACAAATCTTAAAGGGATATTCCGGCACAAAATTAATTTAGGGTCAAACACACCGTAACACCGAGTTAGACACCCCCTCGAGAGATGAATGTTGCAGACTGCTTGCTTCTCTAGTTATACCAACTTTAGTAACTATTGCAGGATAATTTGTTTATCATTTCCTTGAAGTAATAATCATCATATTAATCATTTTGCACTGCAGACGCAGTAGTTCTTCTGCCTTAGCATCTCGGTCTGATTGCATTTCCATGAAGAAATTATCATAAATGTTCTTCCTTGAACTGCATCACCCCGTTGTAGTCCGTAATGGACTGGCCTGTCTCGCTACAAACAAGCAGCTGCTGGAAGAGAGTAGGTGAGTTGTGTTTAGTCTCTTTGCTAAAGAAATCAGGCAAAGTTAAAAAGATGTTTGGTGGCTAGTGCTGTGGTGAGGACCCTGTATGTACTGTTGATGAAGTTAGGTGCTGTTCTGAGCATTATTTGTGGCTATAGAGCGGCGTTTTGGTTGAGGTTTGTTTATGGCTCCTCAGACCGCTGTGTATTGCTATTCTGCGGTCATTACTAAAGTTGGTATAACAAGAGAAGCAAGCGGTCGGCAACATTCATCTCTCAACGGGGGTGTCTAACTCAGTGTTACGGTGTGTTTGACCCTAAATTAATTTTATGCCAGAATATCCCTTTAAATTAAATCTCTCTCTAATTCTGTCAGAAGTTACCTTCTTCAATCCGCCTGCCTCATTAGTATGAAAACTAGCTGTCTAAAAAATGTTGTGAAACAAAAGCACAACACTGAAGCCTGCAAGTATCACACACATTCTGATACACTGAATCTGTGCCAACACTTCCCTTTCCCATCACACTAATACTGAGAGGTCAACCAAACATGCAATGGCCAAGCATGGAAACGTGTGAAGAGATTTATTTAGATAGTAAACATTCATACAGATTAAAATGATAAAAGTCCAAACAGAAGAATTACATCAGATGTTAAAATCATAACTAAAACAAGAATTATGATGACATTACATTTCCAATTACAATAGACACCAATAAAGGCCAAGATAAATGTACTAGTAATCAAAATCTCATTGGCATGTATTGCATGTTGTCACAGCGGAGTCTGGGTGTTCTGTTTCTCATTACAGTGAGTCTGGGTCATTAGATATCAGTATACCTTCTTTTTAAACACATGTTTACTGTTTAACCTTGTAATAACAGATGGAAGACTATTCCATATTTTCATACCTCTGAACATGACAGTGTGCTGTCTAGAATTAGTGTTGGTGAGTGGAAATGTGAAATACCCATTTGATGCGTGCCTTGTGTTGAAATTGTGACCATTATGACTGAACAGCAATTGATTAAGGGTCAATGACGTGACGCCTAAATATTCTGTCCGGCTCTATTTTTTTTAAGTTAAAAAAGGTTTAAATGCACAAAAATATACTTTCTATATGTAGTATCTCTCTCATATAGATGTAGTCACTTCAACTTTTCAAAAATCAGGTCTTATTTGTAATTGTTCTGAACTTCAAAGTGTCAAAATATCACGTGGTGCGACCACAAATAACATTAATTGTCTTAAATACAAACTAAAATATCTAATTTCTGTAACTGAAACATTAATACCTGATACAATATGCTTAAGTAAAAGGTAGTTTTAAAACATTTTTTATTAGTATTATGCAAGTTAAAGAAAATTTAATGCAATTTAAAGAAAAAATTAGTCTTGTAACTACATTTAATTTTGTGACTGACATTATAGAGCTGAAATGTGAGATCATTATTGCTAAAAACTCAAATGAAATGCAAACACTTTGTTTCTATCCACTTGATATTACTGACAATTTGTAAAAAACCTATTAAGTGTATTAGAAAAAATGTAATAATTTTGAGATAAATGATGGTCGCACCACATGACATTTTTAAGGCCACGGGCAATTCATCTATATGAAAAAACACTAAAATTGCCTAATTTAAAAATTTAACATTAATTTTAGTATAAACAACATCCTTAGTGTTTGAACTTTTGCAAAATAAATTCTTGTTTTTGCTATTTTAAAATTGGCATGTTTAAAAACCTTATACGTCATTGACCCTTAAACAAAATATTTGGCCTTTTATACACTAAAATTTCTTTTGAAGAAGGTAAGCAGAGACACAGTAATCCTCTCTTTCACCAATGACCAGCGTTATGTCATGTGCAGATAAGAGATTAAATTTGTCCTCACCTGTAAGGGTTGGGGTACCGCTGCCAGAAAGCAATACAAACTTGGTCCCAGGTGCTTTTGAGCAAACCTGCGCAGCAATAGTACTTCACCATTTCTCTGTGCTTTCACACTGGCTCTACCCTGCAGAAAAAAACAGAAAAAAAGAAGTCAGTCAACTAGTAACTTTCAAGTGCAGGACAATGGTTAACAGACTGTTTGCTCACTGCATAGAACAGAGGTGGAAAAAGCACTAAAATATTCCATTCTAGTAAGAGTACTTGGATTACATGCAACATAAGGAGAAGTGAAACTATGCCTCACAGATCTGTCTTTGAGTCAGATATGTCACATACTCTATTCTTGTCCTCTTTAGACCTTTGGCTGTAAATCATGAGGGTCCACTCAAACCCTGGCTACTCATATGCAAAGAGTGCAGAATGTACCAGATTTCTGAGAGACAAGGAGCTAAAGCTTCTGACAACGACCAAAATTACTAGTAAAACGAATATAAATGAGTTACATACATTATTAAGCATTCATCCGTCATATAGTTAGTCAAGAAAGGTGCCTTCACCAACGACTGGACACTACTTCCCGAATCTTCCAGCTAACTTGAAGGCTATATGACAGCTGTCAAACAGATAAAGAGCATTTTTACCAACGTCAAGTCCTGCTTTTACTCTTTAGGTATGGTTACAGAAAGGCTAATAAGCTGAGACTTGCTGACAACCATTTAAACAGTGAGTAATTCCTAATAAAAGTAAAGGTCTTCTTGTCACGTCCGCACTCCTTAGCTTCCTCGTTAGCATGAGTTAGCTTAGCATGTAGCCAACCCTGTGAATGAATGGCCCGGTGTGACCCAGGAGCTCCTCTGACCCACATTCAAATAAAAGACGAGCAAAATCCTTTTAAAGACAGAAAAGTGTACCTGTGTGTCGATGACATTCAAAGAATAAGTCTCTGCATCTTGTTATCCTGTCGGGATGAACTTCAGCCATGCGTCAAATCATGTCAAAAGCGAGTCGGTCGGACTAGAGAGAAGGTCAAACATTGCGTCATATCCGGAGGGCGGGGAACTTGCGATATCTCTTTTGAACACTAGAGGGCAGCAGATTACTATGCAAAACCAAGCACAGGTCTGAACTTGACCTGGTTATGAAACCTTCTAGTACTGTGAAATGTTGCTGATACTTCTCACAGTACAGTCTATTTGTCTCTTTAAAGAAAACCTCTTACTTTGATGTAGTCTGAGGTTGTTTAATATTGTTCTCTTAGGAATGCCATCATGAAAGCTTCAGCTTCGGGGTCATCAAATCTTTGAAATAATTCCCGTTGGAACACATTTTTCACACACTAGCTGTAAGATCTGATGCCAAGAGGCCTAATTTTAATGTTATCCTGCTGGTAGTCCTGATAAAGGCTTATGGCTTCTAAAATAAACTATACCACATAAAGGAATATATGCAGAGCCAGAAAAACATCAAACGTGGGAGTTAGGAACCAGTAACATTAACCATATTCACATATCATCTGCTGTGAAACAAATCACACTGTGTAGGCCACTTGTTCATTTAATGCTTTATTGGATGGTATTTGGAATCATGGGTTCATTTTGAGTTTTGTTCAAATGGAGTCTGAAAGTTTGTATCATTTAAATGAACTTGAGTTTTATGAAATGCATTGTCTGTATATCTTTATGTATCGGTCTCCCCTTCATTGACTGGGTTGTGCAGTTTATCTTGTATTTTCAGTGTGGAAGGTGAACTTCTAACCTAAAAGTTTGTTGACTGGTCTTGGTATAGTGTTGGTGTTTTTCATGCCTTGTGTCATGTGTCACATTTTCTTTTATTGTGCTTACATACAGATTACAACACACACTTACCTTGCTTCTCTTCTAATTAGATGCATTTATTTTGGCTCCCCACAAGCTTGTTTATTTAACTAGGAGGGAAAAAAAAAATCATAATTCCTCCAGATGGTCTCAACAACAACAGGAGATATGTGCAAAAAAGACCCTGGAGTTTGCCCAGAGGCACAGTTGTGCAGAAATGTTCATCTGTTTGTAAGTAAAAGTCGTGAAAAAAGACCACATCAGCAGCTGTACAAATACATGTTTTGATTACCTTTTAACTGCCGTTTCTTTTACATGTCCTCAAAGCAGCTTGATTCATACTGCTATGAAGACATCAAGAATCTCCTGCTCTTTCTTTACAATCTTCAGTCGTTTTCAATCCCATTCCTTCAGACACAGAGGCCTGCAGCTCTGTGTAATGTTGAACAGCTGGCTGTCAGGTAAAAGCAATTAATTTCCTGCATGGAAAGAAAACCATGGATAGCCTCTTCTGGATTCCTTGGATGAGGTCTAAATGGATAAACCCAAAAGCCAGTATTTGGAATAATCAAGCAAAAATCGTCCAAATGCTTAGGACAGCCAACAAAGAGGAAAATGAGTGTGAAAAATTAAATTTCATCACAGTCATATTGATTTCTCTCTTCCCTTCATGATGTTTTTTTTCACATATATAGCCAAAGATAAGAGACGTATGCAACAGAGTGCATAAACTGGACGTAACAAGAATTCAGCAGTTACAGGAAACACATTTTACAGTTTACCAAGTTAAATAACACCATAGTAAACATTTAAAACACATATCTGAATAGGTTTGATAAGTGCTTTTTCACAAGTACCATTTACATAGGAAAGACGGGTCATACAGAAAACAATGTGCATGCAAAAACGCTCCAGTGACAAAGATACTCAGGCTCAGACCATTCAAGTCAAAAGGCTACTTTTGAAACCTCAAGCACCACAAACTTTAGGTGCTTTCGACGTGTTCAGTCACAAACTGGCTTTTCATTCACGTTAATCTCACACAGCAGTCGGAGGATGTCCGCCATTGCGACCATTCAGAGTCAGCCCTCTTGTTGAGCGAGTCCTGAATGACCCGTCAGGGTGGAAAGAATCCGGCTTATCCTCACAGCGGAAGACCATGAGGAAGCCAGTCCTGTAGTTTTTATTCATCCACCCGTACAAGAGAGGGTTGGCAAAAGTTGAGCACATGGCTATGATGTGAAACACTGTGTATATCAGTTTGTACTCCTTGAGCCTGAGCGCCAGATCCAGGTCACTGGCCAGCTGAAACACATGGAACGGCAGCCAGCAGACTGCGAACACCACCACCACCAGCGCCAGCATCTTGGTGGTCTTTTTACGACGGCTGATGCTGTCATTGCGGCTGGACGGGCTGACGTGGTTCTTCAGTTTGACCCAGATGCAGATGTAGGCATAGCTGATGATGGCCAAGGGGATAATGTATTGAAGGAGCAACATGGACAGGCTGTAGATGACCCCGTCTCTGCTTGTACCATGGGGCCACTTCTCCGAACAAACAGTGAAATCCATGTTAATAGACAGGATCTGCTCATGGCGGTACTCTCTGAAAATGGCCAGAGGTGCTGCCAGGATAGCAGACATGGTCCAAGTGAAGGCCATGATGAGGAAACTGGAATGCCATGTCAGACGTCGACCAAGGTGGAAGACGATGCAGCGGTAACGCTCCAGAGCGATCACTGTCAGAGTGAGGATGGATACATGCACGCTCAAGGCCTGAGCAAAGGGAACCATGTGGCACAACAAGGCCCCGAACTTCCACTCATCCAGCAGAGTGTAAACCAGCGTGAAGGGCAGGCAGAGAGTGTTCACCAAGAGATCTGCCAGGGCCAGGTTGGCAATAAAGAAGTTGGTGACAGTCCTCATGTTTTTGTAGCGAATAATCATGTAGATGACAAGAGAATTCCCCAGTAACCCCAGCAGGATGATCAGAGAATAGGCTGTGATTAAAGTGATCTGGACTCCAAGGTGCTTGGTGATGTCAGTGTGGAAACCAGGTGTGTGAAAATCCATGCTTTTGTTGAGAAGACTCAGGGGTTCTGCTTCACCCTCCTCCCCTTCACTTGTGCTGTTGGACATGTCTGGTGGGCTCATTTTAAAGGAAGATGGTAGCTCCAGGCCGAGCCAACACCTTAAGAGAGAAAAAACGTGAAATAAATTCCTTTTCTGACATAAACCAGGCGGAACAGTGATTTTATCAAAGCGTGAAAGGAAACTGTAAAGGTTTTCACTCAGAACAGCACTCGCGCTGGAGGTGTTTATTCATTACCTCTGATAAAACCCCTGATCTGAATTCATTGTCACTGCCGACTTCACTGTCAGGTTCAAATAGTGTCACCACAGGAGGGTGTTTCTTTGAGTATACCTCGCTTTACATCTGTCCTCAAACACACAGTGTGACTTTATGGTGCATGATCCCTCACTGGCTCCACTAGTAAAAGCTGTCACTTGTATACGCTTGAATGCATGACCAAGCTGGAAGTTAGTTGCTGCTGGGGAGTGAACCCTGGGTCTCTGGGTCTGAATATCTTCTTGCTCATTTTTTTCTTCTTTTTAAAGAAAAAAGCTGTTCACAATCATCCTTTAAATGTAAAAACAAAGTTGCATGATACAAATTTTCTAGTTTTTTCTTGTGGCACAAAAAAGTGCAAAAGCCTCTCACTAAACCTAAATGCTAATGTAATCCGTCCGGAAACAACATACAATGCAACCATTTTACTATTCTATTCACATTACCTGGAACTGGGGGCGTGCAATGTGAATGTTATACTGTTATCACAGACACTTAGTGTTTAATATGAGAAATTAAACAGTGCCATCAAGGAGATGAAAGAATTCTCAAATGAAAGCAGCCTCATTATTAGAACAATTGAGCAAGATTGCATTGAGGAAAAGAGGATCCTGACAAGCTAAGAAGATAAAAGGGATGCATTTTGGTAACAGACTGTAATCTATAGAAAATCTGCTCTTTTTGCACACAATCCTAATCCTCTGCAATGCCAAACATCTTAGATAAAAACCTCAATGTTTCCACCTAGTATTATTTACTGTTTACTGAGAATATATTCAGCCTTGGTGAAACTGTTCACTTGGTTGCATTAGTTCTGCATTTTGTACCTGCAGTTTCTCATGAACAGCTTTGCCATTATAACGACTGTTCAAAGCTGCCTCATTAGAGCTGGAGACCACTCACATTCACAGTCTGCACCTCGTACAAAGGCAATAGCATGAAACATGTCTTATTCTTGCTAGAATGATCAATGCTGGAACATGTTGCACAAGCCAAGAAGAAACTGTCTATTTTCAAGGTGCTCTCTGATATTCATTATCATGTTATTTCTATCAATTTACCTGTGAGGGGCTGTGCGCTCCTGCTGAATACGAGGGGAACAATTTGTGGCTTCACGTTTAAAATGACTGTTAATGTTTGAATCTTATGTAACAGCTAGGGCTCGGCCACCTTATTAAACAGATGAATGCTAATTAAATTAAGTGACACTAGACTCGGCCAGGGGCTTTTATCAAATCTGTAACGACTCTGGGTCTAAAGAACTTCATTTGTGGGTGCAATAAGAACTCTGAAGTTTTCTTTTTCTTTCTTGGATGACTTTGACTTTGCACACAATTTTAAGGTGCCTATATGTCCCTGAAGTTTTCAGAGTCTTGAGATAAACACGACAGCATCCAGGTAGAGGTCATTTCTTTGATGACACTATTGGAAATATGCAGCCAGTTTTGTTTCTGACTTTGGTTTAGTGATTGCTGTTTTTCCCCATCATTTAACTCTTTTGGAATGGTAAATAGGGACTCTGTAAATTTGCTGCGTTGCAATACCTATCTTTGACAGTATTCATGTTGCTCTCTTTCTTTAATTTACTTCAAACGACAATCCTCGGAAATGTGTGTGTCTGTTAATGTTGACAGGATAAAAACTCTGGGTTCTTTAAGTAAACTATGAGAGGAGGATAAACATCAGGTGGATAGATCATGTTCAAACGTGAACATGTACGACTATAAAGGTAAAGGAGCATTGCAATCTGGTCAGTAACAACAAGTGTTACACAGCCTTGAAACCAAAGGTGCGCACAGCCTGCCTGCTCCCTCTGCCACAGGAGCAACCCTCTACACAGCAGCACACGGCCGTGGATTTGCCAGGCTGACTACAGGCGACATGTGCACTCCACAAAGCATCAGTAATTTGTCAAAGTACCATTTTCTGATCAGCGGAGGTAATCCGTGACTTGAGACAGGCTTGTGCCAGCAAGCAATCTGTCACTATACACCCGCCGGAGCAAGACGCCACTATACAACCGTGTTGTTAAGAACACTATGCGCCGTCTAATTAAAATAAGAAACATTTCCTCCAATTGAATATGCACTGATGTTTCGTTTGAGCGTAGTTTAGCCTCGTTTAATTAACTTAGAGAACAGCGCGCGTTCAATTATCTCCAAACAAGCTCTCCAAGCCCACCCAGCCGACTCGACAGGTGCAAATCGTCAGTCCCCGACTCATATACACTCTTATCCTTCCTATTTTGTTCTTATTCTTTTGTTTCCTTCATTTCCAAATTACGCACATATAAAGGTTTTGATGACCAGCACAAGTTACGCAGCAACAACAGAACAGAAAAATCTAAATCGTTACATTTCTTCGTCACCGAACTGTTCATGAAAGCTATCAGAATGATCTCGGACTCACCTTTTTCCACTATATCTCCTTTTGCAAACGAGTCTTCACTCGAGTGTGGTATGAAACGAGGGGGAAAATCCCGAAGCTCCTCCCAAGCTGGAGCGCCCAGTGCGCATCTTGTGGCTTGACTGTGCGTTCCCGTGGCAGCCCCAACGCGTCCACTTCAGTGCCAGGGACTGTCAGTGGAGAACTGCGCAGGAAGTGCGCTCTGTACACGAGACATGTGTAGCAGAGGGATCGAAGTTATAACATTTCCGATAGGCTACATTTAAGAGTCTATCGTGAAAAATGTCACATAAGGTGCAAACGCAGAATTACGTCACCTTGTCTATTTATCTTCATTTATTATTCTCTTCATTTCCAGGTACACCTGTCTCTTTGACGTCCATCTTCTCAGTCATGTGCGCAGTTTTGGTTGAACTTTGGAACAACATAGGACTGTAAACCAAATCCTCATATATTGCTTTATTCGAGGCTCCACATCAAGTGATGTGATTCCAGCAATCAAATGAGCAGCAACAAAGGCGAGTCATAGATACAAGTTGATATTGTTGTGCAGCAGCATGAAACTGCTGCCAGATTTAGCTGATTCACTGTGAAGACAATGAAGACACAAATCTCTTGCAAGCTCATTTCTCTGAGCTCCCGTGACTTCCTAAAATAGATCAAAGTTTGAGCTGAATGGGTTTGTCAAGCTGCAAACAAACACATTCAAGTTTAAGGAGCCAAATCACACTCAGAAATATCTTACTGAGCAGTGATACATCTGAGCAGGAGTTGATTTGCACTTTCAATAAAGATACTCCTTTCACCTGAAGAAATTCTCTTGAAGGGTTTTAGTTGTCTTATTGAGTGTCTCCAGTCTTTTGTTTTCACGCACAGTGGTGGAGAGGTTTGCTTAAAAGATAAGTGGCAGTGATCAATAAATTCCTCAAGGTTAATTTGATGTTTTACTTCCAAAGTACTGACTCAGTGGTTTCCAACGTTACAACTAAATAGATAAACAAACTGGAAAAAGTGTGATCCAAAAGTTACCTTGAAAAAAACATTTATTGTGTGGGGCACAATAAAATCCCATGTACTGGCAGCAGCTCTGTCTTGGCAGGTATTATGACCATGACTTTTTTGTGGTAGTTTAACCAAGGATGTGTGAATCTCTTCATCTGAAACTCACTAAATGGGCTGTGGCCATGGACTGTATGAATGTAGCTCTTGTCACATTCTGACAATATGGTCTTACATACAGAACAGGAGGCCATAGCTTTGTGAACAACCCAGTGCCAGTAAGAGCTGCCATTCACTATTCAAGCTCAGCTTTATCATTCTGGGAGCACTGTCATGTTAGATTCATGAGTTCTTTTGTTGTGGTCTAATGTGATGATGAAATGATAATTGCTGTGCTAATTGAGATTACCTGTATTGATCAAGGAGACCGGCCCACCTCCTCAATTTATCCCTTCAATAAGGAGAGCTGTTTCCTTGGCTCCACGGGCACCAGCTTATTCTGCAGTCAAGGATGGCACTTCTTCCTGCATGACTTGCATGTTTAAATGATAAAGGATTTCTGTCCTTGTCACAAACTTGTGTATTTGCCAGTAAGTTTTGTAAAGGACTGTGGCCGTGACTGAAAACGCTATTTTCTATATTGTTTAAAATCTAACTGAAAAAAAAATGTTGCCAAGTTATTTTTGGTAATAATAGTTATTTTTGGTAATAATTATAAATTTGGCTCTTAAAATGTGTGGCCAATGAACCTGTATATAACACAGTTGTGGACATATAATCATGAGCCATTGAAAAGCGGAGGTGCAGATGATTGAACTTATGAAAGGATGGATGTACGGATGGATGATTTTTATGTACAGTTAATAAACAGAAATGAATCCACTGACATACATATTTTAAAAGATACAGTAACTCAGCCAAACACTCAAACCAGGGGTCTCAATCTTCGTCTGGCTAATTATTGGTCCTGTCATCTTAAAGGAGAGCCACATCAAAGTTAAAGTACACGAAAGCAAAATATAACTGTAAATGTGTTTTATTTTCTACACTGTTATTCTTGGTTATACTGCATTTGTAATTAAACTCAACATAAAGTACCGTACAACTTTCTTAAAGCTTTTTGCTCCTAATTGACTTTATTTTTCCTTCAGAAAGAGAGAAATCCTTGTTGCTAGGACAAAGTTAGCCTTTGACTTTTGCTGTTATTTAAGTTATATTTCAATGTTATTGTGTTTTTGATTCAATTTTAGATGATGGGGTAGTTTAATGGATATGAAAAACTAAAATAAACATGTAACTTCTAAATTAAACAAGGAAAAAAATTGGGGGCCAGGTGAAAAGTGGGGAGGGACAGGGGGTAGGGAGCAGAGGGCTGAAAACAGTCCTTGTGCCAGCAGTTCATAAGAATAAGAGTAATAAGAAGAAGAACTTTATTTATCCCCGAAGCAAAATTTAATTGTCTGTAGTGAAAGTCATCTACAATTCATGGAAGAATTGTAAATTATAAAGTTCATGCATTCATTTCAATATGAAATAGGTTTATCCTAGCCTAATCTATATGAATGCCTTATGTACAATTGTATGTCTGTATTAGTACTTTTTCCAGAGTACGACTCCATCAATTTGTCTTAAAACTCTTGAGATTTTCAACTGTAGTTTATACTTGTGGATCTATTTACCTGTGCCTACAGGAATCCACACTTCAACAGTAATCTTTGAATGACTCCTCTCACTGTGTATTTATGGTCCATTGCTCTCCATTTTAGTGTTGTTTATGTTAAACGTCTGAGAGAAATTGCCCCATTGATAGATGATATAAGGATTTGGGTACAGATGTAATCAGGTTTTTCCAACCTGTCTGTTTTTCTGTATGTGAAGGCCATGCCATCTTATACCTCCTTTTGCTTTCTTTCACATGAGGTGGAATCTAAAGTCTAATACAGATCACGGCCTTAACTTCTTCAGTGCTAAAAAACTATCCATCCAGGGGATAAACAGCGTGTAAAGTCTAATTGGATCCCAAGGGTGAACATTCATTGGATTTTCCATCATAGCATCTGGTGTGCATTTTTTATTCTAAGAGACACATATTCAATTTGTTGTATAAGTATGAAACAGAGGGTGAAGTTAAGGAAGAATAGATACACATCATTGATTGTATCCAGAACTGTTGTTCAACCATGCAGTGTAAAGGTATTTAGACTCTAAGGTTAGGATGTAGCCTATTCACTTTGCCAATTAGGATGTTATTTGCCACTTTGTTCCATGAACCAGTGAAAGCCATGAATATTATTAAACCCTTAAATTCAGAAAGATTTACCTCAAAGTCTGTGTTGCAACATGGACCTGCTGTTCAAAAACCAAAGCATTTATTGATAGGAAGTGTTACATGCTGTGCTGCCTTGTTCGGCGCTGCATTTTCTTAAACAAAATTGGTGTTTTGCAAGTTGTTTTGTGCAAATGCAAAAAAAAAAATGGCTGGATTATAATTTTAAGTCACCAAAGGAAGAAATTTAGGAGGCAGTTTCTCCATCAAAAATCTCAAACTGTTAAAGGCACAACAGTCAAACCACCATGCATGTGTAGTTCAGAAGATCCAAATAGAACTTGGTGAGTAGTGGATAGAAAGAAAAATGTCATCTCACCATTTAACATAGTTTGCCAACGTTATGGCCTGATTGACAAAAAATGACTTTAAAGAGGTTTTTTTTTTTTCTTCAACTTTTAGTGTACTATTATTTTGACCATAAGAAGACATATTATAAGAAGTGACTAGTTCTGCAACTCTACAGTAGTCTGGAAATGTACCTTTGTTTTAACCCTAGAACACTATCACCGGGTGATTTTCACCCGACCAAACATGTTTACGTGGTTTTCATTATGTTGTGTTTGTCTGAGTATCATGGGTCCCTGGATAGCTTCAGCGTTGCCTTTGACGTCTTTGAAGGCATATTTGTTTCCCTGATCAAAAACCTGCTTTTTCCTACAGACACGTGTTCTGGTGATTTTCACCTGGCAATGGAGATAGAGGGTAAAGTAGGTTTAGGTGGATTTGATAGCTGCATGTAGGCGAATAAGGTAAGTAAGAGTGGTCCTGGAATTTGCATGCTATCTTTATTAAGCACAGTGGTTATGAATAACTATCACAAAGTAGTGGTTTTAAAGGGAATTCATGTGGTGATGAGAAATATTTTAGTCAGCTGGTCATTTTTACTCACTCAAAATCTGCCATATTTTAGTTCTCTCTCCTGCAGCTGTGATTGTGCCAGGGACACTGAGTCTTCACCAGGGAAGACTCACATGCCCCAGGGATGGGTGGAAAAGAAACTAAGTTTACAATATATTAACATTTTTTTTAGGAATTTTTTGTTCATGAATGCCTCATTTCAATTATTTTGTTGCATTTTTATATGGCCCCCTCATAGCACCTTTTCTCCTCCCTTTGGACATAGCACAGTTAAAAATAAAAGAAAACTACTTTAATTGTCATGTATTGTCCTATTTTGTTATATTTTGATGACAAGTAAACAACAGGTAAGGAGGGAAGAAGCGCTCGCTCACATGTAGCGGTCTGCTTTGAAATATATAGACCAATCAGAGGGCCGCTTAGTGCCGCACATGCGTAGTAGAGCTGTACGTCTTGTTCCCAAACAGCAGCCGAGGAGGGATCAGAGAGGAGATGGAGGGACTTTGAAGTATTTGACCACATAATTCTCGGAACAACACACACCGTAAGTTCACCAAAGTGATACAGTAAGGTTAATTGTTGTTAGTGTGTTAAAGATCTAAATTTGTGTCGCTTAAAATGTCGTTTCCTGGCTGCTATCCTCAGCTAAACGCTAGCTGGCTGGCTGAAACCAAAGCAAACATCTGACCAAGCATTGCTTTGACAATGCAAATCACAAGCTAGCTTATAGAGTCCCGTGATAGAGCACCTGATTTCTGTTCCTGTAACCCCGATTAACATTTACCCTTGAACTGGCTGTCGTTTACAGTTGAAGTAGACGAATACTGAAGAGCAAACAGAGCTGTTTTGTATATATTTTTCTTTTCCAGTGTTGGACTTTAGATGGGATGGGCACGGACCACTGTGCAGGATACAAGTAGTGGACAATGATTAACTTACAATAGTCCTGAACGAGAAGAGTTTGTTAACTTTTTTTTCACCTGTATAGAACAACCTGTGCCTGCATGCTGTCCCCTGAAAGGCAGTGTTTATACCTCGCCGTCTCTCTCTGCCTCCAGGCTTTTGCTTTCACTTCCTTTGCGTGGACACACTTTGGAGAGGAAACTCCCCTTCACCATGGCTGCTGCTGCTAATGTCGCCACATCTTCCAAAGGCAGCCTCAAGGAGGATTTGACATGTGCCATCTGCTGCGACCTCTTCCGGGACCCTGTCATGTTGGCCTGCATGCACCACTTTTGCAAACCCTGCATCTCCAGGTACTGGAGAGGAACTCAGGGACCTGTCACCTGTCCACAGTGTCGCAAGGAGTTCAGCTGCAAGCAGTTTCAAACCAACTACCTTGTGACAGCCATGGTGGAGAAAGTGAGAGCCACCACCTCGGACACATACCTCAAGAACCTAGAGGTGAGCTCAAGCCTCGAACCGATTTTAACTCTAGTCTTTGTCATCTGTAAAGCACTTTTAAGGGTTAACAAGGTATGAGTTATACTGTTAGATTCTTCAACACAATTTGTATGTACTTTTCAGTACAAGTGAATACAGGTGCTCATGAACTGTAGTCACACCCTCAGCATGTCTCACTTGAATAGCTCAGGAGAAAAATACACCCTCCACTCCCTTTTATAATCTTTTGTTTGACAGGATTTATGACTAACCGCAGCATTCGACTCAGTAAACACTGTCAAAATACTGGAAGAAAAATGCTGCCTGTTTATATTCATATGGATCCATCTAATCTTCCTGTCAATTATCTTTAATAATAATAATAATAATAACACTAATGATACATTTTATTTATGCGCCTTTCTAAACACCCAATGACACTGTCCAAATCAGATAAAAGCAAACAGTGAAAAAGCAAGTAAGATGTAACAGTTTGTCACTATTATTTTTTTGTAACAGTATGCCATCCTCTGTAAGGAGTAGGACTTGAGGATTATATGATCGTGATCGATGATCGGGATAAATTTCAGTTCGATCACGGTGATCAGCTGTGAGCATATTTACTCGATCAAACATGGCGGAAATGTGCGTCACAACAGCCAATCGGAGTCGATCCTGCTCACTTCTGTAAGTTGCCGGAGAAGTAAACAGAATGACCGAACGAGAAGCTAAATGTGGAGCTGAGGGCAGCAAAATAGATGTCATCCTCCGAAGATGTTATTGTTGAGAACGAAAATGATTGTCGGTTGTGTGGCGGCGGTTCGAGTATCTCCAAAGTGACGTTGAGAAATTACACCAATGTGTAAGGTTTGTTGGCAGTTGGTGCCCTCAAAAACCACCAACACAACAGATCTGTGTAATAAAATGTTGAACTAATCTCTAGTTTCTTCAGTTTAAAGTATAGACGCTTTAAAACTAGCAATTTAAAAACAAATCGTGATAATAATTGAGATCGGACGATATGAAAAAATATATCGTGATCATTTTTTTTGCCAAATCGCCCAGCCCTAGTAAGGAGGTCTGTCTTTCTTTCTTTTTTTTTTTTTTTTACTGTTTTTTGTTGTTCAATTTTGTTGACTGTAATAAACCCCGAGATTACACAAAGTAAGATAAGAGGATCAATACCACTCTTTCCTATAAATACAGTAGGCCAAAGCCAACAGCAGGTTAGCACTGCAAACAGAGGGAAATAGCTCATCCGGCTGTGTCTAAAGGTGAAACAATCTACCATGAAGTGCATATAAAGCTCATGAAATAACAGTTTTTATGTTGTGTTGAAAAGGAACTCAAAAGCTGAAGTGTATGGACTAAAAAGCAAATAAGCAAAGGCAGTTATAGGGATCTTATCTTTAATGTTTTTCTTGTTTGGGTATAGTCACCCCCTGAAGTTTCTGCCTGTTGCTTGGCAACATAATGGTGACTTGAAGTGTTATTACCATAATGTCAAAGTATGTCTTCACTCTGCCATGTTTTTACAGCAGATGGAGTTGAACTGTGTTAAAAGTGTTAGGGAATTTCAGTTTTTGTTAACACAAAGCTTACACAACACAAAACTGCATTTACTTGGATTTCATTTTCTGGTAATTCAGGTTCTGGTATGTAAACAGTTGAGTTCCTTGATCCTCTGCACGGTCTTACTGTTACCACGCTGACTTGATTTGCATATTACTGAACAGAAACAACTCAAGGAGACTTTGGAGAACCACCGCCTGAGGAAGGAGGACTTTATCAACAGCATTCGCAGAGACAAAGACAAGATGGAAACCATAAAGGTAAACTCTCCTGGAGGGAGTGTAGGGATGACAGCACTTAACAGATAAGAATGCACACATCCCTCCCTAATGGCTGTTTGCAATATGTAGCTGTACATATTTGGTGTTTGCAGATGTGGTAAGTGCTAGCTTGTGCTTTGATATGTTAATCATTATGGTAGGTACGCTTCGGTGCATAAATGCCTTGCTAACCTCTGACTTCACTGTGTGTAAACTATGCATAGGAAATCCTTTCTGCCGAACAGCCTTATTGGTACACAAAAAACCCTGTCATTATTGATTATGTCGAAAGACTTGCTCCATTAAGTAGGTATTGTTTAGCTTTTAGTCGCTTGATAAATCAACAAGCCTTCATTATACCGTGTAAAAACCTCACGTACAGGCAGGAACAGAATTACATCAAATGAATGTCAGACAGATGGAAGATAAAAGCTCGATTTTTAGGGCAAGCTGTGCTGCCAGGAAAATCCTCTCTGTTTTAATGCAATGTTTTTGTTTGACACAAATGCTTTGAGATGCTAAGTGTAGCTTCATTATCTGTTGTTCTGCTGAGATTTGTGCAGCGACATATTTAGAGCTGGAAAAGTAAAAACTTTGGTAACTTTACTTTTCTAGCTTCTCAATGTGAAATAAGGTGACATAAAGAAAGAACCATGCTACCTTTTGTGCCAAACCCAACCCTTACCCTCTTACCATCAAATTCCAGCCCCAAGCCTAAGCCATCAGTCATTTTCCCCGCCACAGAAACTAGGAGCAGACCTGCAGGCTCGTGTCAAAGGAGAATTCAGAGCTCTTCATCAGATCCTGCAGGATGAGGAGACCTGCATGCTGGAGCAGCTGAGGAGAGAGCAGGAGGAGGAGCTGGAGAAAGTCCAGCACCACCTGGAGGCCATCGAGGTGGCCCTGAGGGAGCTGGAGGAAAATATAAGGGTGTTGCAGCAGGCCAGCGTGGACACAGAGAATGTTGTGGTGACTGAGGTGAGGACTGTAAATCAAGTTTAATGCCTCAAGCTGATGTACGTCATATCTGGGTGTGAAATAAATCCAAATGTGTCATCTGATTTGACTTGTTAGATTTGCATCATATTGAAACAAAAGTCGTTAATCAGATTGTTCTTTCATTTCCTTCCTTCCAGCTCCCGCAGCTGAGGTAAGTGCTCATTTCACAGTGTTACAAACAATTCAGCGCTTTTAGCATTTTTGCTTCCAAGCTTATTTGATTTCCTTCTCCATTTAGTGTCTTTTTTTTTTCTGAGAATATGTCTTCCTAACAAAATGTACGCTTTCCTTTCTTTGACAGGCCGAGTGTGCGGGCCGATATTGCTCCGGAGTTTGATATAAACGCCTTCAGCAACAAGTACATGGCCCCTTTGCAGTACATCACATGGAGAAAAATGTTTAAGTCTTTGAAGCCAGGTAATGCTCCTTCACATGTGCTTCATTAAATTCTATAAGACAAGAGCTGATAACCGGTTCTGCCTCAACAAAGGGAATAATTACAGAAGAAGCACCCGAGTATTATCGAAGATAATGAAGTGGTTATAGACTGACACTAATGTCAGGGTTGGTCTGCTGATTAATAGCTTTTCAATTATAATTTTTTCTCTTTGTTGAATCTTATTACAGAAAATTAAATTACTTTCATAATTTAATGATCTGTTTCACCCCAAAGGTCCTTCCCCGTTAACGTTTGATGTTGACACGGCACACCCCAGCATCTACATCTCCAGGGACAAAACCGTGGCTGTCGAATGTGACGCCGTGATCCCTCATATGGGCCACAACAAACGCTTCCTCCAGTGCATCAACGTCCTGGCCGCCCAGGGCTTCCAGTCGGGGCGACACTACTGGGAGATAGAAGTGGGCTCCAAACCAAAGTGGGACCTGGGTGTGGCCTCTGAGGCTGTAGACCGCCAAGCTCGGATCAAGCTGAGCCCTGAGAGCGGCTACTGGACGCTGCGTGTCCGTAATGGGAGTGAGTACTCTGCCGGTACGCAGCCCTGGACCAGGCTGCAGGTGGGCTGCTCCCCTAAGAGGGTTGGTGTTTTCTTGGACTGCGAGGAGAGGAGGGTGTCTTTCTACAACGCAGATGATATGAGTCTGCTTTTTTCGTTCACCAACGGGCCGAGGGGGAAAGTGTTTCCCTTTTTCAGCCCGTGCATCAGCGATAACCACCAGAAACCTCATCCGATCAAACTCATCCACTACCCTCCTGTCGCTCTGTCTGGCTAATGTGGTCCAATCAATCAAAGTCTTTCAGAGTGTAAGAGCTGTTTATTCAAGTATTGACCAATGACTATTAATCTCTCTGCTGTTCAAAGACAGAAGTGCCATGTTAGCTCTGGGTCTAAACTTTCACACTGCTGTCTTCTTCTTCTTTATGCTGTAGAGATCCTTCATGGCTGGATGCTCATAGCTTATTACTGAAATGGGCCTCAGCATCTTGGAAATCTTCTGAAGTGGTCTCATTATTCATTTAAAAAAAGAAGTTATTATTCTGTAATCTTTCTGAAGAGGGTTTTTCTTTCTGCAAAGCTGACGAGCTGGAAAAATATTCAAATCTGAATTTTCAAACTAATATTATGATGCATAAAATTATGAAAAAACTGTCCTTTGGACAAATTTCTGAAGTGGCTGAACTTTTTTCAATGGTAATCTGGGTAATTAGCTTTCATCAGGTCAGTCTGGCCTTTGGCAAAAGGGTTTTTAATTCATGAATTTTAATCAGTATCAAGGAATCGTGCACTTTACTATTGAATTTCTATTTTTTGAATAATTGGTTTTTATGTTTTAAACATAAGTTTAAAATAAAACCCCTCTGCTGTCATATTTTTAAGTTTTTTTAATTAGCTTGGCACCAAGATGTTATTCTGAGCACCTTATTAGTTCTGTAGTAAACTTGCAGTAGTTGTTGAAATATGTGTTTTATTGTAGATTCATATACATTTAACACACGTGCCTTAGTTTAAACACATACACAATATGTTGCTGTCTTATTTTATTTTAAAATGTTTGTCTCTAAAACATGTGAAGTTGAATTTTTCACATTTTAGAGTCTATGCAAAATGTTCCCTGTTGTTTTCATTACATGTTCATTACATGTCAATCATTTCCTGACAGAGCCCAGAAACTCTTGTAAAACCTGCTGATTCAAAAAAATAAACCAAATCACTTTTTCTTTCAAACTAACTCTGTCTTTGATCCTTCTCTGCAGCTGTGGCTCTGCACACCTCCGTGACCTCCCTTTGAATTATCAAGGATGTTATTAAGAATCATCAAAGCAGAGCGAGCAAATATGAACACATGAGACATCTCTGACACTTAACCAGCACCGAGAGGCGGGCTTTTGGTTATCTTTACAAACACTAGCACACCAACGTCCTGTTTCCTTTTGACAGGTGAAAGGTCGCATAAACAGAGTGACAGTGGGGATGCCTGCAGGCCACTGAACGGGCCTCAGGGGTACAGACAGCAGGATGCTGCTGCCTCCTCTGCAGACTGGAAAAGTGGCACGGAGAGGGACTAATAAATATCCCCTTTTACAGCAATTGCATGGAAAGAGTGCCATTCGGAAATACGAAATAAGACCCCCAACTTTGCCCTGGATTCTACTTTCAAAATATTGATCTAAACTGGGTGGTTTTCTTAGTTGAATTAAGTGAACAGGTAATCCTTACAAATCCTTACTTAAGTCAAAGCAACAAAACACTCAAAAACAAGCTCTGCATAATTAGCTTTTCCCATCATAACAGTATATATAATGAGCAAAAGCTAATCACCATTTATATTCTCCTATTGCACCTATTATTGGGATGATATTCCTGCTGCATTTGTGTTTCTTAGTATTCATGGTTCTTTCATATTTCTGATCAAAGTCACATTTTGACGATCTTCACCGGGCTTGAGGGGAATAAAAACGTGTGATGACTCATTATAAATGTGTGTCACGGCTTCATGGAGCAGAGGCCCATTTTTTTTTTACATTTGAATGCGTGGATGTCAAATTGCTTAAAATATAGAGGAAATCTCAGAAGAGCAGCTATGGTTTTATTCCTGTAAATGTGTCCAGTAACAGTCCAGCCGTGCTGAATATAAGAGAGGTTTTTTGACCTCATGTCCACTCAGGTGGAATATTTTGTGCCTCTCAGTGGGACATTTTGGCTGTATTCTAATTTAATTCTAGCATATTTTCTCATAAGAGGCAAAAATCAAAGCTGCATTAATCAGTATTTTTCCATTAACAGTGGGAAATAGAAAAATGAAAGAGGTATCTCAGTGACCCCACAGGCAACTTCAATCTGACTCTTCAGGTCCACTCAGACTTAGAGAGCATTTTAGCATTTTGTTGCCAGCAGACTTTTGGCACTTTGGTTCACACTTTGCTCTCTCAACAACTTTGTTTTTAACAGCAGGCAGTTTCACTCGCTGAAAAAGCCACTTATTAACAGCAAAGTGAGGAACTAGTCATGAATGAAGTGCAGCATTTTGCAGCTTCAGTTGATGATAATATTTATTCTTATAAAACTACAATTCTCTTTGTCTGCTGGGGTGGAAAAATGAATCCAATATGACAGTGCATAAAAACTGCAAGTTCCTTCAGTTACCACTTGAGGCAGGCTCTAAAAGTCAGGGAAACTTCATTAGATCCAACATGAATATTTCCCAGCAGAATTTAACATACTTTCAGTGTGGATTCAATAAAAAATTAGCTGCATCAGTTTATTTTTCTCTGTAACAGCTGTTGGAGATTTATTTTTATAGCTCATCCATCTGATGATAAAGGTCAAGGGTTTTATACATGAAGGCAAAACTGGAGCCACAGCTGACTAAACTGACAGGTGAACGTTGTTGTCAGAAGCCAAGATTCAGTCAGCAAGACTCAGTTAAACCACTTTGCATGTTTATACTTTAGCTGAAAATCAGCTGGAGTCAGCATTTTTAATGTGGCACCCACCATCTTTGGGCTTCAAAACGGCTCTTTAGAAAATAGTGGTTGAAGCCTCTGTGACCATGTTTGTGTTTTATACAATTTGTGATCAGAAAACTAGTTTAAACAGACAGAGACGATGAGGATTTTTGCATTTCAGGTTAAATAAAAAGTTTTAAGTTTCAGTTTTCTGCTGTATTTCTCTGAATTCACATCCAATCAAAAAGTAAATAATCTACAGGCCCGCATACAGAGACACAGCTCTGTGTTCTTGTTTGGGAGCGGTCCTGAGCTGCTGACTGATAGTGAACATGACCTACAATTGGTGAGAAATTTTGGCAACCTCAATCAAAACAAAACACAGAAACCCTTTTGAACATTTACAACTACTTCAAAGTAGCTTGGCAGAGTGCAGCAGCAGGCCCATGGGCATGAACTTGAGGGAGACCGAGCAGGGTTGCATGCTCTCTCCACATATCCTTCCTATGATAGTAGCTGTGTGTCCGTAATGTGTTTCCTGACCCGAGGATGGGCCGGATGGTGTGCTGGCACTTCAAGGACAGGTCCTTGAGTTCTCAGTTGTCTCTTAGGAGTCGGCAGGATTACAAACTTCAACCTTTTCATCTGACACAACAGGGGCCATCATGCTGTCCTCCATGAGGGCTGTTGTTTGTTATCCTTGCTGTCTGCATGCTTATGTGTGCAGTTTTTTATTACTTTGGCTGTTTTTTTATATGACATTATCTTTTTTTTTTTTTTTTTAATCGGTAATGGGATTTGGCGACTCCCTGGACATAGTCTTGCTAGACTATCAACAATTTAGTGTTTGTTTTCCTGTGAAAGCGAGGGTGCTGCTGGACTGAAATATGGAGAACATTTTAATTACAACCATTCAATCACAACATTGTGTTTTAAGGTCAGAAAGGTGCATAGCCATGAGGAATCTGTGGGGGAACACATGCCCACAATAACACTCAATGATCTTTTGACTCCGTGTTATTCCACACACCTCTGATATCCGGTTCTCCGTGGTTTGGAAATCAGAGCGAATAATGCAATTGCGCAGAGAGAAAATATTTGTCCTCATATGTCTCATTGACAGCTGCTGTGTGATGGATTAACTGGTGTTTAGTGGTGCTGAAGGCACAGTTGGGAGGGAGTCTTGGGTCAGCTACAGTCTTGTAATGGATTTCTGAGTGCACACTGCTGGGTTTGCAGCATACTCACAGGGCATGAAAAGGGGCTGTCTGGGATTGATTAAACTGCCTGAAGAAAAGGGCTCCCTGGTTCTTCTTCGGCTCCTTAAGAGAATTGACTCAATCCCAAAACTGCTTCTCCAGCACCCAGTTAATGAATCAAGGTCCTCATTGCATCCAAAACTCTACTGTTTGTGTGTGCGCGCACCTCTTGTGCCCTCTGACTCTTTTATATCTGAGTGTTTATGGTACACAGGTTTTCAATTTTCCCAATCCCCCTCAGTCAGATAAAAACAGGGCAGATAGTGGCTCAGTTTGGCCCTGTTATCCTCTCGCTACATGATTTTCATTCACACTCTGGAGACTCCCTGAAGATGACAGATGTGGGCGGAGGGGAACGTTAACAGGACTTGGACAGGCCTGCACTGGTCAGTTTCAGAGAAGGCATCACAACATCTGACCCCTCTGGAAGAAGAATTACACTCTTATTAGAGAGCTACTCCCGAGGCTCTTTAGTTTGTTGCACTTCTTGAGCAATGAGGAGAGAGGATAAGTGTTTCTGCCTTCAATTTACAGCAGGAATCTGACCTTAAGTGGGAAAAAGTATGAGTTTGTGAATTAAAAGCGAACAAATAAGTAATTGTTTGATACTCCTCAAGGGGCTGTGTTATGGATTTGCTCTCTTCCCTGGTGACTTTGCCGTGATCCTGCTGTGGCTTTTTGTGAATTTCTGGCGGTATTAGGATTACCTGCTGAGCTATTTGAATGTCAGGAGGGATTTGACCGCCTCATAAATCCACGCAGTAAAAATCAATAAACAACAATTTTGCACTATAGCAACAAAAGAAACTCTGCGGCTCCCTCTATGCATCATGAAGGTCTCCTCTGTTTACAAAGTTGCCTTATTGAACAAGGATTGTATTGACACATATAGGCCTACAACTTGATCACTGTGGGTCTTCAACGCAGAGGATTTAGACCACTGGGATCTTGCAGGAAGGAAATTTGTCATGGATGTTACAGGGAGACCTCCCCTGAACACACACACTCTCTCTCTCTCTTTCTCTCTCTCTCTCTCTCTCTCTCTCTCTCTCTCTCTCTCTCTCTCTCTCTTACACACACACACACACACACTCACAGATACTCACAGTTGTCCGATTTAGCTTGTTTTATGAACTGGATGGGTGGGCGTGCATGCGCTCCAGTCACGAGCAAAGGAAAGGGAAATCATTGTAAATCCCATTCAGTGCCTTGTGCATCCTTTGGATAAAACGAGAGGAGAAAAGAGACACTTTTCCCCCCCTCAGCTTTCGGCTCTGTGGTCTCTGTGCAGAGTACAGACAGGCATCGATTAGCCGAGGTTCACCTGAGTTGTTTCTCCCCCATCCGCGGACATTAAACCTCTCCACCTCTCCCCCTGTCTCTGGCAACTCTTCTTTAGGAGGAACACCGCTCAGGCTTGTGCGCTTCTGGACCGGAGATCTGGAGATGAAGACAGATTTCACGTTTTTCTGTCGGACTTGGATTGGAATAGCGTACGCCTCAGGTGAGTAGACTTCTGGAGAGGGTTTGAAACTTTGGAGCGCAAAACTTTTATATGGAGGGAAAAGGTTTGTGAGAGACATAAACTTTGAGTAAATAATTTATGCGAGGTTGTCTGAACTTTAATCTTTAGACGGCTCAAAGTTTTATTTGCGCAAGTCTGGGCTGGATCCTGAATGCGAACTATTGCTTTGTTTTCTATAGATGTAAAGACAGTGCTACACAACTCTGAATAGAAGAACGAAAAAGACGCTCCAGCTACTTTCCAGCTACTTTCCAGCTACTTTCTACTTTACATCACTTACTTTTGCATTGCGCACGGAATTTCTTACGTTAACAGCTGGCCTTAAACGCACCACATATCTACTCCTTTAATACTGAAAATTTAACTTTCATGCATCTCACTCACTTTGGGATTGGTTTAATAAGAACCTCTGTGAGGGGTCTCTCGTCTTCATGCAGATAGGCACTAGAGGGAGGCATATTGTTGTTGTCTTTTGTAAATATGCAGTTTTTAATTAATGATAACCCAAATCAGGTGCAGAAAAAAAGATCAGATTGTATGGCACAGTATTTCTATATTTGTGTCTTTACATCAAAGTGAATGTACAGTATGTAGGTCAGAATTTGGAGGAGGCAAAGTGGGAGGAGAGCTGACTGATATACAGGCTACAGGACTGACATGATGAAGAGGAGGAGGAGGTGTAGGAGGAGTTTGGTGGGTGTCAGATCTCCTCTTATCTCTTTTGTTCCATGTTATCTTATAGTTGTAAAAATGTCACTCATATGCAGTTCAAACTAACCTTCTTGAAGTGCGTCATCTTTAAATGGTGTCGTCTGCTTCCACTCACTGTCTTTTTCACCACATGTTGCAGTGAGGCCAGGGGTGCGTCCACGTCTTTTGATTGTGGTGGTACTGGCTTATGGGGGGGCATGAAGTATCTACTCCACTAACTAGTATCATAAGGATGTTGTCCTCATGGACTTTGAACATTTTAGTCTTAAAGTCAATTTTTTAGCGCATAAGAATTTTTATTTTTTGTCCAAATTCACATGTTAAAGCACTTAAAAAGTAGCAAGAAAACACACCAGGGCTTGACACTTACTTTTTTCACAAGGAGCTCATGTGAGTTGAAAAAATAAGGAGCACACATGCCATGTCAATTGGTCACATGACATGGAAGCTACTTGAAGTAAAGGTTCGAAATTTGCCTTTACATATAACACAAAAAGTTTTTAGAGGACATATTTGGGAAATAAAGAGGTGTGTTTATTGTCCGACCTTAGTACTATTATTTGAAATAAATTTTAGATCAATTGGTCGCATGACATGGAAGCTATTGTAGGAAAACAGCCTTTTCCTGAGAACATCAACCGGTAATTTATTGATGGTCCCTTATTCGATACCAGACATTGACAGCAAGGGTGCCTAGTAGATTTAACCGCGCTGCTGTTGCCGTTCCCGGTTATGGAGAGTGAGAGGACACTGGTAGATCCACAGTGAATGTCCGTCAAATACCCAACCTAAAACTAACTTCGCCATGGTATTTACATGAAAAAAACATTTTTTCCCCCTAAATACATTTTACAGTTCGCACACATCCATTTTAAGTCACAAATGCGAGTGAAATGGTTGCACTGTCAAGCCCTTCACATGCTCAAACGTAAACTCAATGGAAACATTTCAATACCTAAATGCTATGATAAATACATTTTTTACAGAATTTTTAAAGAAAGCCACAAGCAACCTGTTGCAACATAAGAAACAGTAAACTAAAGTCCAACCTCTGCCAATGAAAGACATCTGGTACTCTCATAACAACAGGATCCTAGTCACTTGTCAGACTCTGTTCCTCTGTTGACCCCCAAGTGGTGGTATAAAATACCTAACAACAGACTTATAATCAGATGAACACAGCATGCGATGTAGCAAATAGCATAAAAAAGATAGACAGACAGCACTATGCTAAGGAAAGAAACATCCTTTTACCAGTGAGTGCCATATTTGCAGTTTTTTCTTCTTGTTTTAAGGAAAATACATCATTCGCTTCATATCAAACGGTCGTGGTAGCATATTCCTCAAACCCTCCAGCGGCAGAAGCTGCCATCTTGGTTGTTTACAAACATGAAGATGTGGCGCTTCAGTGTTGTCATGTGAAATAAAGGACTGTGGTTGGGTTGATATATCTGACACCAAGGGGAAAGCTTTTAAAATATGTTTCCAGACCAACTTGCCAGGCGACAACTCATCAACACTAATAATGTTTTTATGAATTAAAAAAATAATAATAACATCCTGTGTGTTGCCACCATCACTGCATTATCTTCAGTTGAGCTTAAAGCTGTTTTTCCTCTGATGTACAGTGTTTGAACTTGTTAATTTAATACTATCATTGTAAATGTAATATTATCAAGGAAAAGCAACCAATCATACTTTAGGATTCAGGGGCTGATGATTAGATTTCAGAGGGGCCTATGCCACCCCAGACACCTCATTGGACACACCCCTGACTGAGACCATGGACTCATAAAGCCCACATACATTGTTATAGTTGAACTATTTTACAACACACACTCAATCCGAGGCCTTGTGATTGACTGTGCTGGCTGGGAGAATCTGGCAAATGTTGTTTGCAGTTTTTTTGTGCCAGTGATTTGATATGTATATATGAGATGTTTATCATTGTTCACTGCTGAACAGCTGTTCATAAAGAACAGGGAAGACTTTTGTGAGGGGATGTCCACATATGGTCGCTTGAATCATGTCTTCCAGTGTGGAGGGGTGTCTCTCGTTCCAGTGTGGGGTGAGGCACATACATTTGTTGGAATGAAAAGACAGTGCATCAGACAGGAAGGAGGACTTGGGGCATCACAAAATACACTCCAAGAGAGAGGGGAGCCTTCTGCTACAGTGAATTTTATTGATTTCAGCTTTTCTAGCTGGCCTTTACAGAGTCTGGTGCATTTTCTTCCCTCCTGTCCATCTACCATGTGTACCTTGGTAATATGCAGCTGATGTCCCTCTCAGCTCTTCTGCTGAAAGGTTTTTTTGCAGCTCTTTTAGTTCAAGCTAACAGGGTCTCCATCTTTCTCATTTAGGGCTGGAAACACAATAAAGAGACAGTGTATCTCAGGGCTCTCCTGGAGGCTGACAGAACCATCAGCTTCGTCCTAGAGACACATTTATCAATTATAGCCTCACAGTGTGCACCTGAGAGACGGAGTGTGACATTAAGGCGGAGAAGTGTGAAGCCGGGGACCAAACTCAGGCTCAAGGCTGCAGCTTTTTGCACCTCAGACTTCAATATTTTTACTATTGGTGATGCATAAGAGAAAATGCACAGAGATATTCTTACAGCCGTGTTAACTAAGAGTTTGGTTTCAGTCTTTACTTCCTCTCATGGATTCAGAACATTGAAACAAAGATTGAAAAGATGGACCTTGAACATGTTGATTTCAAATGTTTGTGTTAAATCATTATAACTTTGTAAAGTTTTGATCTCCCTGCTTAACCACTTAATTGCTTTGATAAAACTTCAGAATGTCTGACCTTAAAAAAAAGTCGAGGCAAAGTCTGGTGTTAGTATGATGAGAGCCCTAGCCTCCCATTATTCTGATCTGTGGGGCAGACTTGAGGCCGAGCAGGTTGTGGACCTGCCAGCTCAGAAGTCATTGTCATTTCACGGCGAGAGGATATAATTTACACAGCAGCTGCATGGAGGAGCAGTAAGATCTCACCCCGGACTTTTTCTACCATCTTCCTGTCACGCTCTGACTCTGGTTAGAATTATGATGCTTCCAAAACATTTATTTCACAGCTACAGAGATTCTTATATGAAAAAGATATGTCATTGCCACTCTGCAGATATAGAATACGATTGAATGCATGAATGAATGGATCATAAATTACTGATTGCGTCTTTTCCCCTTGATTCCCTTGATTTTCTCACAGCATAATTGGCTTTTGAAATCCTTTCCAGTAAAAAAAAACCACATATAAAAGCAGTGAATCATTTTTCTCTCATAAAGCTGAGCCCCAGAGCTCAATGATCCTTGGCTTACTCGGTCTTGGGTGCTGAGTGTTGATATTGCTTTTAGCTTAGTGTTTTCAGTTCGCATACCTTCACTTGATCAGATCATCCCAGAAATCTGACTCTCAACTTTTGGTATTATTCTAGTCACCCACTTAAGGAGGTTGAGTTGTTTTAGCCAGCAGTATCCCTCTATTTTCTCAGAGCTGATCTCAGATTCAAACCCCAGTACTCAGAGGGACGGACCCTCTGTGTCCGTCTTTGAATATCTCATTCTCCTCTGAGAGAGGAATTCCATCTTTGCGGCTTCATGTGGGAAGTTCTCTGCAGTAAAGTCCAAATAAATAAGGAGTCGAAGCCTCACTCATCACTGGCATGGAGTAGCGAGGCCCCAGGGGCATTAGGATGTCTGGTCACTCACTTTCTCATCATGCTAAAGCACCAACACCCCAAATATGACTGGAGCTGAGAGATAAGCTCTTTCAACAGCAGGAATCTGCGGCAAAAGCCAAATATGTGTCTAAGTTGGTGTTAGATAGTTGATGAAAAACATCTGTGGTGTTTTTGTTTTTATATTCTGACCCATGTGTGGTTTTCTGTGCCCAGTTTGTAGCCAAGCTGGCTGCACGGCCTCAGTCATAGCAATGCTGGTCAGGTTGTTGTTTCAGCACTCTGGGGTTGACTGAAATACCTCACCAGGAGGATCGGTATCAAATTATGAACTCACATTCATGCCTCCGTAAGGGTCTGTGATGACTACATTATTCAAATGAACAATGAACACGTTTCCTTAAAAGGTTTAGCTAGTAAAAGAATTTAGAAAACATTGTTGTAATGTAAGTGTTTGTTCAAAATGTGAGCCTTATGTCTACAGGAGGGGTGAGCAAGGGAGAATTACACTCTGCTGCTATTAATCACTAAACTTTCCAATTGCAACTCACTCTACCTTCAAAGTACTGATAAAATGTCACTGATCAGATTTCTCTAAAATCTGCAGTTTCTTGAGTGTTCATTTGTGGCTGGTTCATAAGAAATCAGGGGACCGAGGAGGCTAACAGCTTGCTCCTCTTACTTCTTGCCAAGTTGATGGAAAGTAGGTTGAGTCAGTACTTTGATTGTGGTGACTGTCAATATTGGGCCCAAAAACTCTGCCTCAGAAACCAGTGAGTGGTGTCTCCACATCCATTTTTTATTCTTTTGATGACCTTAAACCTCTGTTGTAACTAAGTACAGCCTAAGAGAGTTGCTAACTCTTCTTTAGCCCCACACTCTGCTAAACAAAATTGTTTTTTGCACCGCACAACATCAGTTTTTTTCTGAATTGCAATCTGAATTAAGTTGGACAAAGACCTAAAAATGGACAGCCATACAACCATAACTTTTATTGGACCAGCTTCAGAGGGTGAAGAGGGAGGATGTTCCCAGCGCTAATGAACCATTTTAATGGACCACACTGACAGCTTTAGACTGTTCTGATGGCAGAGCTCTTTAAATGCTCCTTTTAGTGTTCAACTCGCCATATGAAACATGTTTGAACAATTATTGCCCCCCTAATTATGGCCCTCGACAACTCCCCAACCCTTTTCCAGATCAATTGGACTGTTGTCTTTCACAGCCAAAGTCAGACCTGCCAATAAAAGCATGAATTGCACAATAAAACCAATGGTCAGTCCTTAAAGATGTTTGTTAGAATCAATTCAGCGTCCCTGCTGTGCAATAAAATGTCAGCCACAGCACTCTTCAATTTGGCTCAAGAAAAATACATTTTTCTCAGCTTGAAACGCCACAGTTGGATTGATTTTCATACCAAGCAGGTTTAACCCGTTGACTTTTTGTCTTGTTCACTCAGGCTTGAGTTTCAAACTGCAACTTGTAGCTCACAAAGAATGTCAAAAATCAATCTCACTGCTGCTGTGTGTGCCAAGGATAAGAACCATGGTGCAACATCATAGGTTTAACCAACCCATGATGAGGGCCCCTTTACTGTAGAGGTTATTGCATGTGAAGCTGTTATTCAGGGGGACTGCTTCTTATTTTTCTGTTCGGCTTAAAACCTGGCTAGCTGAGCTAGGATGTTAAAGACATGCAGATGGTTTTGCCAACTCATTAGAGAGTCCATGATAATTAGGGGTTTTTGAACGCATGGATCCAAAGACTCAATTTAGCATCAAAATGACTCATTAATGTGAGGCTAATTACACAAAATTCTGAACCGCTATCTGCCATGTAGAGGACAGTAATTGTACGTTGTGTTGATAGGCAGTGGAAAGAAAACACTTTTTGGCATCCATTGCTTTTTATGGAGGATCATTTGACACGTTTTTTGACAGCAGAAACTGGATCCTGGGTTGCGCTGGGTGTTGGATGGATACTACAACCCGCCAGTGCTCATGTTGCTAAGAAACAAGCATCATTTTGAACACTCGTCAGCTTTACGACGGCCACCTTGCTGTTGTGTTAAAATTTCTATTCATGAAGGCAGATGTTGTGTGTAGGGCTGTGACTGTCTGAGCAGCATTTTGTCACTAATTCCTTTTGCTTCGTCATTGGAGGTCGCTTGAGGTTCATGGGAAAGAGTCCATTGGCAGAGTCTGAGGAAATTGCCAGCTTCCCTCCCTTAAGGCATCCAGGACTATAATTGTTGACCTGACACTCCCTACTTTGCCCTTGTTTACTACACCAGCTTAAGCTGTGGCGGGGATTTAGCACACTAGGTCATCTGAGCTAGTAATAAAGGCTTGTTTGTTGTCTGAATCTCCATGAATTAGGTAACAAGTGCGGTAACAGGGCTCCCTCAAAGTTTGGCCCCCGAGCAGTCACAGCGTGAGTTTTAGGGGTGTGCATGCCATCACAGTAGGTCTGCTAAGCTTTGGCATTTGGTTACTCTGAGATGTCTTAGATGTTTCTCAACGGTATTCCATTGGCAGGATTCAGGACAAAGCATTTATCAGAATCTGCTTGGGAAAACCAGCGTAGGAAATGATTTCTCAGTGATAAAAATGATGACCAGTAAAAAAGAATAACTCTCCAAAGAGGAAGAGCTTGAGTTGTCCGGTGTGCCTGTGGGGCAGGTACAGGAAGATTTAGTCAGGGACGGAGGTTTTAAACATAGGAAGCTGGCCCAGATGGCCTGTCTTTGCATCCTTAATTTTCTCACCCCTCCTCTAGCAGGATGTTGGAAAGGCTGAACTCCCCCAATAGTGGAGAGGACAGGGACGTTTTGGATGTCATCCTTCTTCTTAGTAACAATGAAATCAAAGCTGTGCTGCCAGTCAGGCCGTCGCCTCGCCTGGCCTTGTGTCCAGATGACACAGGAAGTGGACTTTATTTCTTTCAGAGCAAGACAGAGTATGTTTGAGCCCAAGGCAGAGCAGCTCTACATCCAGAGAGCAGGTCTGTTTAGTGGCCTGTATGGCCTCTTGTCCGTCACCGGACACACACAGCTATTCAAGAGTGCCTTAGCCTTGGCCTTGAGCCAGATACTGTGTCACTGAAATAATTGTGGCTGCACTGTCATTGGCTTGTTGCTGTTTAATGTGAAAACCCTATGGAAACTGAGGAACTAAGGTCATGATAAAGAATACCTGGGTATTTTTTTTAACCATTTTTAACAGCAGCTCATGTAACCAAAAATCTTCAGCACAAGTACACAAAATGCAATTTCCACATCTGTGAAAACTCTGTGAAGACCCCCATGTTGCATCCTTTTTGCCAAAATGAGACTCTTAGAAAAGCTGTATTTGTTGACATGACATTTCTCTTTTCCTGTTCCTGTCATGTGACTGATCAGAGACAAAAAGTACAGAGGGGCGAGGAAACACTAACGGCAACATCTCCCTCACCGTCCATGAAAAAGGGAAGTGGGACAAGAGCAAACATGATAAAGAAAACAGGAAATTTGCTTGCAATGAAAAAAACGCTCTGCCGCCTTTCACACGAGCGTAGAATGGGCCATGTGTCGTAGCTCCCATCTTCAGACTCACCTTTGATGCTTTCCACTTCTGCTTGCCTTGGATCTGTCTGCTTGTCAGAGAAGCTTTACGTTTCAACTGGCTTATAGAACTGTATGGCAGCTGCGTTTGCATGTATGATTCATCTCAAGTCAGCAGGTGTCCTCTGTAGGATGCAGAGTCCGGTTACAGTTACCCTGAATGTGACAAAACCACCAGAGAAATAGAGAGCTCAGCATAGGGGAAAATAAAAGAATCCCGTGCAAAAGCAGTAAAAAAAAAAAAAAAAAAAAAAGGTAAAAAAAATTACTGCAGCTTCTTTAGTGGTGTACTCCCACATACTTAAGCAATTCGACTGTTCATTTTTAAAAGACTCTATCTAATATTGCTGCTTCTTGAATTCTGCTGAACTGCATTGAGATGTTAACTTTTATTTCCTCTTGATTCTTGTGTGTAGCTCATGTCACATCGTAGCAGCGTTTCATACACCGCCTGTTCACACATATCTCATCAAGTGAGCTATGAAGACAGACAGAGGGTGGATTGGGAAGCAGCTTTTGTTTTATTTATGTGATTTTCAAACAAATAGGCTTTACAAGAGAAGTTCCTTAATTTGGTGCTTTCATTGTGTTGTTTTTTTGCTGACAGTTTGGTTAGGAAATTTGCTCCCTCTCTAATGTTTCATTATACGGTGTAGTCTGCAGCCGGTGAGCTTGTCTTAAAGAAGGAAACAGCTCACCGAACTTAACCCCAAAGTTATATACTTTCTTTTCATGTTTTAACGAAGCCAGGCAGGTAAACAGGTAAACGAGTACTATAGTAATCTTTAGGAATCCAGAAGTGTAAAAACAATACATCTTTTAAATTCTGCATAGGTTCATCAGTTTTTCTTATTTTTAAATCATGTTTAAAATTCTATTATTTTGCAAAACAGCCTTTCAGTCCACAGTGGTATTTACACGTATTTTGATTTTAAAGAGACGGATGCATGTCCTTTGACATGTCATTGTGTTCTAGACATCACAAATGTCTGACACCACTTTTGGCAGTTCCTACCATAGTCTTAATTTTATTTGATTTTTGCTCAGCTCTTTTGTGAAACAGTGCTTTGCTGACAACCGTGTGATTAGCTGCACCTGTATGCTAAGCTGGTTGGTGGTAAAGTTTAAACCTTAAAATACTACAGTGAGATTTTAATTCTGTTTGACACAAAATGCATTTTACTTTACTTTACTTAATTTGTTAGCTGGGCCATCTGGGAGTTCTTCCAAAGTGAAATGTGCCATTCATAACCACAGTAGTGTCTTTATTTTGTATCATCACTGCAGCAGTTTATCTACAAGTTATTTTTTGAAAGTGTTAACTCTAGTAGCTCTCATAAAAAGAAAAAAAAATGCCAATTTAAAAATGTAGTTTGCCAGTCTATGTCTTTGCCAGGACCAGTAACCCTCTAGTCTCCAGCTTAATACCTGGGGACTGTGATCGATGACAGGTTGTCCTTTGAGCATCAGGTGGACGCCGTGTGCAAAAAAGCCAATCAGCGCATGTACTTCCTTCGCAAGCTCAGGAACATAAACGTTGAGTCAAAGTTTATGGAAATGTTTTACTCTTGTTTTATTGAATCAGTCCTCACCTTTGCTTTTATATGTTGGTTCGGGTCAATCACGTTAAAAAACCGGAACAGACTCCAAGGGATAGTCAAAGTGTGCAGTAAAATTGTCGGTACCCCACTGACAGACATCTCCCTCCTGCACAAATCCACGTCCCTTGCGAAAGCTAAACTTATCCTGTCGGACCCTTGCCATCCTCTGGCACATGAATTCAGCCTGCTCCCTTCCGGCCGTAGATTTAACGTGCCAAGATGCAGGACAAACAGACTTCAAAAGTCTTGGGTCCCGGTGGCCATTGGCCTCCTGAACAACACCAGTTAGCATGCACTGTGGTCACTTTACTCCTTCTCTTCTGTCCCCTATCGTGGTATTGCACTTATGTATTGTCATTTTGTATATTTTTAACCCTTTTTAACCTGTCATGTTATTGCTGTGTATTTTTTTTAAATGTTGCCTCTGTTTTGCTGCTGGCTGCACCACAAATTGCCCCTCGGGGACAATTAAGATTTCTTGACTTGACTTGACTTGACTTATTTTCTGGAAATAGGTTTTTGTTTTTATATGAATTTTTGTGCTGTTGGCTGGCTTTTGCTGTTTTGAGATGTGAGACTAGCTTTTTCCTGCTCCTCCAGGCTTTGTTAGAGTATAAATCTCACACTGAATTTATGAAAAGAAGGAATAAGATGTTCAGCAAAATTTTGAATACCTCATTAAATTCAGGGCATATCACAGGTTTAACAGGCCTGTGAGGTACAGAGATGCTGCCTTAATGTGGTACGCAGGTTCCAACCACACTGACAGAGTTGACTATTTTTACAGTGGGCATGGCAGAATATTTTGACACCAGCTATATTTTATATTTTTTTATATTTTTCCAAAAGGTTGCAATTTATACTTTTTCCCCCTGTCATCTTTTCCCAACACTTTTGTCATATGTTATGGCACCAAATTATTGCAAAACTCCAAGATGCAACAGTCCTTTATTGCTCTTCAGGCTGTGGTTCCTTGAAACACCGAATGAGTCAGCTACTTTTGATGTTGGCATGCTGTTTGAACATTTCATTTTACAAGTAACCAGTCACTCCCTGGCAGCCAGGTTTGTGAAGCTAACACATCAAAGTGCAGCCAAATGGACATGCTGAGTGACCAGATGCAATTGTTCTTGAAATTTCTGACTTCTGGCTCTCACATAAAACTGGTACAGCACAGGACAAACAGACAGAGAGACCAGCCGGAGGATCTAACATGTCTAATGTTGCCCTTTCTATACTGTGTGAATGTTATTACATGGTGGACATGTTCAGCTGTAACCCAACCAAATCATTCAGCATTATCACACTCTTATCTACTAAAAACCTTATTTTCTTTCTTTTTTTGTTGATTCAAAGAAATGTAAGCCCAAAAAGTATGGTTTAGTCATTAAAACCTGTATGTTAGCTAGTGGAGGGTACAAACGTCATTCCTACTGTGAGAACAGCTTTTCACAACACTAAAGAAAGCACAGTCCTATTGAGTGCAATGCCAAGTTTATACAAAGACGTGTTCAGTGAGCTTGATATAAAAAGAATACCTTTTTTATGAAATCTTCAGTTGCTGTTGAATTATTTTTGACAGATCAGGGTGTCAAATGTAGCACAATGAACTCATTTTCAACACTTTGAGAGTAGTTTGAAGTGCTTGTTAAAAAAAGTGCTCACAAGATTAATGTCAGAGACTTGATGGTGTGTTTGTGTGTCTGAAAGATTTGACACATCTAAGCTTACGTGTTTATTTCCCATGTAATCCTACAAAAACAGAGGGAGAAAACCAAGCTTGGAAATGTTGTGTTTTATCTTTGTAGGTTAAAGTGTGGTGTTTTTTTGTATTGGTAGAAGTTAATCACCCAAAACTGCAGCTTATCTCTGCACCAGCAGCTGGAATGCATGGGAAAAGATGGGGAACCAGGCTCAAATCATTTTTTGGCTCTCTGCCCCATGTTTTGTAAGGTGCTTGTCAAACAGCCAGTCAGCATCCAGCACAGGTTTTCAAGCAGAGCATTCAGTTTGGGAGGATGAATGTTGCTTTGCCAGATGTTGGCGGCAGACAATTATCAGCAAAAATGACTTGCATAATGAGCACGATAAGTGATCTTGCATGTTTTATCTAATATTCAAACAAACAACATACCCTTTGCATAACCACAAGCCATTTAGTATATTATGCTGCTTTGTCTTTATATCAAATGTGTTTCTGATCTGCCAGGCAGCGATTTCAATGTAATGCTTGTTTGAGAAAGTATCTGTTATCATGCTTTTCAAAGCTGCAGGTGATCAATCACAGTAATCATAAACCGTGGATTTATTTGTGCAAACTGACATTGAGTAAATCTCCACTTAGAGCTGCATTAATAACAAAATATTGACAGGTATGTCTTTCAAAGATGTTCACAGTTAATTAGATGAAAAGAACTGCTAACCATGAAAATTTCATCAGCTCAATTTTGGATTTAATAAAAGGATGAAAACAGGCGCCATACAGACTGTTTAAAATGTAAACACAAACATTCATTTAGATCTGTTTGCTAAAAAATGAAGTACAGAAAAACAGTTCAAGAATGTTCATTAATACAGTTTGATCAAACAATGAATATGATGAACAAAGAAATGGACAGATATATGATAGATGGATGAATGAATGATGGACAGACAGATGGATAGATGATCAAGGGACGGATGGATGAATGATAAATGAGTTGATGTTGGATGGATGGATGGATGGATTATGTATTGATGATGGATGATGTAACACAGACAGACAGAGAGACGGACAGATAGATAGATAGATAGATAGATAGATAGATAGATAGATAGATAGATAGATAGATAGATAGATAGATAGATAGATAGATAGATAGATAGATAGATAGATAGATAGATAGATAGATAGACACTTTATTGTTTCTTGGGAACTGTGGCTTAAATGAGTTATGAGTTATGACATGGCTCATATTGGTTTCTAACTCCCCCACTTTATTCTTGACCTTTTTCATTAAGCTCACTGAGAAATTCACGTCTTATGTCATAAGGATATACTGCAACGTTAATCTGAAAAGTCTATATCATGGCCGTATGGAGGTTATTAATCCTGAACTAATAAGCAGAGTCGGTAAGAGCACTGAGTTTCATATATTCATATTTAACACACACACCCAGCCTGGTTATGTAACCTGATAAATGAAAGAAAACTGTCTTCTATTTTAATGCTAGAATAAATTTAAACCCTTACCTTAACTCACAGTCTGCTACATGATTAAATCAGACAGTTTCTTATTTGTAGCCACAGCATTATGTAAAAAGTCATAATGAACCAGAGTTCACAGCTGCAGCTCTGCAAACATCATTTCCACCTACAGCTCTGCGAGTGCTGCTGACTGTCTCCCCTGCTGAAACCAATGTTTATGAACAAAGCCTGTTCAGCATAAAGACTCTGTAAAGCTTTGTTCACTTCACTGTGTAATGCATATTAAGACAAATGAGCGAGCTGAGTGATAACAGTCATAACAATCTGTCATGAAATGCAGCAGTGAAAGGTCACAGCAGCAAAATGTGTTTATTATCATGTCAAGATGCTATCAGTCATGAACTTGTATGATTTGATATGTTTGGTTTTCTTTGGCATTCCTTCTACATAAGCTACACATGGAGGCATTGTGTGGTCTTAGTTACATCTGACAGAATGCAAACAATTACTAATGGGATCATATATTTTTCAAACCACTGTATGTAGCTGACCAGCCTACAGGACTCCATATTTGACGTCTCACAGTTTGAAAATACGGTGTATACATTATTCAGCACATCCATATGGAAGATATTGACATCTGGAATATCTTCATCATTGTGAACTAGCTGCTCCTGGAGCATCATGGGAGAAAGTCATCAGTATGAGATGTATGCAGATGCCCCCTCCCTGCCTCTCATCAATCACAAGTGTCCGAACAGCAGAGGAGGCAGTTTGGCTCGCAGCCATATATAAACCAGAACACATTAAGTTATGACTCTGCAGCACCTCCTTCACCAGTTATGAGAGAGCCACTTAGAGGAAAGTGATGTTTAGAAGATTCAGTGTCTTGAGATGTAAGCTGTTAGCCTTAAACTCACTCTGAAAATCGGGAGAGTTAAAGGTGCTGACAGTACAGCAGTGTATTTGTCATGTACTGTATCAATTTGAATGATTTGTTAAATGTTTTCTTGACTTCAGAGATATTCTAACTTGACCCTGCGTGGGTGTTATGCCTTCTGGTCTGACACTCATCTTGTGCAGTGATGGACTTAAAAGCCTGCTGACTTTATTGTAACATTTTAGAGCTGTAATTTTCAGTATCAAGCAAATACTTATTTTCTGGTTTTTCTGCCAAAATACAGCTCCAACATCTTGATGTCTCGTCTCTGAGGAACTGAAAGTCAGTTCTGACATTTGCAGAAGATTTACAATTTGCATCCTGTCTGTCAGTGGGCGATCCCTCAGCTGATTGTGAGGGAAACATCCATCACTGAAATCCACTGTGCTCATGTCTCTGGAACGATAATCATGCAAGTACACATCAGCCTTTACAGTGGATTCTTGAATATTACCTTTGAATTCTATTCCAAGGTATGTTTTAAAAATGCAATCAGGGCGTAATAACTGATATCATGTATTACTTGCTATTATGATGGATACATTTTTATTGTATAGGCCCTGCAAATTTGTCCATTCCAGTTATTTGTGCAGCTATCAACATCACTTCTCACTGGGATGCAAAACCATTACAACTGGTAGTAAGAGTTTCTCATCTGCTGTTTTTAATGGCTGATGTTTAGGTAAGATTAAGTTGGTAAAATAACTGCTGGTATAGGAACAAAAACTTTCAAATTTTCCAGAGGACACAAAGTGGGTTGGATCCTTCTGTACCTAAGGCTACATGTGGTATTGGTATTGTATTATACTGTATTGAACCATATGGAATGATAATGGATTGTATTACAATAAACAAAAATTACTGCCGAAAGGAAACAAAATAATCAAATTTCACCATGGGGACAGAAAGTATATTGTATTGTTGTATATCATATCATGGGGTCAGAAGGTGCATCATAACAAATTGTATCGTATTATATTATATTGAATTGTATTGTATTGTATTGTATTGTATTGTATCGCTTCAGATCCTTTTGCTATGTATCGTTTCATGGTTCAAAGTGTATCGTATCAAATTGTTTTGTATTGTAACGGATCATATCATATCATATCCTTTCTCTTTGTTTCGTATCGTATCATGAGGACAGAAAGTGTATCATATCGTATCATAAGCATGCCTTTCTTGTATCGTAGTATAGTTCAACCAGCGAATATAGGCCTAAGAATAATTCTCTCTTTGCTGTGTTTTGATCTTTACCAATTCATGAGGGTAGAATCTTGTTCTTTAGCTGATTAACGCTCCACCAAGTTCACTTGTTACTTGCTGACTTTGTCCCAATGTTGTTTGGTCAAGTATATATTGGATCTACCACACCTTTATCATTGAAGATAGCTCCTAAATAAGCTCTAAATCAGATGCTCTTGGCTTTCAATTCGGCTTTTGACGAGATGGTGTAAGGAACCAAAATAGAGTTAACATGGAGAAAAAAACAACTTTGAACTGACAGATGGTAAAATGTTTATCTGAGAGGAATGGTGGTGCCAAGTGATAACTCTTGGTGCATACTTATAGTTCTTAGATTTTTCGTTAAGTAAAAATATCGGATAAGTGCAGTTTTATGTCCCCTTCTTATAAAGTGAAATCAAGCTCTCCATCTACAGCCAAAGGGGAGTATCCAGATCTCTGTTGGGCACAGAAGGGACTGAATTCATGTTGGAAATGTGTGGGAGGTCGAGGGCTTATCTGTGTAATCCCCCAAGACTAAGACATTCTTTCTTGCTCTCTTCTCCTTGGTGTGTGTGAAGGAAATTTGTTGTCTCCAAAACAGTGAAGATGAGCTGCGCTGACAGGAATCTCTTTCCCTGTTTGTAGCTTCCATGGGCCCTCTATGTTTTTTTACACAACCTACTGTTTGGCTTTACAATATTTTAGTTGTGAGAAAGGAGTAGAAAAAGCTGTGTTGATGTTGCAGATGGGTGGTGATGGGACTGAAGCAGGTGACAGGTTCACATCTGTGTTCAGACAATGTAGGGAAACTTTGTCTCTCCTGGGGACATAGTTATAGATCTCTGTAAGAGGAGGGAAGGAATGACCTGCTGGGTGTCCAGCAGGGAATGATTCATGGCTGGCCACCACTTCCCTACCCAGTCCCCTAACATAGTTATTTTCTGTCATCACGTCTACGGTGCCATTTTTCACAATTATGCAAATTTGATTTTGGTGATTTTAAATAGGCACAACAGCTTTAATAATTATGCAAAAAATGTTGCCTGACAGTTGTTTGATGTTTTGATCAATATTAGCATTAAAAATGGAGATAGTCCCTCTTCTTGTTGCTTATCTGCACAATAAAGACAATAAAAATGTAATAATAATAATGATAATAATAATTATAATAATAATAATAATAATTATTATTATTACTTATACTTGTAAGTTAGGTAGGAAATGAACCACTGGCAAGCAGCTGAATATGTACTTTTAAACAGCGATAAAACAAGGTGCCTACATTACCCATAATGCAACCAGATAGCTAGCATGTCGATTTCGTGTTCTGTCGGTAACAGCTGATGTAGCCTCGAGTTGGAAACAGAGCCTGGCAGGTCCTGAAGCTACCTTACAAAAATAATTATTTTGGGATACAAAAACAGGTACATTTTACAGGCAAAGTAAGCTTTACAAACTGCTTTTTCAACGTTTACAAGACAAGGATGAGTAAAATGGTTACCTCTCACCTGTTCACATACTTTATCTTGAGATATTCAAAAAACGTTCGCCTGTTTGTAAATGTATTTATTCATAGCCTACAGAAATCTATAAATATGTAATGTATAGAAAGCGCATGGCTACATACTTAGGCTTAAATGGTGGTTTTGATAGGCTGTCATGTGATTCAAAAGCAAGCAAACAGAAAAATAAACAGACATCACAAATGTCTTGGAAGTCCGACCATGAGTTTCCCCTACTATTTTACTAACAAATGAATACCTCATTTTATAAGCAGCAGAAATTGTGTTAAAGGGCTTTGCTCCTTGATTGTAATCTAAGCTAAGCACAATCTTACTTTACACTTTTCACTGTTGTCATACCATTTCAAAGTGTAAAACGTTGATCAAAATGTGAATGTTTTAGTGCATAGGGCCTACATTTAGGGGTAAATATTGTATAACCTCCCTCTTGTTCATAGCACATTGTATTTTGATTATGGTTTTAATGAAAAATATTTAACTTATTACAAAAATGAAAACTTTGAATAAATTAAAAACTATTCTAAGGCAAAATCTTATCACTCACCTGCCGATTGAAAGTTTGCTGAGTCTGTTTTTGCTTCATGTTTTTCGTCAGGTTGATATCTCTCACCACCAGAATCAGCTTTCACTGGGAGAGGATTAACAAAATATTTACATGGAAGTAGAGATGCTCTATTGTGCTCCCTGTGCAGCAGGATGTGTTGGAGGGGTAAAGTTTGTGTACAAAACCTGCAGCTGTCTCGGACTCTGTGTTTTTGATTAGCAGTAGGTCATGGCGGACTGCTGTAGAAACTGCTCTTGTTGGTTTGCTGTCTGTTTGATTCACACGCTTGGATACGTGTGAGTCAGAGATGTAAAAAAGTGCATGCTCTGCTGTACACCCGAAGTACTTCTCTTTGTCTGGGGAAGACACAGTGTTGACTGAAGCAAGAAAAAGTATGAAATGCAGGCTTTCAAGCGTTTGTCCTTGTCTCTGCTGAGCTCACATGGGCAGCGGAGTGCCAACATGGAGTGTGCATCACTACCACAATCATTTTCAAACAAACACAAGGTCTGAGGCGAAAATGGTCATCTCTTTCCTTCAAAAATGCACGCACCTTCAAACGCCCTCTCACTCTATGATTTTATTCCGTGTGTATTTTCATAATGATTTCCACGTGGGCATCAGTCATGCTGGCACTTTTGTACATGATAGACTGTAGGTGTAGACTCTAACCAAGGGCTAAAAGCACCCCTGAGGGGGACTCTGGGATGGTAATGACATTCTGGACTGGCTATATTAAACAGGCACAAGCCAGGGGAGTGAATAAATCAGTGATGAATCAAGGGGAAATGTTCTTTGTGGCCGAGTTGGGAGCTCAAAGCAGTGTCGGGTGTTTGTCAGCATCAGTGAGTGAGTTCTGTATCCACAGATTGCCTTACAGCCTGTAACTTTAATGAACAATGTGCTATCTGAGCTGCTGTCGTTTCAGATTTTAGATTCCCGATGTGTTGCAGAGATTTGACAGCCGACCAGCAGCTCTGTCAGAAACACTCTTTCTTGAGCGACTGGAGTAACATGAACCTAATACTGATGCTGTGCTTACTTCCTCAGGTCTGGTGATTGGCTTTTCTATGACTCCACCCGTCCTCGACAGCTCTAAAGACGACCTAGTGATTCCAGTTCGCCAAACACTCACTATTACATGCAGGTATGTGTGTGGTGTGCAGGTTCGGAAGGGGAGAAATCTATAATGATAGTGGGGCCATAGCCAAAATCAGGCATCCTATTCTGTGATAACAACCCAAGGCACCTTGGGACATTCAAAGTGTGCGAAACATTACATCTTGGGAGTAAATTCATCGAGAGTTGTACACAAAGTTCCACCTTTAGATACTTTGTATGAATGATGACATTTTTGGTCTCTCGACTGGTCAAACAGTTTGGAAAGAAAGTTCAACCTTTCACTACACAAGCAACGTTTGATGGATGTAGAAACTCTTTGATAGAGACTTCATCTATTGATTGGGGTGCTTTGAAATGGAGAACGTGCAAAACAGTAATATCAATTAGAGCCTTCATTTTCAAGGAAACATTTCCCTCATTTTTTTTCACTTTGCAAGTCTTAAGCTACAGGTCAAGGCACTACAAAGAAATACTGGAGGCTAAACAACATTAATTAGGTAGTGGTATACCATTACACCTACACTAGTAAGGTGCATTTCTATTTTTCAGTAACTGAGTCTGCTGATGTAATTTTAATTATTGTGAAATACATTTAGCATCATGTTTGATTACCTTGAGTTAAATAGCCCTTCTGCTTCTGATTGAGTACACTGATATTCATACTGTGAGGAGTTGGTCGCTGGTTAGAAAGCAGACAGAAATTGATGTTGATGCTGCTTCCTGATCTGATGTAACCTTTGTAGCCTGTGTCAGTGCACAATAGTTACATTGCAGGATGTGCAATGTCAGTCATATAACCTGAAACACGTCATGCTGTCAGCACTGTCTTGTTTCAACGTCACTTTAATGTAGCTTCTCACTTGAACCGCATGCAGTGTGCATCTGTGTGTCATATGATTTAAACATGTAGACAAGCATGAGAAACTGCTGCCATCACAGATTCTCTGGCAAATACTCAATTAACCTAGACAGATTTTTGGAGCGTTGACTGTGCCCGTCAACATTATGTGCTCACATATGGCCTGCTGACAGGTTCACGCAGTGTTTACGTTTATTATCCACACTTGTAGTGCTGAAGATAAAGTGAAGTGTTTTGAAAATTACAGGGAGAAGAACATTGAGAGTTTTCATTTAATTAAAGTCACCATCACAGGGCTGTTGATGCAGATTAAATATCCCTTTAAACATTGTCAGAATTTACCGGCGGCACATTCATTTCATTTATCATTAAAGTTATAAATAGTTCCATCCCTATTTCTGTGTAAAAGTTACAGAGCACTGCAGACACAGCTTTAGTTATCATTTTAAAGGGATATTCTGGCGTAAAATTAAGTTAGCCGTAACACCGAGTTTGACACCCCGTTGAGAGATGAAGGTTCCTGACCGCTTGCTTCTCTAGTTATACGAACTTTAGTAATGACTAAAGCCACTCTATAGCCACAAATAATTCCCAGAACAGCACCTAACTTCATCAACAGTACATATAAGTTCCTACCTGCAGCACTAGCCACCAAACATCTTCTCAGCTTTGCCTAATTTCTTTAGCAAAGAGACTAAACACAACTCACCCACTCTCTTACAGCAGCCGCTTGTTTGTAGCGAGACATTGGGCCATTCCACCATGGACTACAGCGGGGTGACGCAGCTCAAGGAAGAACATTTATGATCATTACTTTATCATTTCCTTGAAGTAATAATCACCATATTAATCATTTTGCACTGCAGACACAGTAGTTCTTCTGCCTTTACGTCTCGGTCTGATTACACTTCCATGAAGAAATGATCTATTGCTATCATGCGGTCATTACTAAAGTTGGTATAATTAGAGAAGCAAGCAGTCGGCAATATTCATCTCTCGAGCGGGTGTCTAACTCGGTGTTATGGTGTGTTTGACCCTAACTTAATTTTACGCCGGCATATCCCTTTAACAATATTCTCAAAGAGTTATGCATTTAACTTCTAAAGAAGGCAGGTGAAGGTTTTCTGCTTACGTCAGAACTCTTGGTGCTTGTACATGCCAAAATCATTGATGAAGAAGAGACACTGCCTCATCCACAGGGGACACCAAAATCACTACGCACAGGGAGTTCCTCACTCGAACATTAAGTGAAGGACATGAACACTGCCTTACTCAACTTCTCCCCAGTTTATAAATCCTTTAATCTTAGGTTTCTACTAGAAAATATTGAATTAAAATCAAATTAAAGGGTGTATACATTAAACATCCTCTATTTGCACATGAGGAAAAACTTAACAGAAAATCACACTCAAAAAAAGGAAAGATCAACTTTTTGAACTAAGTTCCCACTAAATAAGGGTCATGTCCTATAATACACAGAGATTTTGTGAATCATAAACACAGCCAACAGCAATTTTAAGGAAATCCCTCTGAGATGTGAGATTGCTCATAATGACCATCCTTTATCCTTATGAAATCTGCTGCACCGCTGTTGCCAAGCTCCCTCCTCATTCACTGTCGGGTTTCTGCTGTCTAACAAAAGTGCTGTCTTTAGAAATCTGGTGAGACCTTTGGACTTTTTCCAACACAGGTTTTGGAAATGTTTTTTTTTTTTGCTTATATCTCACATGAGTAGCTTTTACAAAGAATCTCCAGGGAGAGGATGTGGGTTCCATTTTGATCAATTTAAGCTTTGCAGTGAACAATTTTCCAAAATCAAGACACACAGACATAATCCACAAGACTCAGAAAACAACCCAAAATACTTTGATTGTTCACTGTGATATCTGCAATTATCTCCAGTCATCAGGCTTTGGCTCTGTCTGCTAATGTGGACATTTGGAGTCTGTGGCAGCAGGTTGTGAAAGCATGTATCAGTTTACAGACAGCCATTATGATTCTACTCCATCTCACTTGTAAAGCCTCAGGGTTAAGCATAACTGGATTTATCAGACAAAGCAGGAAACCAAAAGGGATGTGTTGATGTACGGGGGAATTTATAGCACCACTCACACACACAAACAAACAAACAAGAATAAAATGATATCTACATACAACAGTTCTGTTTGCCTCTGCAGATATTCTTCCATCATTTCTTAATTAGTTATTGTGCGAGATGAAACATAAAATTTTAAAAACCCCTCTCACACCTGCTTTGTTTGGAGAAGTTGCAAATCAGGAGGTGTTTCCCTCCTCATTTTTGAACACAGCAATCACATATGAAACGGAACAAAAACAATCCAGCCATGATTACCCAGAAAAGCTTGTCTCAGCCCATTTCAGATGAGCCTTGGAGAGGTTCATCTGCAGTGAGAACCCAATCAACCCAGCAACCAGAATAAATACCTGCTAAACTCATCACACTCCAGTAATAGACGCAGTGGTTAGCGTAAAAAAGTGGTGGGCTGACTTTACGTTCTTTGCTTTGTGCAGCACTGCTGGGTAGAGTGGTGAAAGCCCATATTACTCATGCCAAGACTCACAAGTTTGGTCGTTTCTGTGTGTTCATGAATACTGTCCATTGTTTGACAAAAGTGCTCATCTGCCTGGGTAATAATGAGGCATTTGATCTTTTTGCCGCTCCAAGTCCACCCACGAATCATTTTGTTGGTCGGTTTGCAGGCTACTGTTATTTGGCCTTAAAACCCGCCCTCCACTCTGTTAAGTTTGACTGGTACCAAAGCAGCTTTTGTCTATTTATTCAAAGGAGGCTGTGATCTAACAATGTAAGGTCAGCACAGGGACGGTGAGTGCTTTGACCTGCTTTTCAATATTGCTGTAAGAAGAGAAAAGACCACAGACTGTACATAACATGAATGTACTTTAGTTTCTAAAGCCCATCAAAACTTCACTTTAGGTCAACAAGGAGAAGAGGCAGAGTCAAGGCAAGCCTTTAGCCTCCTCATTACACAACCGGACAGTCAAGTCAGCTATTGACAATGCAAAACTCAGAGCCTGTCAAGAGTAGGTGTGTATGTGGCTTCAAGGGTCTTACGTGTTTTTAGCATAATTTCCAGACTCATGTCAGAATCACACTCGTGCCTTTATATTTCCTTTATGTTGTTGAAATGATGAATAACCAAAGTAACCCAGAGTAAGCTAAAGTAAACTTAAAGTGACAGTGGCTAAAACGAAGCATTTGAGACAGCTTTGTTTTAGCTGCTGTTCAGTTAAAATAATAGCATTTTAATACACCAGAGGGAGAAACACAAGGCTTTTTTTGATCTTGAACTGAACTTAACTTAACTTAACTTAACTTAACTTAACTGAACTGAACTTAGTCCATGTAGATTCTCATTCATCCAGGTTATGGTTTTCTTGAAGACTCCAAAATCAGGCAACTGGTTTTCAACTCTACACAGTCCAGTTGCCTGTTGACTTAACTTAACTTAACTTTGCTTTACTTTACTTTACTTCACTTCACTAAGCTAACTACCTAAACTGCATGTGACTAATACACAAAAATGTTTTGAATCAAATTTTTACAACACTAAGATAATTCATTTGAAGTCCATTTCCATCCCAAAGCATCCATCAGCTTCGTATGATTGTAATCAGCTCCTGACTATTGTTGAACAATGTGCACTTTTCATTTAATAATGTCATAGACTTGTGATTTTTCATCCTTTAACATTCAAATCTGTCCCTTTGTCTTCTCAGGGGGCAGCACACTCTGGCCTGGGCCTGGCCTGATCAAACTCTGCCGGGACAGGAGCTAACTGACCGTCAGGCCCAGCTGCCGGTCACCAGGGACCCCGGGCAGAGGGTGGTCCTGATCAGTGAGTGTCCAGGGCAGCCAGAAAGACCGTACTGCAAGAGGCTTGTCCTGACGGCTACGCGGGCCAAGGACACGGGCTACTATAGCTGCTATTACAAAGATGCCAAGTCCGTCATTGTCGGCACCACTGCCGTCAGTGTTTATGTCTTCGTCAGAGGTGAGTCATTCCTCTACAAACACAGGCGCACACACACTTACACACGAGCACACACTGACTCAGTCAAACTGAAAATATTCAAACTCCTCATTAACCTCAGCAGCTCAGCTTAAAACATTCATAACAAAGTTTTATTTCCACTTATTTTTTTTTAACCATCAAAAGATAATTTTTAAAGTGTGCAAACTTTGACATTCAAGTTGTCACTTTCGATGAAAACATTTTGTAAACCAGGGATTTCTTTTCACTTTGAAAAAGCAGAGTCTGCAGCTTGTGGGGCCATTTTGCCATCAGAACTTTTTCTGTGTTTGAAGACAACACGTTTCATCTTCCTCCTCCCTGTCTGACCTGGTCTGCGGCTCTTTAGTTTCTCTTTTGCTTGGGAGGTTCACAACATAACCAAAGTCTTTCTTCTGAAAGAGATCTCCTGTTTGAAAAATGACTTCAGTATCAAAGCAGCCCCAGTATTATTAGAGTTGGGGATGGTTGGCTTTACCTCAGGAACACCCTGGAAGCTGGCTGGGTTAATGTTTCAGATATTATATGCAAAGTGTTTGAAACAGGATTGAACGGCAGAGTCTCTCTGTTAAATAGAGAGAAGATGTTTTATTCATTTTATTCAAACCAGAAATAAGAAGTAACTTTCCTTGTTAGCGGCGAAGTTGGTTAAAACTTGAGAAAAAAAAAGTTAATATGAGTGCCTTTACTGTTATTCAAACTCAAATAGAATGAATTAAATGATCTATAAGTGCTTTTGAACATGTTTTAAATGTATTCGATTAGATTAGAAATAAGAAAGTAAAAGAAATATGAAAATAAAAGACCGGCGTGATGCAGTGGGTTTTATCTCCATGCTTACAGTGATCCTAGGAGTAGGGGTTATATCTCTTACTCCTTTTGTAGACTCTCTTTATGCCTCTTTTCCATAAGGGTCACCTCTCCACCTTCTCTGTGGGAAAAAGAGGAGGAGGAGCCAATCAGAATAACTGTAGAGAGAGAGATGATTGTCATTTTGGGGAATTCTGCTGTCCAATCCACTCATATGAAACACCAGTTTATCGGCTGTGACAAGGTGCCAAAACAGTTTCCACAGATCTAAGCAGGGGGCTGATCAGAAGCAGATGAAATCGCAGCCATAAATTAGACCCAGCGTGAGACGAGACGAGAGGAGACGCATATGGATCTAGTTAGACAGGGAGACATAACCTCTTTAACATGTCCCTGCTCCATACTATCACCTTAAAATATGACTGTGCAGTATGACCTGAGAGATGAAAGTATTGCATGTGTGAAGGCTTAAAAACCAAGCATGCAGGCTCATGTAAAGTACACTCATACCCACACTAGTACCCCTGATGGTTTGCGTCTCGCCCCAAGGAGGACATCCCCTCTGACTAAGCCCAATGCGTCCAATACCTGCTGTGATTTATTGTGAAGAACTTAGAGTGCCTGAAGTTGTGTATTATTTCTGTTACCTTTGTGTATTTAGACCGCCGCCGGGCAGAAATATAAGCCTCTCAATAGGACCCATTGTTTGGCCTTGCAGCAGCGTGAAGTCGTGGCTTTGATTGCCCAGGAAAAAAAAGAAAAGAATAGAGGGCTTACTGGAGAAAAAATAAGGAATAAAAGAAGAGAAAGCAAATAAGCAGGTTGTGGTCGCACATCATCTTTGGCTGCCGCACCAAAGTCACCAGTATTGAAAGGAAAGCCTGAGAGATAAGCTCTTTTATAATGGTGTGCGCTCATGCTGTGGTTATGAGGTTTTGTAGTGATAACAGCGGCATTTTCAATTAGCGGCTGTGAGGTCTCCCCAGAGTCCCTCTCAAGAAACAGCGGGGCCGAACTAAAGGGAACATCAAAGACAAGAAGAAGAAGAAGAGACAGAGGGGACGTGTTTCCGACTAACTGACAGCGTGTGTTGAAATGGCAGCAGCTGGTTAGAGGAGGATTAAACCCCGTTAGCTGTGTGTCTCTGAGCTGACAGATAATAACAGCACTTAATGGCGTTTCCTGGGAGGAGACAGACCCCACAGTTGCATTAAATGTAATCATGATAAACTCTGTATGTGATGTGTCCATAGGGGTCATTATCAGACTGTGAGATATGTAGCTAGCTGTAGGTGCTGTGACTTTGGTAATAGCTGTCATTATCCCATCCGGAATCAGGGCCACTCTTTAGAGCCTCTGAAAACCCAAAAGAAAAAACCTTTCAGCCATGCACTATGGATTCTTTTGTGCATAATCGTGAGCAGTGGAAAAGATGAGAAATCAGTTTCATTTGAGAAAGCAAATGTTGTCCTCTTAGTTTCTGTAAACTTCACAGAAACTGGGTTTTGATTTAGTGAAATAAAGCTGTGAAGTTTGCGATTTAAATACTGCAACCTGGGGATAGACATGATATTTGGATTTTGCTATGACATCTGCAGGCTTTAAGAATTAACCCCCAGGGGGCATCAAGTTTGAGTTTTCGATTATCTTTTGTAATGCTGCCCATTGAATTTGGTGCCCTCTTGATGTGACGTCTTAAAGGTGGGGTAGGCAGGAATCCATTAAAGAAGCGTCTTTTTTTGTGGTGTATATACAAAAAAGCTTTTAATATCAGTCAATAGTTATTATTGATGACGTTTGGTAATATAACGATATCGCTGTGTTTTGTTATGTCTGTGTAGTCAACCTTTTAAATGTTTTTAGCGGCCCTCTTTCCTCCCCCAACCTGATTGGTTGGGAGGCAGATGCTGCTCCCTCGTGTTGTGAGGCATGCTCCACGTCCTCCAATAAAGTGCAGGAGCCCAAACAAAGTTTGCGTGCTATAATATCAGACTGTAGAAACTAATCAGAAAGTACAGAACACACAAGCAATAAAACAAAGTAAATACCTGAGACTCTGGCGGAATAACAGGCGCTTAAAATGGAGGTAGACTGGACAAGAGCTAAGAAGCCGGGTCAACATCAGCATAAAGTGTTTCTTGTCAAACGGGGCCTGCTGCATGTTGTAGCGCCGCTAAACTGTTTACCTCGGGTCCTGGAGAATGTCACTTTATCGTAGTTGTGGAAGTCCTGCAAACATTGTGTTTGCTGGTAGTCTGTTGACATCTACAGTAGCACCAATGATTTTTACTTTCACGCTGACTGGGCCCCATTTGTAATTATCTGAAGTATTTATCTGCATTATGTCTGATTTAAATTAAAATGATACGACTGAGCAAGAGCGTCTGTTTGTGGGCGGGGCTTGCTGGAGCAGAGAGGGAGGGGAGAGGAGGAGCTGAGGGGAAAACTGGTTGGGAGGGGTAGAGTTTTCATTCAAGATTTCTCCCAAAAACTGGCACTTCCTCAGATCCTGCCTACCCCACCTTCAAGCTAATGCTGAAGAGCCATTGTTTAGTGTTGTTTCGAACATTGAGCTAACATTATATGTACGTTAATTGCTAGTCAGTATATAGGTAGCAAAGCATCTTGGTCATCAGGGCTCGATCTTCTCCCCACAAATACCCTTTACCCCAGTGCACCAGAAAATGTGTCTCTGGATTTTTCAGTCATTCACGTTTCATTATAAGCTGTTTTCTAATCACATCTCATTGATATGCCGACTTGAATTACCATGTGAATTGACAGTGCAGCTCAGACTTTTGTGTTTATATGCTTTCAGATAATGGTTGTAGGAACTGCTGTCTGTGTCTGTATTCTACATTTTAAAAAGTTTGTTTTTAAGGTCACTGCCATTTTTAAAATTACAATGAATTTTAAGAATTTGAATTTGCAATTTGTTAAGTTGCATTTTAAAAACAAAATCCATGGATGTCATATTTGAGATGCAAAGAGTACTTTGGTTATGCTCGAGGCTTATGACATACAGAGAGCTTCTCCTTTGGGATGACAGCTAGATGACACTGAACTGGTCTTGATGTAGGGGAAAGTGGGTGGAGTCAAATGTTTGCCTCAGCCCACAAATGTGACACCCAATCAGGGGCTTCACATTTACCATCACTTTAAATCCCGCAAGTTTTTTAAGAACTTTTCTGCCATGATTGTCACAAGTTTTGTGCTGAGTCGTTGTCAGTCAAGATGTGATCTGTGATGCCCTTAAGATCATGATAATTGATCCAACCAGCAAAATTAATAATTAAAGTTTCACTCACACTTCAGTGGATGCTTTGTTGAACTTTCATCTTCTGTTTGTACCATTTGAAGTCTTTTTTTCATAAGCTCTTTGTTTCTATCCACACACAGATCCTGAGCAGCCCTTTCTCAGGAGAGACGGCTACAGTGAGGCCAATGGAAACAACCTGGAGACCATTTTAATCACACGGTTCTCCATGCGCATCATAGTGCCATGTCTAGTCACAGTGCCTGATCTGAACGTCACTCTGCATGCGGTTTGTACTCACAAAATGCTTTCTCAAACCTGTCAAATAATCTCGAAATGATGACTTGAGCTGAAGGAATAATTTTCTCATGCCTGTCTGTCAGTATCCAACTCCTCTGGAGAATCGCTGGATGACATGGGATAACAAAAAAGGCTGGTCCATTCCCCGTCAAATCATCGACAGCGCGCCCATGGTCATTGGAGTTCAGTGTGTCGCCATGTTGGATGGCAAAGAGTTTCAATCCGCTAACTACCTAATCCACACCACAGGTACAACATATTCCATCAGTAGTACATGCTCACACCAGAGGTTATAAGGTTGGACCTGTATTGATTTCTTTAAAAACATAAAAAGAACTCTGATAATGAGTTTTTGACGTTCGATTTTCTTTCAGGCTTCATCCTTGTGTTTTGAAGATAGGATTTCTTCTGTCACAATGAGCACAAGGTTGAACGTGATGAAAAGAGAAAAAATAGGGGAAAAAAGAGGAAAACATCCAGTTGATATGTAGAGGCGGTTGGCTAGGACACCTAGTTTAAGCATCAGAGTTAGTTTCAAATATTCACTTTAGAACTTCATTAAACAAACCTAAAGAAACTTCCTCTACTCTCCATCCTTTTACCCCTCTGCTTTGTCTCTAAGCAGCAGCTCTCTCATTTACTCCTAGCAGCACAGCCAGCAGGATTCGGCGTTCAGGGCTAAATCAATATAGTGGCTGGTTTTAATGTCTCTTATGCTGGCAAAGTTTAATGAAAGGAAGTACAGAAAACAAAATGCTCCATAAAATGCAGCAATCAACTTTAGACCGAAGCTTTTTTAAAACACCCACATCAGACTCACACAGGTATATCACACATCAGGAGGTGTGAGTTGCAATTGGAGCATAAAATGCACCAATCTAAAACAGCAGGTGTGTTCCAGTTAAGCCTGATTTCAGTGGGCAGGTTCAGCAGGCGTAGGAAAACCTTAAATAGAGTGGATGTAGCAGGTCTTGAGAATTTAAAGGTGAACATTTTGGAATAGCAATAAATTTCAATGATAACTCTTATCTATTGAAGAAAGCACAAGGTTGAAAAGACAGTCTAATGCTGGGAGATGCACCATGTTCAGTTTGACAAGCCTTAGTGTTTATTTTTCCTGTGCTGACCAAGCTCTTAAAAAATGAAAAAGTAGTTAAATTCCAGTGGTTTGATTGAAATGAGCAGTAAAACTGATCAAATAAAGCAGCTCTGCTGAAGTCTTCTGTCATTTCCCAGTAAGATATTCAGTAAGTCCATTCAGAGCTCAACTTCTGCAGCTACAAAAACAGAACTGACCGAGAGCAAACATTTAAATTAGATTTAAAGACAGATTAGCGAGGAAATTAAAGGTGGCACCAGAGTGATTTCATTGTCACCATAATTCTGCACAGCCGTCACTTTGCCAGTTTCTTCTTCACGCTGGCAATTTGAGCAATTTTTATTATTTTATGTCATTTCCTCTGGAACAACTCCCACTTTTGTGTGCCAATTTGCTTGTAGAATTAGAAGAAATAACAGAGAAGGAAGAGAGGGGAGGGCATAATTTGATTTCAGGGAACCAAGAAGAAGAGGAGAGATATTATGCGAGTGTTGCTTTGTGCTGTAGTGAACTTTGAGGGACCCAGAGGCTCTTAGCTGTGTTGTGTGAGATCACTCACCTTGGTTTTCAGAGGGCGAAGGAAACTCATACCCACTGCTGCTGGCCAAGAGTAACAGCAGCATCAGTCAGAGCTGAAAACTGAGAGCCAGTCTTCACTCCTAAAGCTAATGGGGCGTTTAAACAATCAGGCAATCACAGCCTGCTGCACAGACTTCACTGGCCCTTATGTTACTTTACACACCACACAGTTTCCAGTGACTGCACAGAGAAGCGGCTTGAATATCAAGAATATCAAAGACACTGGCCAGAGTCTATTTTTTTTTTAGCCTTTCTTATCTGGAACCGGGTCCTCACTGTATTTTAATATTCCTCACTGATTTACAGTTTGACACATGAATGGAAATAGACCAAGCCAGTGACGGGCTATTCTTTATAGCTGGATGGCTCCTTGTTTCCTCTGGTCCTGAAAGGAAGGAAAAACTGCTGACGATGTCACCGTGACCTCTCTCACTGTCCCTCTAACCCCCCACCCCCACCCCCCCATTCATTTTCCCTGACAGGAAGTCAGGTTTACAATGTCAAGCTGTTTCCTGAGAACCTTGTGGAGCTGATAGCTGGGGAGGCCCTCACCCTGAACTGCACAGCGTTAGTGGAGTTCGACGCCGGAGTGAACATCCAATGGTCCTATCCTGGTAAACAGGTAAACACAGACTGACTGACTGCATGTTTGACAGAAACAAAAAGTGAAATGTGGAAAAACTGAACAGTTTCTTCTCATTAGACCAACAGTCAGGTGGACTTTAGGCCCTATCGGGAAGCTCTGTCTCACGCCACAGAGGCAGCTAGCATCCTGACCATCCATAGTGTAAACGTCACAGACACAGGCGCCTACAGCTGCAACGTGACCAGCATGGAAACAACACTGACGCAACAAACTCAGGTCATAGTTTATGGTAAGCAGAGGCTCAGGAGATCTCACATTAGCTGCCTTGTCTTACACTTTGATCTGTCATTCACAACTTTGAAACAGATTGATAAATTACCTTGAATAATCTGCTCTGAGCTACGATATGACAAATGTAAATAAGTGTCATCTGCAGTAGGCTAATCAGAACTTCAGCAAAAGACATGATCAATGTTTCTGCGGTGATGAGAGAGATGACATGTAAAGAAACAAACACACTCAGGAATGTTCATCACAGAACAGTATTAATGTGGAGCAACATCCATTTCGACAGTATTTGTCATAGAAAAACAATTAAAAAAATATGTGAACTGACTGAAATTTGGAGTATATTGACTTAAAGTTATCTGTAGATGAGATAAGAAAATATGCTGCAAAATCTATGAAATACTTGGTGCTGTGGGACTGAAGGGTGGGTCTGATTCAGCCGACCCAATTCAGTACAAATACCACTGAGATGTCTGAAACCACTCCTAGCATACTTGGCTTTAACCTGGCCTTCAAAGGAAAAGCTGTAATTTGAAAATACTGTTTTGACATTCAGCTGAGGAATGATTTCATAAGTTTTGACTGCAGCTTTCTGATCATTTTAGGTCAGCATTTGAATCGACAGTAGCTTTTTTTTTTTTAATGAAAGCTGACTTATAGCCACCGCTCGCCTCCAAGAAGCCGTCTATAAGGCTGTAAAACAATGAACACTGTAAAGATTTCTGGCAAAGATTTCCTTTGGCTCGGGCTTTACTTAAGACTCAATATATCTCATTCCAGAAAAGCCATTTATCAGCCTCAACTACAGAAATGGAGCAGTTGTGGAGGTAACTGCTGGTCAGAAACCTTTCAGATTACAAGTAAATGTGTCTGCATTCCCCACACCTGAAACACAGTGGTAAGATGAGACTCTCTGGTCTATTTACTGAACATAATGAGTGATTTTCACAGTGGATAGAGGGAGCACTGCTCTACAACACCTGTATGTGTGTGTGTTTGTTTGGGGTTATGAACAGGTATAAAGATGGAAAGCCGATAAACCAGCGACCTGAGTTCAAGATGAAAAGGATGAGGATGCACTCTAACCACGATCTGGAGATTAAGGAGGTCTTTCAGGAGGATTCTGGCCTTTACACTGTGGTGCTGAAGAACAGTTTGGCAGCCCTGGAGAGGAGGCTCAACATCACTCTTGTTGTCAACGGTAACCAGTCTGTTTGTCTGTGTACCCTCAGTGGAGTTCAGCCAGATATTTTAAGTACAGTAAAATCAGAGGATGTGCTATAAATTTTAACACCTGCAGCAAAATTCACAGGGTTTATTAGTTTTCCAAGTAAGGACAATAGAAGGGACACGCAGTCGCTGGATGGCTTTGATCAGTGTGTACACAAAATGCTTTTGTACAAGATTAAGTGTGGCTTGGATTTATGGTAGGGGAAATAAAAGCCAGAACATCAAAACCGAAATGAGAAGAATGAGTCCAACATGTTATTTTAATCAATATAATTATTCATGTAGCCTTTAATCACACTAAAGTGTATTTGATTATAATAATTAACTTTTTGGAGTTGTTCAGTTGTCTCATTTTATTCTGACTAAGTTTCCATCACAGATTTTGTGGCCAAATTGTGCCCAGCTCATGTTGTAGTTACCTTAGATAACTAAGCCAGATTTCAAAGATGAACCTAAACTTTTCATGTTGGTGGACAAAGATTTTTGAAGTTATTCTCTCTGTCCTGACCGACTGCCAACTACTCAACAGTGTCCTTTTCTGCCAAATGAAAACATAGTGAGATACATATTGTGACTTCCAGAATTAAAAACTGTGATTATATACTAAGCTATCGCTCCTCTTCCTCAGTTCCCCCTCAGATCCACGAGAAAGAGGTGGCAGATCCATCCAGTCCTTACCCCAGTGGCAGCAGCCAGACTCTAACATGCACCGCCTATGGTCTCCCGGCTCCCACCGTCAGCTGGCAGTGGAGGGCTTGGGGTTCGTGCATCCTTAACAACACTCGGAGCAGACTGTAAGGAAAACTGCCATCCCATCTACAGACTGTTACACTTAAAAGTGATGTTTTTTGTGTGGGAGCCTTTGCTTAACAGTGTGGGAGCAGAAAAAAAAGTTTTATCGAACGAGTGGGAAGCAGTGTGTGAAGTGTTTTGTGAGGCTGAAATAGGAGGGAGAGGTCAGTGTGAAATTATCCACTTGCTCTGTCTGTAAAAGAGGAGACGATGATGAAGAAAGAGATGCGGAGGTGGATGAAAAGAGGAAGGATTAAGAGGAAGGGGAGGAGAGCCAAACAGAGGGACAAGAAGACGAGAGAAGGAATGAACGTCTGTTTGGTGTCCAACCCGCAAACTCCCACATGTAGTGATTTTGTTCTGTTTTTCTGCAGCTGGTCAGCCATGCTTTCGCTCTCACACAGCGGTCTCAAATACATGATACACACATAGTATACCCACTGAGACATGCACAGAAACCACCTTGGTGTGTTCGAACCCATCAGAGTGCTATATATCATGCAAACACTCACTCAAATGCACACATAAACTCAAGAGCACACTCTCATATTTATTGCCAAGCATTGCCCTGGGCCCTCCTCCTTTTCCGTGTTTCAGCTGAATCCCACTGCACAGTATAATGGATTCTCAGGATGGTCATTTACGATAGATTTCAGTTATTTTCCTTTATAAGCCCCCGGGTTGCGGCTGCTTCTCCTGCATATCCTCATAATATCACCTGCCTCTATCTTCCTCTAAGGCATGATTTTAGAGCTATAGCTGTTCCCCTGACCTTTCTATGTGGGCAGAAAACATGGACACACAAAGCACCCAAACTGTTCCTATAAGCAGAAGCACACTACAGCGGTATAATAAGCTCAACTTTTGCTCCAGCTGTCAGGTTCATATTCCGTCTCACACACATCTCTTGTGACATTTTATTGGCACAGACCGAGCAACTGTTGTCTTGACCTTTTCACTTCAATCAGAATTGTGTTTTCATTTTATTTATTAGATGGTCAGACATTAAGTGTAGGAATAATAAACCTGTCTTGGGTCACCAGAACTATTTAGATATGTAGCACAAATCACATTTAAACCATCTGCCTGTCAAAGTGACACTGATTTCAGCAAAGTCTTGGAAAAACTTGACCCACCTCATCCTCAGCTTGTGAGTTAAATACTTGGATTATCAGAAGGGGATTGTGTCACACAAAGGACTGTGTGGAAGTGTAAAGATTTTGCTCCTTTTGCAGGACCATTTGAGTAACTTTTTAGTGAAATTAATCTCTGTAACATGCAGATGATTGTAATAATTGGCTTTTGTGACTAAGAAGACAATTGATATCATCATCAGATCTGTATGTCTATTATGAAGTGAGGACCAGGACACATGGCATAAAGACTGGGGTCATTGGGGGCAGAGTTTCTTTCCTGGATTTACAATCCTTCCCAAACACAACATTACTTCCAAATATTTCTTGTTATCTGTGCTAGGGTTAGCGAGGACAATGCTCAAGCTCAATGAACATCCCTGACTTTTAAAGGTAATGTGAAGGAAACTTAAGAGTAACATCTGAGACACCACAAGTGGACATCCCGTCCTGCTGTTCTCATATATTTTGGTTAATTTGGCCATTGGAAGAAAAAAAGATATCAAAAAAAGAGATGTAGGATGAATTGTATAGAGGTAATATGTCTACAAGAAGAAGAAGAAGACTAGCTGGGATTTTGAAACTCAAAACCCCACATTTTCATCAGGTAATGTATTATATGTATTATGTGGTGTCATTGCTAAGTAATTTTAGAGTCCAACCCCACTTTTTGCAAAATGAAGTTCAGGATTTCTGAGCTTCCAACAACAATCTCTCTCATGAGTGTGTGCGTGCGTGCGTGTACAAAAACTGAGATGTATAAACCTCAAGTTCTGGTTAAATTTGTTCCTTTTTCCCGTTCCTTATCCTGGGCTGAGCCAACCATCTTGTTACTGTAGTTTTAAATTCATAGTTAAGATATGAAAGTGGGATTTTGTCATCCAAGAATGTGGATGAATGTATTAACCATATAATGAGCTCTTCATTTGTAATTAGGGTGAAGATTTTATCGAGTAAAGGTGTTGATAGACGGACGAAGACATTGATTAAAATGTTCAACTCTGTGTGAAAAAGCAGAGGATTAACCCATGGGACCTAATTTCACAGTAATCTATGAGATAGTGCTGAGATATTTCAGTCTAGACCAGATCAATGGATACATAAGACTACAGCTCCTGTGGCCATTCTGTCAGCATGTTGTTAACAAAACTTGTGTAAGATGGGAGCAATTTAAAGTCATGTCACCTTAAATTCCCCAAGACAGAGGACACAGCCCAGACTCCTCATAGATAGCGGTGACAATGTCAGGTGTTTCCCCCAAGGGACAAAAACAAATGTATATGTAAATGGATATTGGCAGTGGCATTTTCCTAATGGCCATGACTAGGAGATAAAGATTTCCTGGAGGAAATCACAGCCTGTTACTTCATCCAAATTTGATCTTGGGGGAAACTGATATACATGTTGTTGTTTTTTTCATTCACAATTTGTACGTGAAGCTCAGCTGTTTGTACACAGTTGCAGAATAAAATGAAACTGACCCTGATTACCTTTAGCTAATGTGGAAGAATGCAGTTGTGCCTTAAGGAGAAAATGCAAAACAAAAAATCCATTTCTTGTTCATTAGTTCTGCTACAGTGTTCACACTATGGATCCTTATAATAGAAATTGATACCATTGTTTTTCTATTAGTTGCTGGGACACTAAGTATAATTGCCTCAGCTTTTGGGAGCTGAGCTGATGTTCAGCTCTGAAATGCAAAATAGTGCGTGGAGACAAAAATCTCATAAAAACCTCAGGATGTCTGGTTTGATGTGCCTCTGGATTCTTCCCCCACGGCTCCATCTCTGCCATGCATGTCAATGAGGAGAGATGTCACGAACGCGTCTGTGTGTGTCTCCAGGGTTCGACGAGACAGGAAGGGCCGGAGTGACAGGATCGCAGACTGTCAGAACTGGCAGGACATTAACTTAGAGAACGGCGTGAATGCAATTGAGGCGATCGAGAGAACAGTGGAAGTGGTTGACAGCCGACAAAAGGTAGAGTACAGTTATCTGATTATGATTGACACTCAACCTAAAAGTACACCTCTTCATGAATAAGTAAATGTCTGATCGTTAAGGATGATGTTATTATGTAAGATGCCATTTTTTGTTACAAAAAGAAAACAACAATTAAAGTGAACCCAGAAGACATTTATGTAAGTGGACTTATCTCTGAACTGTGATGTTTTTATGTAAGCGTCCCAAATCCTGAGCTCCATAACAAAATTTGTCAATCATGAGCCATTTCCACAGTAGAAATATTTAGAGCAGCCTTCCTCTGCAGACTTCCTGTGAGGACGGGTTATAAACACATCCACACATACATGCAAAGGGGGCACATGTGCACATACACATGCCTGTTCATTTATAAACCACAACCATTAGAGGAAATGATAAAATGGGCACACACATGTATGCACACACAGAGTCCTGATGTTTTTCTGTCACACCTGTATGGGGTTGCCTCTTGTTCACCCGTCAGCACAAAATCTGGTTTGTGTCAGCACATGAAGACTAACATGAAAGCATACCACCTTTCCCAAATCTGCAAGTTATTTAAGTTCATGATTTAAAATCAAAGTCTTTTTTTACTCTACAGATTGTGAGCAGGCTGCAGATTGGAAACGCCAGTGTTTCAGTTATGTACAAGTGCTCTGCTGAAAACAAAGTTGGCAAAGATGAACGACTGATCCACTTCTATGTGACCAGTAAGTATCCCTGCTTAGATTTAACAATGGATGCACCAATCCAGAATATCATAATCAATATCAACTCTATTGACAAAATCTTCAAAAATTGAGGTAAACATTGTTGAAGTCATCCAGCCCTTCTTTACATCAGTTTTAATAAGCAAAATTTAATTTCAAAAGGACCTTAAATGTACCATCTTTGACATGAAAAACAATTTAATGAAAAAAATAACTGCCTCAAAAGCTTCCTGATTCTCTTTTGCGATGACTGACTCAGCCAGAATGCATTTTTCAATACTTTGACAGCCCATCAAAATGAATGAAAACATGATGATGAATATGAAAATTACATTAAACGCTCAAACCACCAGAACAGCAGCTAAAAAAAAAGCATGTCAGATATAATGAATGAATCATCACAAATATTCAACAAAACAGCTCTTGAGTTTGTTTTTCCTTTCAAGTTTTATCACTAAACCACACACTCAGCTAAATTGGGGATTCCTAGCTCGCCCACACCAAGTCCATGCAATATAACATTTTAATATGGCCACTATCTGCCATCAGTAAACAACAATTCATGTGCCTATGGGCAGTTAGTCATCCACAGGATGAGTATCCGCTGATAATAGCGGATAAATCCTACTTAGCAGATAAATTGATGATTCAACCTAATGATAAAAACACATGGAGACAGTAGTGTTTATGAACGACACCTGGTATATTTAGCAGCAACACAGATCATTTGAAATTAAAGACATTAAAAGACTTCTAGGATCGCTCCTAGAGTGTGTCTACCTCCAACTGACAGGCTGCTACCATGGTGACCCATCAACCAGAATACAAATCTACCAAAGTGTCCTCTAAATATGAACAAATCTAGCTCTAAAATAGGTTTTGATAGCAGAAAGAATAACTTGAGACCTGAAAGCAGTTTTTCACAAACCAGTGGTTGACTTCACAATGAATACATTTTTCATACAGTCTATGTTTGCACCCCATCACACTGGAGGTGAATAGAATCTGCAGTACCTACATCTCTGGAAAAGAACATTGAAAAGATTCAAAAGCAGCATCACTTTCTGCCTGGGAGCGTGGACGGATTATTGATTTGGCTTCTTAGACACAAGCTCAGGAGCATCAGATCATTATGCCAAAACCTCTTTTTAACAAAAAGTCACAGGGCTGGACAGAAATGAATCCTGACCCTTTTGGTGAAGAATTAATGAGTCAGTATTTGTTCAGTATTTTTTTTTACCCAACAATATTTTTATCAGTTTTATACAGATTATACAAAGGAAACACATCACAAAAACCCTGTCTGCTGCTGGATATTCCTATTACTGTGGTTAAATAACAAACTCTGGAGCTAAAACAAAAAAATAATAATAATTTTAAAAAAAACTAATTTGTGCTGGGATTTGGGTTTTGTAGATCTTGAAATATATAAGATGTTGAGGAATACGAATGAACTATCATACGTTAAGAGAAACACAAATGTAGACAAGTCGCTGAGAAGTGAAAAAGTCCATAAAAGAGATAAGAATTTAAATTTTATCATTATAAAACATCACAGATATATATCTGAAAAAGAACAACAAGAAGAGGAGAGTGATAATTCAAAATGATGAGAGTTTCTGAATGTGGTCCAGAAAAGGTCCCTGTTCAGTATTTTTTAGAACATCTGTATAACTCAGAAGTTCACAATAAATGTTTGACAGCAGAGAAGCAGCAAATTCAAACTTTAAATATTAAATATTAATATATATATTAATATTTAAATATTTTCTTTTTTCTTTTCTTCTCCCTTTTTCCTTTTTCTAAATATTTTCTTAATTATTACACTTATTTAAGTTCTTAATATTAGGATCTTTATTTTTATAACTGCATTTTTGCACTCTTTGTCTGTGATGCTGCTGTGACAAAAAAAAAAAAATTCCGCTATGGGGGATCAATAAAGGAATATTCTATTCTATTCTATTCTATTCTATTAGCATTGTGATATTTAATGCTGATTTTGTAATTCATTGAATATCAAAGATGTATTGTGATATCTGTTGCACAAGCTGTGTCCTGTTAGACTACCTAACCCCCCTACCTGCCCTTCTTTGTATCACCAAAGCCATCCCTGAGGGGTTCAGCCTGGATGTTAAGCCCTCGGAGAATCCCCTGGAGCAGGAGAGAGTGTCTCTGAGCTGCAGCGCCGACAATTACACCTATGAGCAGCTGCAGTGGTACCGCCTCGACCCCCAGGCCCCGCAGGATGAGCAGGGTAGGCAGGATAGGCAGCAGGAGCCAGACTGCAGGAGCGTGCACCTCTTAGCACATACCCTCGATGGCCAGCTCTCTTTCCAGGAGCCCTCCAATAGCTGGGTTCTGGACTTCACCATCCCATCCATACAGCTGCAGGATGAGGGTCGTTACGTCTGCGTGGCTCAGAACAGGCGGAGCGGGGAGAAACAGTGCCTGTTTAGGAACATCTCTGTTAAAGGTGAGCAATCAAACGGGTGAAAGCTGTAGACACAGACTTGTATTCACATCTCGTGTTGGTGAGAGGAGTCGCTTTAACAGCAGCTAATTATAGAGGAAAGCTCAGGCCTTTGGCAGCGGAAGTACACACAGGTCTCAATAGGCATGGAGGAGATGCTGGAAGCTTAAAAATACACACACTCACTGAGAAAGTGCCCACGCAGCCTGTTACCCACATCCACTCGTAACACAGAGAGAAGCTGGTGTTTGCACATTATCAGTATGTAGTGACACAAAACAGAGGTGAGATGCTGCAGGGCTAAACACACAAACAAATCCATACTTCATTCATGTCGTGTGCGGTAACCATCTATTACTACCTGCTGGATGGATGTTCAATGTAATAGGATTTTTTAGCCTTTTGCCCTTTTTTCAGGGGCAGGAGACCCTTCAGTGAAAACAGTGAACACAAATGTGGGCAATAACAGTGAATTCCCTCTCCTCCCTCTGTATTTTGGTCTCTCTCCTTCTCCGTAGCCCTGGAGGCACCACGGTACAGACGCAGCCTCACCAACCAGACGGTGAATGTGACCGAGTCCCTTCGGATGGAGTGCGATGCAGAGGGCAGACCCCTGCCCAGCCTCTCTTGGTTCAAAGACAACCAGCCTCTACACCAAATGTCAGGTGGGTGAACACAACCCACACAGCGTTTACACAACAGTGCAGCCGCCCCCTTACCACACATACAAACAACACATCCAACAAGAGCTCCTCAGGAAGTTTGCCACCTCAGCTCGACACACTTGTTTACATTCATAAACCAGTGTTAAATATGTTCATCATCTCTGCTTATATTCACTGCCAGAACTGCAGCAGATGTATAGCCATTTCTTACACTTTTGTCCTCAAGCTGTTCAACTTCTGTTACTGTTTCTTTTCAGTTTTGCTCTTGGTATTCAGTTTTTTGTCTTTATTTGAAAAATTTGGAGCAGTCTGACACTAAAGATGCCCATAGGATTTATCTTTGTCTAATATTTTAAATTTCACTCTAGGTTATCAAATATAAACAATAAGCTTTGTTCAAAGTCCTTTTCCCCTTCTTTTGGATGAGGTTGTACTTTGTTTCGTGATGAAAGGTTGACCTGCCATCCAAAGGGCACACAGGCCAAGATATACAACCACCCACACGCATGTACTGTTGAACAAATATGTCAAACAGAAACAGTGTCACACATGTGTCAGTCACACATACACACACACAAACAAACACACACATACACATTACACCCTACGGCTAATGGACTCGGCTCATTACCTTTCTCTGCAGCTTCTCTTTACATCTGAAGAAAAAGAGGAGGGGGAGAAGGGGTGGTCAATATGGGTCTGAATGACAGCTGATGCTTAGGGTTCACTCAGAGAGGCTGCTGAGACATGTGGCTACTGCTGCTGCTGCTGCTGGACAGGGTGATGGGATCAAAAATAAACACTATTGATTAGAGTCCAGAGATGTGACAAGAATTCAAGAAAGTTATTAAAACTGTATTTGATTTTCTGAGAGTTAAATTAGGGTTGAGGTGCAGCATTGTGTTTGTGTGTGTGTCTGGATGTGTGACTCTAATCCTTGTTGGTTCCTCACAGGGATCCAGCTGCAAGATTCAAACCGCACGCTGAGTATCCAGCGGGTTAGGGAGGAGGACGCCGGGCTCTACACCTGCACAGCCTGCAACCAGCGTGGCTGTGTCAACTCCTCGGCTGCAGTTAAGGTCATCGGTGAGACAGTCTCTCTCACACACACACACAAGCACAAGCACACACATGCAGAAACAGACTTGTCAAGATACCACCTGTATCCACTCATACACTCTCCCAGCTGACATGCTGTCTTTAAAGCACTCAGGCCTGAAATCCCTCTCATCCTTGAGTTTGAATTTCCACACGCAGGCGTTGGTTTTGGTGGTTCACCTCTCACACTTCCACTGCAGCTGTAGATTTAGAGCCTTTTGTTCTGAACAGCTCTTGAGATTAACATTGAAGTTATTAACTGCTGGGATATCGTATAGTCAGAATGAAGGATTGAATCTGTCTGATGGAAATGTGCATGATGAATGACTGAATGGATTAAATGGCTGTTTTAGCACATTTATGAAAAGCGAGAGATTTGATGCAAGGAGCCAGTTAGCAAACTGAGATGATACTTTGTAATACAGCACCCCCTACAGAGTGAAAAGAGTCATGTTATGACAGAGGGACAAAATACAGGAAACTTTTCAGGTACTTGGTATTCACATTTGCATCTTAAAATGATTTTCTCTCTTTGTTTCTTTTTCTCTGCCAAGGTTCGAGTGACAAGGCCAGTGTGGAGATAGTAATCCTCATTGGGACAGGAGTCATCGCTGTTTTCTTCTGGGCCTTACTCATCCTCATTTTCTGCAATGTGAAAAGGGTCAGAGGGCGCCGCCTTTCTCTGTGTGTCTGTGTGTTTGTGAGAGAAACTGACAGACTGTGACGGAGACACTTTAACCTCTGACACCCACCATGTCTGTCTGAGTTTCAGCACGGCTTGTTTGATCTTTGAGAGTCTGTGATTTTTTCCTCTGATATGCGTCTGCCAGGAGTAAGTCTAATTAGCGGTGGCACCACTATTAGGCCAATCAACAAGGACGTCTGTAATGAGGCTGAAACCACTTTTATCTCTCCTCACTTGGGCTCGTATTCACTCTGTTGCTGAGCAGCAGCTCACAGTGTGAGGATGGCTTTGACAAAATCAGAAAGACATGGCTCTTCTTGCTTTTGACACTGTTAAAGCATCCTCATCTTTTTGGCCTCACAACTATCAATAAAAAAAAAAAAGTCACCAAAAATGTAAAATGGGAAAAAAAGATTATGTGAATATCAGAAGTGACTCACACTGTTGGGCAGTTATACCACATCAACTCCTCTCATCATAAAAACTCTGTAAAAGCAGCAGGGAGGAGAGTCCAAGTTTGAATTCTGAATTAAATGATTTTCTGTTAAAAATCCAACAGAGCCAATGAACAACAAAGAGTCCCGCCCACACATACGATCGGCTGATTTGAAAACAAAAATCGGACACATCAGACAAGATAACATTTTACAGATATTATTCACATTTGAAAGAAGTACTTTATAATTTAGTAACTTGTGAAGTCGGGTATGATGTGTCAAGTTTTATCTTTTCTTGTCTATGATACCTGTTGTATCCTCTGTTATCTAAAATATTACTTCAGGTAGAACTTCACATAACATACATATGCGTTTGAATTGATACATAACTAAAAATGCTTAATTGAGGATGTGGTTATAAGCAGAGAAGAGGAAGTTAAGAAACCAAGCAGGGATCTATTGAATCTTTGTTTGTATTTTTGTTGCAAGACTTCAACTTTAAGATGCTACATCATGGTGCATCTATGAAGAATAATATCTGCTGTAAAGTATGATAGGAAATGATCACACAAACTAAGAAGTCTGTTTTGTCCTTCCCGAGAATCATGTCAGTGTTTCATAAAATAACTTACTGTAGGGAAAGAGTAAGGTCAAATGTTAAACTTTTTTCCTGAGAGTGTCTCAGCCGACAAACTAGAAAAGAAAAAAAAACAGTTTGATTGCACTCAGTAGAGAAAAATACTGTATATAAAGTCTAATTGGAACAGAAAGGCTGAGTGTGACTTATTATGTTGAACAGGTTTTGTTGTCTCTTGAACGGTTAAGAGTCCTTGAACTCTCGAATGCTGTCTCTGTGGCTGATGTGAGATCTTTTATTTACTCTACAGTATTTTTATTCAGGTCATTTTCGTGTTGTTGCCAGCTGTCTCTTTCTTTTTTTACCGTGTTCACTCCTACACCTCCTCTTCTTATTGAACCTCTCTGTCTTTTTGAACTTCAGGTTAATCCTGCAGACATAAAGACCGGCTATTTGTCGATCATCATGGATCCAGGAGAGGTTCCTCTAGATGAGCAGTGTGAATATTTGCCTTATGACTCTTCTCAATGGGAGATCCCCCGAGACAAATTAAGACTGGGTGAGCATTTGGTATTGGTAGGAATAAATAGTGATGATGGATGATGGATAAATGAGTCAATGGGAGTGAAGAGGAGTTGGAGGATGTATCTACAGGAGAGGATGAGAGCAAATAGATGGATGAAACTGAATTAGCTTTCCATTTTGAGAATGCTTAATGGCAGAAGTTTGGATCGCAGCCAGCTGGGCAGAGAGCTGCCTAGTAAAGTGCTAATGTTTAAAATGTGCTCGTTCTCAGCATGGCTTTCTAAAACCGCCCTGAGGTAAAGCATCTGTTCCACCACAGCAAGTGAAGGGAAACATGTTGTTTTCCAAAGGCTGAAAATTGAGAGTCTAATGCCTCCCCCCCGACTATGTGGGGGCCAGATGCATTTACATTTTGCAACCACAAGTGTTTGTGTAGTCCAGTGGGACTAAAGCCAAGCCTGCAGGGATCGATGAGAGTAAATATCCTGTCTCTCCTCTGATGTAGGGAAGGTTTTAGGCCATGGTGCCTTTGGAAAAGTGATGGAGGCTTCAATCTACGGCATCAGCAAGAGCAGCAGTTTGGACACAGTGGCTGTTAAGATGTTAAAGGGTAAGACCCAATATCATGTATGCGTTTAATCTGTCAGTAAAAGAAAAAGTGATTAAAAAAACACACTAAGGAGCAACTGATAGACAAGCTTGGAGAAGTTTATTGGAATTTCTTGGAAACATGATTTATTCTTGAAGTTTACAGTAAACTCACAAGTTTGATATATGTTTTTATAATTTTCACTTTACATATGATTTTGTAGATGGAGCTACAGCCAGCGAGCATAAGGCCTTGATGTCAGAATTAAAGATCCTGATCCACATTGGGAATCACCTGAATGTGGTGAACCTGATAGGAGCCTGCACAAAACCCAATGGTGAGAAATTCCTTCATTCATTCATTCATTCTTCTGTTATTATTATGGTATGGTATGGTATGGTATGGTATGGTTTGGTATGGTATGGGTCATCAGTGATGGTGGGAGGCCCACAGCTGCTTGTGACGTGTGCTGCTGACCTCTTGGCCAGGTCACCCTTGGAAAAGAGATCTCGATCTCAATGGGTTTCTTACCTGGTTGAATACAAGTTCAATAAAAATGTTTATGTATCATAGAATTGTAGATGGTAGGGGAGAGTGGGGTAAGATGAGCCATTTTTCATATTTCAGATCACTACATCAAGTCAATCGTAGTTTTGTCTCTAACTAGTGTATCTGCATATATTTCAAGATGTTGTGCATCTATGCAAATCAACAGAATGAGTCTAAACAGAACCGTCTTGATCATACAGCATGCCAAAAAAAAGTGGTCTCCTATGGTCAACTTACCCCTTGTATGGGGTAAGTTGACCATAGGATCGGGGTAAGTTGAGTCGTATCCAAGCTAAAATGGTGGACTTTTATGTTAGGTTTTGGACCTCATGTTGTAGCTCATAGATACCACAGTTGATGTAAAAAACAAATTTAAAATGATCTTTTTTGGTCTGAACACAATTCTAATAAAACTTATGACAGACTAAATTCACTTTCAAGAGTGAAAAATGTTTTTCTGGAAATAAATGTCTAACCCCTTCAACCATGTGCTTCTAACCTTCACAGACTCCATGAATTGATGCCCATCTCCTAAATATTTGGTCACATGATCAATTTCTTTTACCATTACCAAGCAACAGGGGGTGGCTCAACTTACCCCACTCTTCTCTATATGTGAATTGAACATATATTTAATAATGATTTAATACTGCTATCAAGGTGACAATTTAGTTGAGGTGGAGAGTTTGCTGTCCACTTAAACTGTAGATAGTTTTGTCTGCATGCTTTCGTGTGCAGACAGATGTTTGAAATAAAACTGAGTGGTGCTAACTCGTTTGCTTTCCTAAAGGGGCAATTAAAAGGCTATGAAGCAGTGGTATAAAAAAGAACAGAAGTAGCATAGAAAAAGAGGTATAGTATGAAAATACAAATAACTATGAAAATGAATATACAACAGAGCTGTGATGGAGAAGTAAAATGATTCTAGTCCAAATCAGATTACGTAGCTAATATCACTCACACTAAAATGAACATTTCCTGTAGGAGTGAAGTAAAATCAGGATCTCATGAATCAGCATTGTACCTGATGAGATTCCTTATCTTTGCTTGGTCAGACTCTGTGACATTTTCTTTGACATCATTTTTTAAACACCATCATAAATCTCAGACTGTGTTCTGTGAAGTGTTCTCTCCCTGCACCGTCTGCAGTTTCATATCTGTTTTGATTGCAGCCTTCTGTTTTTGTGTCAATAACCCTCTTGTCTTTGTTTTCATTTTGTCTGGTTTTCCCGCCACGAACAAATCGATGTCAGATAAACCCAACTTCTGTCTGCACATTGATATGATTACACTTAGCCTGCCAGTATCTGTGTTTGAAGCTGCTCTCCTGCTTCGCTTTGGTCCTCATAGCAACAGTCTGCAGGCTGTTATTTTGGGAGGGTTCATGTCTGGTTGTTTTGCTTGCTTCTTTCTTAGATTTGAGACTGTGGTGTATTTATTTATTAAAGGTGAAGTATCAGATGTTTTTTTAGCCCCTGCAGCTTTCAGAGATTTCATACAGCACATCAGCAGAGGAAGTGAAGCAGCTGCCTCCCCTTTCCTTCGACACCCCTGATTTATTATCCATAGATCAATTTGACCCGTGGAGCACATTTTTTAAGGACAAGCATCTGACTGTGTTTACGCTCAACAAAAGCTGTAATTTCACCCTGCTGCTAAACTCAGGAAGGAAATGCTCAAAGAATGTGGTCTCTCATTATTTTCAATATGTTGTTGCATAAATGAGCTCTCAAACATGAGGCAAAACTTTCTTTTTTTGACTGACAGAGTAAAGATTGAAGACCGTGTGACGTTTGGAGTTTTTTTTCCCACTTACAGTAATGATGGAAAAAAAACAGCTCAATGATCTGTCTGTGTCTGCAGGTCCGCTGATGGTTATAGTCGAGTACTGCAAGTATGGGAACCTGTCCAACTTTCTGCGAGCCAAGAGAGAGTTCTTCCTCCCGTACAGGGTATCTGACACTTAAGTGAAACAGTTTTCATTAAATTAATGCAGCTGAATCCTTGGAGAGAACCTCCTTAAATTTTCGCTTCCTTAAATCTCCTACATCTACGGCGCTCTGGCACATCTGCTTTTTAACTCCCTGCTGATATTGATTTGGAATTGTTCCCCTTCACAGGACCGCTCTCCTAAAACTCAGAGCCAAGTGAGACGGATGATTGAGGCGGGTCAAATGGACCAAAGAGCTCGCCATCAGCCTTCGCCTTCCTCCTCTCACAGCATCAATCCTCAGACTGCCTCTAAAACTCCCAGCCAGACTCCGGTGGTGGAGAAAAGTGAGTCTGTTTTAATTAAAGAGAGAGTTGCTTTTTTCCCCGACTAGTTACAGCTCATTAACTTCCTTTCTCTTCATGACTGCCCTCCTCATCTTCCTCCTCCTCTTCTCTCTGTAGTGGAGGACTTGTGGAAGACTCCTCTTACAATAGAAGATCTAATTTGCTACAGCTTCCAGGTGGCTCGTGGGATGGAGTTCCTGGCCTCTAGAAAGGTTAATTGTCTGCATTACAAAGATAATCAGTGACTGAGCATAGCAGGATATCACCATGGGTTGTTTCAGAGGCTGCAGTTGTCATCACTTCAGAATGCAATGCTGTTAATTATTTATTGCATCAGCATAAACCTGAGCCGTGCAACAATGACGCACCGCATACTAACACTGAGCAGGTATTAACTTATTTATTTATGAACACTTCTTCCACAGTGCAGTGTAATTGTTTGTAGCATACCAAAACAATCCTCTTGATTGTTTTAGATGCATAACATGCTCTACTTTCTGTGAGTACTTAATATTAATATAAAAGTTGTTCTTGTTAAACAATAACTATAAACTCTAATAATTGAGATTAAGCGCAGGGCTGGATTTATGATACATCCTGAAACAACTCGGTGTGACATAGAATAAAGTTTAAAAAAAAGTAAATATAGTAAAAAGATATAGTCAAATAATTAATAAAGTTCTTCTTTTCTTACTACAAAGGTTCTGAATTCAGCTTGCTTAAGTTTTTCGCTGGTTATAAAAGAAAAATAAAGTGACTGTGATGCCTCTTTGTGATTGTCATTAACATGATGGAGAGTTTCTACACTATAATTTTAAATGTGTCTCATCTGTCCAAATTATTCACAACAACATGGAAAGTAAAAAAAAGTAGTAATGATAATGAGACTTTTGAAAAACATTGGCTCAAACTTGTTTGGAAAAAATAAATGGAACTGAAATTGAAATATCGTGTTGGACGAGAATTTCTGTGTAATAAAAAATGTCAACAATTCAAAAAAGAATTACTTTTAAATAAATCAAAATGACATGTTCAATTAAAAAAACAATCAAACAGCAGGGATAAACTGGCTGGTACGCTGAAGTATAATGAAATGAAAAGGGGAATGGACCAAAGCAGCTAGAACTGAAAATAAATACTGACAAACTAAAAAGTTCAAATGACGTTTTTGACTGTCAGGCTCTGAATTAGTCTTTCAAAACAGTGTTTACTGCCGGTGTGTTCAGCTGACAGCTTAGCAGGAGATGTCAGATCTCCTGCTGTCAATCCACAGTGCACAGTTCAGCCAAGACATAGTCCAGTCCCTTATTTTTAAATTGGCAAAGAGACACAGAAACCTACACACGTCTGCGCATACACAAGTTAAAGCAGTACATCATTTAAATGTAAAGTTGCCTTTAATCTCCTCCAAATGTGGTAATCATAGTAAACAAATGAGAAGCAATGCATGCTAACAGTCTTATAACACACATGTACACACACCTGTCTGCAGTGCTGTGATATATGATGTGTGTTTGTGTGGTTGTGTGCGTCCACAGTGTATCCACAGAGACCTGGCAGCCCGCAACATTCTCCTGTCAGAGAACAACATTGTGAAGATCTGTGACTTCGGTCTGGCGAGAGACATATACAAAGACCCCGACTACGTCAGGAAAGGCAATGTACGGCACTCATGAATGCTTTGTGCCTCCAGCTTTGCTACCCACCCCTCTGTTTTGTTTTGTTTTTTTTGACTGTGGGAGGACATTAAACCCCTTTTTTAGTGTTTGTTCAACCACCCACACAGTGTTTCACCTTTACAGCAGGTGTCATTTGTGTATATGAGACTAGCTTGTTCTGTTTGTCTGATGTTTTAATGTTCTCCTCCAGGCTCGTCTGCCTCTGAAGTGGATGGCTCCAGAGAGCATCTTTGACAAAGTTTACACCAGCCAGAGTGACGTCTGGTCTTTTGGAGTTCTTCTCTGGGAAATCTTCTCACTTGGTAAAAACCAACACTGTCATAACACACGCATTTCATCTTTTACGAGGTGTCCAGAGTGTAAGTATCAAGGGAACAGAGTTTTAGTCAAATTGCCTGCAGTAGCCGTGGAGCATGTGTTTTGTAGACGCAACAATTGATCTGTGTTTCTTCACAGAGCTCTTTTACAGGAAGAGTAAATCCTCATCGCTGGGATCCAGACATAGCGGCCATTCTGAACATGTCACTGAATAGTTCATCCTTCTTTGTGCTTCTCCAGGTGCATCTCCCTACCCGGGGGTTCAGATTGATGAAGAGTTTTGCAAACGGTTGAAAGATGGTGTCAGGATGAGAGCCCCAGAGACTGCTTCACCTGAAATGTAAGAAAAAGTCCTGTAAATCAGTTTATCATACTCAGGTAGCTCTTCAAACTGATTTTTTGTTGACATATTAGCCCTGTTGTCCTGAGTTTCATGATTTAAATCAACAAAGTTCAAGTGCATTTAAGTATCTTCAGTATTTTCAGTATTTAAGTACTCAAACTCCGTCCAAAAGGCTAATGTCCCCAGTGTGTGCTTTGTTGTGATGTTACTGCCCTCTGCTGACAGATACGGCATCATGCTGGCCTGCTGGCAGGGTGAGCCTAAAGAGCGTCCAACATTCCCAGCTCTGGTTCAGATCCTTGGAGACTTGCTGCAGGACAACAGTCTACCTGTAAGTTTTGTGCCTCGAGTTGTTTTTTAGTTTGTTTAGAGAGAGTTTCAGGGCGTAACATCATCTTCAACAAATTTCTTTCAGGATGGTAAAGACTATGTCCCTCTAAACTCCTCACAGAGTTCAGAGGATGATGGTTTCTCACAGGTCTCGTCACGGCCTCCATCTGAAGAGGAGCTGAGAATGGCCTTCAACTCTCTGCCCAACAGGTATTCAAGCATGCTGTTGTCTTTTAAGCACCTGTTATAGAAAACAACCCTGAGAAATCCCCACAGCCAATCACAGACTGAAGAAGCCTGATGTACTGTGTATCAAGCTTTTACCGCACTGTTTTCCTGGATGACGTGTCTTAATTAGCCTGAACACACTCAGCAGCCAACTGCATATACACTACCCTGCTTCTGTAAATACTCACCACCCTAAAGCTGACAACAGTCCCCAAAGTTTTTGATAAACTCCGACAGTGGTTGTGTTTTCTCAGAACAACAGTGCCTTGTCCTTTAAAGAGGAAAAACATGTTCACTACCTAGACCACCTCCTGGTATTTGTATTCACCAGAAGGGTTTCTCAAGTATAAACCGGATCATCTGTCTGTTCTTCAGCAGGTATTATAACTGCGTGCCCTTTGCCGGCTGTGTGTTGGTGGGACCCTCTAAAGTGTGCCAGCCCAGAGTGAAGACATTTGAAGAATTGCCCGTGGAGATGCACCAACAGAAAGCTCCTCAGGTAAGCTCTTTATCTGCGCATCAGATGCTGACAATGTGAGCCAGCGGGTGACATTTGGCAAACAGCATTCCACTTCAGCAATTTTCTCCTCAGATAATTACCAGAAATAGTTGCTGCTGTCAGGAAGGGGGCATAGCAGAGCGGTCCGTTAAAGGTGTTTTATTCACATGATGTCCAACCGTGTCACCCAGCAGGACAACCAGACAGACAGCGGGATGGTGCTGGCCTCTGAAGAATTTGAGAGGATCGAACACGAGCACGGGGGAGCTGCCTCAAAAAGGTTAACCTTATACTGTAAAAGCTGAGGTCCTCGTTTCTGTCTGATAATGAAGGCTGCACTCGGGAGAGGTGCAGCCAGGGCAGAGATATCTGTCTGTCGTCATTGAAAATGTTTTAAAGTCAACACGAGGAAACTGTCACTCCATTTTAATAACATTATTATGTATTTATACAACTCAGCTCCTCATTGGCTGTTGTTGAGTGAAGCAGCAGGATATTTACAAAGAAGTAAGCATCGACAGAGTCATCTGAACCCATGGTAAACATTTAGTTTAGCAATTAATGAGAATTACACTAAAAGCTCTCAGCCCACATGGATAAAACAATGTTGCTTCTCGGAGAAAAGTTATCAAGTAACTTCATCCATCTCACAGCAAAGTGTAGGAGGGACTGGTTAGAGTATAAATGCTCTGAGCCTGCGGGGCCAGTCAAGAGGAAATTTGAACAACCTCTTGAAACCTACTGCCTAATCAACATCCTTAGAAGGAAGTTGGCTTAGAGTTTTAAGTAGCAGTGGGCCTGGGGAGTCAACTCTACCAGCAGTTCAACTAGAGGAATAAACAGGTCTGTGAATGAAAAGATGATGAACAGAAAGAGTTCAACAGAGACAAGGATAAAATACAAACGGGAGGTCAAAGATTTGCGGCGAGGCTGAAAGGTCAAGAAGCTTATGTGTATTTGAGAGTTGTGTTCATGGTAGTTTCCATGGTAACACATTGTAGCCTTGTTACTTTTGCCATGTGGATGTAATGTCTTTTGTCTTCATTACGAGTGGATTTTATTCATCTTATCAGCAGAGACAGTGAGAAACAGAACTTGATAAACTGAAACCTGTAAACGAGTGTTATTCCCATATTAACGTTCTTCTACCTACCTCTTCATAGATACTCTTGCTATAACTTCATCTGCTGTCTTTTCAGTTTCACAGTATTTGGTATAAAAACTGACATCTGTATGGTTTCTCCACAGTCGTATAGGCAGCAGCAGCAGCACAGAGCCTCTCACGGCCTCCCATGGTTCCCTGGGTCGAAGCAGTGATGTCATCACCTCCAGACACCGCCCCCACTTCTTCAGCCAGCTGTCAGGTCAAACTTTCTATAACAACGAGTACGGACACCTGTCCGAGGAGGGCTTCTGTGACTTCTTCTTCTCACCCGACGCCCCCTGCCTGGCCTCCTCCAACGTGTAATCTCACCAAAAATGCAGCACAAGAAAGAGGGAGGGTCGAAAAAGGCGTACTGCTGAGGTCAAGGGAGATGTGTTGATGTTCGGTAACACCATCATTGATGTATAACTAACCACTTATACCAAAAGATCAAGTTATGACCTGAGCTGACCTCTTTTATTCCAAAGTCCAGCTGTTCTCCTCCCCTTTGCTGCCCCAAAAAACAGACTTGAGCGATACGTGCCTGAAGTTCCTCAAAGAAGCCACTGGGTGGCAGCATTATGTCAGTATTTTCTACTCACACCTTAATATTTTTATCTTTTATATACAGAGTATTTTTCTTGTATTTGTACAAACTATGATTCATATGTGAAAAAATAAAGAAATTTATCTAGCTGTCGACTCTATAATTGATTTGAAGTAAACATATATTAGCCCATGTCAGGGAGGAAATTTGTCATGCTGCAATAAATAACGAGAGCCACGAGGCCTGTGATGATCCAATTTAAGGGCCACTTGACGTATTGAACAGATATTATAGGCTCTGTGTCATACAGTGGAGGTGGACACACTAAAAGGCATGACATAGTTGAAAAAAAAAGCAGAGTGACGGTGGTAAACAGAGGGATGTGGGGCGAATAAAGGAGTGAGTCACACTAAGCATCTCTTATCAGAGCTGGACGTAAGCATGATGACAGCTGTGAACCGCCTAACACCCTCTTACATGCTCACATCACAAAATGACAACCTACAGGGTGTTGACCTCGGCTGAGGGGAATGAGAAGTGTCTGGGTGCAAAGTCCAGTTCACACAGTCACAATTACAGGCCCTGGAGCGGAGTTAATATAAACTCAGGGCTGTAATTGATCCGTTTTCATTTTCTGTGTCATTTTTAAGAGTATCAAACTACGTTAAGGTACGGAGTTGATTTATACAAAAAAGGAGAGAAAAAATCCAGTATGACACCTTTACACTGAAACAACTGTGTTTGAAATCAGTTGTGCTTTTATTTCTAACCTGTCTTTACAACTTTGACTCAACGTTTTAAATTTTGTTTAAAACTAACCACATATTTTTCACTTCTTTTAGCCATGAAGTAGGAAACTTTTCCCTTTGAAACCTCAGTTTAATCGGCTCACTTTGAGATCTGAAAGCCAAATCACTTTCTTATTGAAGAAAATGTATTTTAAAAAGACATGGGAGTGGCAGGAAAAACATTCAGTGTACATCAGTGATTCTTGTGGTATTTTTTTACTTTAGAAACACACAGAACAACAGAGTAATTCATGACAACATAAAATGGACCTCTAGCCAGTTTTGAGGGCCTGTGAATATCACTGTACTCAGTCAGGAGTCTCCTACACAAGAAGAACAAAATAAACACAGGAGACAAACATCCTGGCCAACAGTTTCTCTCCTTACAAATCTAAACTTTCATAACTTCATGGAGAAAAATCAAGTATCAAACTGTGTAAAAATAAACTAGATCATTTTCTCGTAGGAAAAACATTCGACTCAATGTTTAAAAAAAGAACTGTAACTGTAAGAAAATACTTGATTTAAATGCACTGAGATGTAGAGGACACCTCTAAAAGTGATACTGTAGGATCTAACATGCATGAAAGAAGATGTGGAAACACTGATTTTAGTGGCAGACACTAAAACAGACACAAATATGAGAAAGGTGATGATGATGATAATCCTGTAAGGTGAGACGGCCAAAATAAAGGCCCAAAGTTTCAACACTGGAGATGAAAACTGAATATAGAAAAGATGAAAACTTGATATAAAACTTTGTGTTACGGACGGTGAGAATCAATCTGACATTTTACGCTTCAGTTGAGTCCGGTGTATACAAAGCACACGTTTATAAGCCAGGGCACTTCCTCCAAAAGATCATGTCCCTCTGCAGTACCCAGGGACTGAGCACAAGCTGACTAGACTGATGCACTAACTGAACAACGGACCTCTCGATGTCAGTAACTCACACAGTCATAAACTGATTAATGATTTCTATGACTGGAGATAAAAATGTGGGTCATGTTCAGCTACCTCCATATTTAAAAAAAAAGAAAGAAATCAGCTGTTTTTTGTACTTCATTCCTTAAAAAAATCAAGTGCAACCTTTCTGTCCCCACACCAGTTAAACCCTGACATACAGTACAATAGATCTGAGTAACTAAAGAGTTCCCCTGTCCTCTCCTTTCCTCACTCTGTCCACATGTGGTGATCACTGAAGCAGACAGAGCCCAAGAGGACCGGCGGTAACTGAGATGCAGCTGTGTAGCCTGGTAGTTAGATCGAGTGCCAGAGCTGTCACGATGATAGGATCTCCAAAAGGAAGTTGGTTTGAGCAGGGATTGGATTTAGCTACCAGGCTAGCAACATTTCACTTATAAATAAAGACGCGAGGAGGGGACTGGGGGGGGGGCTGTCCTCATGACATTTTTCCAATCTGGATCTTCTTCCAGGCCTCTGAAGCTGTGAATATACAGGAGTCGATGATTCCTGCGACTGTGAACGTCCCCCCGATGATGGCACAAATCTGCACAAACAAATCACTCTGTTAGACTCTACAGTAAAATAAATAAAACATATATATTTTTTTACTCCTGTTACAAACAGCTCAATATCAGCTGCTTTTTATGAGACGCAATCGTGACAATCACATTGACACCTCAGGAATCCAGCAAACAGTTCTGCTGCTGCTGCTTGACTCACAATCTTAAGCCATGAGTCATAATCACACTATAAGCTCCGTCATATCCTGAAGTCATGAAAAACCTAAACAACACAAAAGACAAATAACAGTGTAGCTCATCAGTCAGGCAGCCAATTTAACCCTGACTGCATTATCAGTCAGCAGGAAGCTTTCCCGGTGAGGTGGAAAACATGCGTAGCTTGAATTCCTCACAAATCAAGGTCAGGTGAGGAATGGAGTCATGGAAAGATAAAATAGATGAAGAAAGTTAAAGATTTAAGTATCTTCATTTACATTTTTATTGGTTTTTGAAAAGGGAGTTTATGTCTTTGTGAAAAAAGTTGATCATTTATTAAGATATGTTCTGATAACACATCCTTACTCTGCAATGGTTTCATATTTTGAGAAAAAAGTTCTTAAATTACTACAAATTATTTTGACGTATTGAGTCATTGCGTCAGTCCGTGTTTGAGATAATACCCCAGAGGTACTACTCCAACACTTTGACAAAGCTAGTCATCATTTCTGATACCTGTTTGTTTTAAAAAGCTGCTCATAGTTTTGACTCCTACCTCTTTATTTTGAGGACTTCTATCGTTTTTTTAACACTCACTCATTGTGTTGAGATGCTTAACCAATTCTTCTGTAATGTTAACTGACCCAGTAAAGCTATAAACCATCTTAATCTTCCTTTTTAAGTGATATAAGTCATCATCCTGGAAATGGTATCCTATTACTATTATTATCAGCACAGACCAGAACTGACAGAGTCTGATTACTCGACTTACATCCTCTCTGACTAAATTCAGCTTCAATGCTGATAACAAAATCAGAGATGTGTTTATGACTTGCTTCCACGGGTCATAAGTGATAATAAAATCCAGCCTCAAGATTAAACTGAAGAATAATTGTTAAGATGAAGACTTTATGAAACCTTACAAAAAAAAAAAAATTCCGTCAACTTTTGGCCACGCTGCCAAAATTTTCCCCCAATGCAGAGAGGGGAAGTGTCTCACCGTTGTGATGAAGCGGTAGATTGGCTGTCTCCTCTCTGTGTACTTGACTGTAATTGGACTGAGATCATATCGGAACCAGATGGCCGGGATGATCCTGCCCGTGTGGCTGTAAGCGATGTATTCCTGAGCGAGGAAACAAATAAAAAAAAAGTTTCAGTATATTTTTTATTCAGGGTGAATTAAAAAAAAAAGATTCAATTAAGCCCGTTAAGACAGTTAATCTCATTACGTTTACTAATCATGTCAGAGAAATCTTGACTGTGATGATTTTCTCCTGAGGTGTATCAGTCCAGTCACATTTAAGTCATAAATGATTCATTAAAAATGAATGTTGGCTCAATAAAACTGGTTAAGTAAGCAGGGAGAGGGAGCAGTGTGTTAGGAATTACTACGTGATGACAGATCCTAGTGGTCATTCTCAAGCCTTCGTTTTATATCATCAAAAGTAAAACTCTGAAAAACGATCTAGGCTAAAGTCCAAGCAATGGACGATGTGGGCCCCATCTGGACCTGTATTTATGCTTTCACATGAGATTTCCGATTATCTTGCAAAGGCCCTCATCCCCCTCATCTCACAGCTGACCTGCACTGTTATGACCAAAAACCCCAAACCCAGCTGTCAGTCAGCACTGTTCTAGGAAGTATTTTTATGGTTTGTTGACATGTGCGAGTGTTTCCAGTCTCTAGGGGTGAGCTTCAGCTTCCAGGTGAGTGCACAAGTTAACACAGCGATACATGCTCTGACCATATGTTGGGCTGGTCACACTTCTTCCATGACAAATGCCAAAACAACATGACTCAGAGGGATGATCTAACTGGGGAAAAACATGAAGACAAAAAAAAGCACCTTGCTGGCTACTGTGTACTGGTAGGAGAACCTCTGCCTGCCTGACAGATCTTCATACACCGTCGGGACGATCTTCAGGATGTAGTCGTGTGAAGACAGAGCTGCAAGAAAAAAAAAATGAAAAAGTTGTTTTAACTTTTGAGAGAAAGTTCCCAAAAAAGGATGCAGTTTTGTTCGTGACGCAACAGGCTGCAGGCTTCTCCATGTGACATGCGGTGTCAGCTGTGTGGAGAAAGTTTCCACTCAGTTTGGATTCAATATGTCCACTAGGTGTCCTATTTCATTGCTTCATCCAACACCAGAGCAGCCTTACATAAATGTGACATAGTGGTTATGATGAGAACATGTGCGGGGAGAATACATACGATTGGAGGACAGCCTGTCTGCCCCTCCTAATGCGTTAAAGGCTCCTTTTACTTTTTGTACCTGAATGAGGGAAAAAAAAAAGAGGAGAAAGAGATCTTTGTTCAAACTCCATCTTCTCTGGATCGTTTCTATTCGGTATGTTTTGAATCAGTCCTGACCATGAGCTTTTCCCCAAAGGCCAGCTTGTGGATGATGTGGGTCATGTCAGGGTTTGAAGGCTGCGATGTAGCACCGTGCGTCGACACGTGGAAGTTTCCTGGTACCTGAAGACACACACACACATAGTAGTACGAGTGTACAAGTACCTGCAGCACTTCCACTTAACTAATGACCAAGTCTGAATGCGAGCGCACAAATGTGTCGGGAAACTAAATGATCCTTTACTCCTACTTTGACACGTTTCATAGATTACTAAACATTCCACCAGGTCGAGCGTTAAATGTACCACAGGTTGGTTAATTATTTTAAGTGTAATGGAAAGTGTGACGCACAAGGTGGTGGAAGCACAAACAGCGCTTCACAGAGTCCAGACTATACTGTCAGATGTAACTCAAACTGATCCCAGAGCTCTAACGTTACATGTAACTTGATTTAGACAGGAGGAGGAAGCAGCTCTACTTCATTCATCTCAAACCGAGGCTCACAGCAAATAAACGACGTTTAGCCTGAGAGGTTGTGTTCAGGCCTCATGTGAATTGTTGTATCAGAAAAAAGGCAGATTCTGGCCTCACTCTGGGGGAGTCCGCTGAGTAAAGACACTCATTTGAAGAGTATTTTCCACAGTGTGAGGAGGATTTACTTTGTTGATGGTGAAGACTCCCTCAAAGCGGCAGCCACTGTCGTTGTCAATGGGAATCTTCATCGAGTTGTCTATGTGACCGACCTCGTGCCGGCCCATCTCATCCTGGATGTCCAAACCCAACACTGAGGGAGCAAGGAGACACAGAGGAGATGAAAAATATTTAAAAGGAGAGGAAATAGAAGCAAAAATCAAACACAGCTTCTTCATCAATCAAAAATCTTCCCATGTTCTGTGAGAAAGGTCACGGTTCATCTTGTTAAACATTAACTATTTCAACATCCAAAATATCCATACATGAGAAGCAACACTTATGTAACTGTGGCGGTCAGTGATTCACCATCACATACAGTTATGAAGAATAACGCTTTCACATTCAGCTGACCACTAAGTAAAACTGAGGTCACTGTTTCAAAGAGGACAACACAAAAGCAATCTGTAGAACATGTGCTGCAGGTATTCTGTGAGGAGAAAAGAGCTCCTCAAGTGTCAGGACAATGAGTCTTCACATCTCTTGAAAAGTTGTAGATGTACTGTTTTTTTATTCGTTTTTACTGCCTCAGGTGTCGGGCCCTTTTAAAGAGCTGGCTTGTTCTTGAGGCAGGCTTTTGGTCTCAGGGGATTTAAATTCTTCATATTTTAGTACAAAGTGAGGGCCTAAATAACTAAAGCTGTACAGAGCAGCTCAAAAAACACTGAGTTTAAGGCTTCACAAACTTCACTCCTGAGGAGACTGCCTCTGTGTGTGCTTGCACAGATTTGAATGATTCATTCTATGTTCGTTTGGAGCAAGTTATACTTCTCTATCTCTGTGCAAACAAGCCTTATTGTAGAAAACAAAGCCACAAACCATTAGAGCCACATTTCTACCATCTGCTCTTTGCTCTATTTTATCATAACTTTTATTATCAGTATTACCTCTTATTATTTTACTATCATTGTTGATATTGCCTTTTAAATTTACTATCCTGTTTCTGCTTTCCTCCTCCCTTTTAATTGCATTTTCTTTTTTTCTGAACTATTTTATGTTTTTATTTTGGTCCTCATGGTTTCATTTTATGTTGCATGGTTCTTGTATTGTCTGGGTTCCTTATGACATAAAAACGGCCTTCAATTCCGCTTTTACTAAGCTTTTTGTTTTTATCTGTCTTTTTCCATGTGCTCTATGACTACATGTCAAAGCACTTTGTAAACTTCGGTTTTTTTAAAAGTGCTATACAAATAAAGTTATTATTATTATTACTATTATTATTATTATGATCTGTGATTAAGTATTGATAAGCGTTGTTAACAGAAGTGGAAAATAAAGGTAATCAACAGGTGTGTCACTTTTGTATCTGGTAACCACCTGAGCGCCTCTTCACTAACACAATAGAGGAATGATGAGAGAAAGTCTCACTGTCTCTGCAAAATGTGTCCCACAGAGTAAACACAGAAGGACACAGACCACCTATCTTGCCCGTCACCCTCTCTCTCTCTCTCTGTCTGTGTTTTTCCATCCAGACCTCTCAAACCCCCCTCCCCCCTCTCCCCTGCAGACCTCTGTGGATTGGCACACTGGCACTGGCCTATTTTCAGAGCAGGCCTGTGTGGAGTGTGGGCCTGCAGTGCAGTGCAGGAGAGAGGGCTGTCTGTTTGGTCTGTGCTAAAACCTCCACACGCCGCCTGTCTGAACTTTGACATTCAAGACAAGCTCGACCCCCACGGCGCTCCTCTGTCCAGATCTTTAAATACAGCGCACAAATATAAGCTAAGTCAGTGCGAGCGCGTCCGAGCTGCTTGTTTCTCCTTTTTAAGACATTTCCACTCGGTAGAGAGTTCGTTTAAAGTGGATCTGAGCTGCTGTGGAGGGATTATTATAAGATTATTACATGCTGGTTCTGCTTTTCCATTGAGTCACAAACCAAGGCCAAGCAACCTGTAAAGGTCAGAGGAGAGAAATGCAGGGCAGCAGCAAAAAAAAGAGGGAAATGCAAGCTTTTCCATGATGAAATGATTTCTCCCTTTCAGTCAATCTTTAAAGGATGACGGCCTGTTTGGAAAATAACCAGATGTAGAATATTAACCCTCTGGGTGAACAGCAGAGGAACATTTCTGGCCATAACATCCAGCTGCAGCCGTGTGGTTAGACCAGCGTGCCTGAGCCCGGTATTTAAGGGGCCCCCACAGGTCTGCAGAAGAAAGGTTTAAATTCTGCAAATAAACAAAACCAACATACATACTATCATCAAGAGCTTTAATTGGAAACGGCAAGAGGAGGCCTTTGTTTAGGCATGTGATGAGAGAGCTCGTCTGAACACATGGCCGACATGTGTGCGCATGTGTGCCAGAGAATCTCTCTTCAGAAATCTGGACTGAATTTTTCACACAGGCATTTATTAGCGTTGCCATTTTTGGATATCGCTTGAATCCAATGAATGTGTTTTCTGGGCACTCCAACTGGTGTGTGTGCATCTGTGATAGTGTGTGTGTGTGTGTGTGTGTGTGTGTGTGTGTGTGTGTGTGTGTGTGTGTGTGTGTGTGTGTGTGTGTGTGTGTGTGTGTGATTTGTCATTGGAATAGTTTCTGACAGCAGTCATGAGGAGCAAATAACCAGTGACTCTCCATCCTGGCAAGCATCGCCCTGGCCTGCCCACTTCTCAAGCGCTGAGGCAAAACACAGGCCAGGAGAGGCAACTTTATACCAGAGATGGGGGGCTGTGTGGAAGAAGCGGATCAAATAGAGGCTGCACAGGCTGGAGGCTGGGTGAAAAATCGAGTGTTATCAACGAGCATGCCACACTAGAGCAGGTAAACAAACCATTATGTTGTTGTGAGGCCTCCTCTTTATCTAAGGCGGTATTTATCTTTTGCCAGTGTGGCGTGTTACATGATAAGGCGTGCTGTCTGATAAGTAACAGTAGAAAGGAGGCCATAAAACATGTGAAAAGGAGAACACACAAAGAGAGGGTGAAATGCAGAGAAATGAAGAGCTGTACATTTATGTATATTATGTATATTATACTCACAATCACAGTGTAAGTTTGGCAAACTGACGTTTAAACTCACATCTATCTTCCCACCACTGTCTTTGTCAGGATCATCCACATACAGTTCATTTACACTGTGAGGGGCAGAAAGAAGAAGAAGAAACGGCTCATTAGAAAATCTGAAAACCAAAAGAAAACCTTGAATGTGAAGAAAAACAGTCAATTTCAGCTACAATACTGGATTTGTGTCCCGAATGTAACACTGGAGTAGATACGTCTTCTGCCAATTAATGCGCCTCTCTGACAGTGCAATTTCCTTCTTGTCACTTCCTCCCATAGTCATCCCTTATTACACATCGCCAAGAGGCTGACGCACACTCAAAGCCAATTTCCTGAGAGAAAACAGCCTCCATTTATTGGCTACAAGAGGCGCAGAGCTGAGTACATCATAATAGAGGCATTGGCATTCATGATGAAGTCCCCGTCTCTCGTATATATATCAGACGGCAGGTCCTGTGCCTGCGGGGCAACAAAGAAGCTATCTCTAGATCAGCCACCGGATATTACGAGAGACGGACGGTTATTCTAGGATGTGATGGGTGATACCTACATTTCAGTGGCTATGAATCCAGTCAGCTCAGACAGGAAGAGGAAGAGGATGAAGACACAGCAGAGGATGGAAACTGTGGGCAGAGAGGAAGAAAGTTTGAGTTAAGACTTTGTTTAAACCTAAATCCCTGTTGAGCTCCAATATGGCACCTCTTCACTTTAATCTCTAATTAGACCGGTTTTTAATAAGGTGATGAAAACAAAACGAGCCCGGCTGTTCCAGCCTTAAGGAACAGCTGAGCTAAGATTCTGACATTAATGAAATCACAGGGGCCATAAAGTTTTTCTCTAAATAGCTCTTTTACTGGGAGTGTTAATTCCACCATTACGCAGGTCTTTACAAACCCTCCTACGCTAATTACACATTAAATACCAACACAACAGGCAGCCATGACAGCATATCCGCTTTGGAGAGGTGAGCTCATGTTATGTGCGTCCTTCAAACAGCTCAATTTAGGTGTCCTCACACACACTGACAATTACTGTACTCTGACCACAGCTGATCTTAACAAAAGCCGAGACAGAGGCCAAATCTGGACGATCAGGCAAAATCATTGAGCATTTTTAGCACTTAAAAAATGAGCTAAAGCCTTTTTTGGCAAAATCAGCTCTGATGCTTCTTATAGACGAACTGAGAGGAACTTTCAGTTTGTGTCAAAGGGACACTCCTTTTTCATCCTGTACATATTTAGACATCCTCCCACCAACTTTTTAAGGTATTAAGATTAGTAGATTTTACTCAGTTTGAAAAAAAATCTTCATAATCCTGTAAAGTGTTTTACAATCAGTTAGGAACTCCTCACAAGGACCTCTATGCTAACTTATAAAGTCGGGTTGCACAGTGTTTTCAGTTAACTGATACTGTCCCATGACAAGTGAAAAAGCCAATTATAAGCACTGGCAAATACAAGCATGTCTGGTGATGATGTGACTCATCGAGTAGGTACACATAACGAAAGCTTGCGTGTGAAAACAACAAACTTAAACAAGTCAGCTGTGCGGAAGTATTTTTAAAAGGGTCAGAGACGAAAAGCAACAAGTCTTTTACAAAAGTTTGGATAAAAACCTGACAGCAGCCTCTACGTCAGTCACTCCACAAAGCTAAGAAATGAAGCAGAAACTACATTTAAAAATCAAATGTATCATCCTTTTTAAAATCATGAATCCATTGTGAAGTTTGTTTTATGTCTTTTATCTTAAAAAAACAAATACACTCTTCTAAGAGTCACTAGTATATTCTAGTCCAGGAGAGACTTGGTGTTGTGAAAAAAAAGGTGTGTATTTGTATCTGGATAAATGAGTTTGAGAATACTGGTACATGAGCCCATTACTATAATTTAAATGTTATATCGTCTTTAAATCTGTCCATATAGATCAGTGGAGAAATGTCAGTTTGTTTGCTGCACTTTGCTCTGGTGTTCATTTGTTCATTTGGTTCTAGTACGGTGATTTTGTTCGCTCTGAACACAGCCATTCCCTCTAACAGTCTACCAGGGTGGGTTTGAGGTCAGTTGTGCCAATCTTTCCAGCAAACTTTAGACAGTAACCAATCAGTGTATTTAAAGTTTGTAAAAACTGAGAAAAGCTCAAGTATTCCTGTTCAGTCTGGGTCAGTGCCTCAGTACACAGTGTGGCCTCTTCCAAATAGATCCCCATGGTGTATTTGGACTGTTTCAACATCCTGGGACTTCTCACCAGCTGCCAGCACCCTATCCCGTCCTCCCCGTATAAATGTTTCTCTTGATGATACATGGTAGCCCCTAAAGTAGATGGTAGCGTGGACTGTAGCGTGGTGATGCAAAGATCCAGAGGTTCTTTGTTTGTGTGACACACTGAAGAAGTGTGTGGTTAAGATCAGGATCATATTCTGGTATCTTTTATTAACTGTGGACATTTTGAACACCATACTCATGGCTAACTGGTAGTGGGCGCACAATACACTTGCCAACAAGTCAAAAAGGGGAGTACTGACACTTCTATTTCCCACTCAAAGCACTGGTCTGGGTTCAAACAAAGTCTAAACTTGAAAGGACATGTGGCATGTGTTTCATTTCATGTGTCAAACTAATCAGCACATTTCAAGTGCTCTCATGTGTTTACAAAGATAAATATGGAAGGAACTGATCTGTGTCTGCGCAACTGCGGTCTATCTGGTATGGCGAGAGCCTCCATCAGGAAGCTTACACTCAGCAGGTGAGGCGTGTTTACGTGGCAACAGTCTCCTAGCAGCTCACAGTCACATGACCCTGTGGTTAGCAGGGCATCAGGGCCAAACCTGTAGCCGGTGGAGGCTTTACATAAGGTGATGTTTAACCACCAAACAAAAGGGAGTGTCGCTATGACACATCGGACATCAATTCAGGCTCATCCAAAGCCGTCTACGGTAATTCTTCCCGGGTTTGAAAGAGTCAAATACTGGAAGGAGGATTAAAGAAGATCAAAGAAAGAGGCTGCCACTGATTTAAACTTTTAAAAGGCCTGCCATGGAAACACTGACAAGCCCAATGATTTGTAAAGACTGTAAATGTGCGGTTTTTATTAAGTCTCGAGCTCATCCATCCTGGCACGTACCCATGCCATGAAGGGGGATGAAAAAGTTGCTCCATTATTACTAATCTGTGACACAAAGGACTGGATACAGTAACACCGTGAATCAGCTGGCAGCCTTGTAAACTAGCCCTGCTTATCTGTAATCAGATGATCCCATGACCCTCCCCCCAGTTTGGACAGTTTGACAGAAAATAAATCACATTACAGGTTGATACATGAGTTCCCCACTAAGCAAGATCGGCTATGAAAATGTCTGAGGCCCAAACAGAGGTCGCGTCCACAGTAAGCACCATAGAAATTGAGCCCAAAGGAATGTGGCTCTAAAACAAAATAACAAAAGCAGACAGGGTCAAGTATTTGACCTTTGTGTGTGTGTGTGTGTGTGTGTGTGTGTGTGTGTGTGTGTGTGTGTGTGGGGGGGGGGGGGTCTGTTCCTTTTTACCCATGAACAACATAAGTCAAAATGCGGGTTGAGCTGCTGTGGGCTGGTGTCTAATATCTAAATCAACCCGATGCCCTCAGCCCTAGACGGTGGAAGGAGACAGGAAGGGTGGTAACTGTGCAGGAACTGAACTTCCATCCATTTCCCTCCTGGGTGGAAACTGTGCATTTATGTTTAGCAGACCCATTCTCTTCCCCGTCCTCCAGGAAAGTGTTAATAATCATTTTCAAACTGTTCACAGTTCAGCAACATCACTGCTTACACAATCTGTCATCGGTTTGGTTTGGACTTGACGTTTTGTTCTACTTCGCGCTGTCATCAGCTGACTAATGAATAACCAATACTAGAAAATGACTGAGGGGCTAAAAATGTATCACGGGGCCTATTGTATTCAAGCAAGCTGTGAATAATCAATACAATCCCTGATTACACAATGACTGATTGATGACAAGCAGGAAAGCACATGACATGACAGGAAAAGCGTTGAGATTTCCACTGATGACTTCTCAAGGGCCCGTGGCGATGAAAGAGCTTGATCATTAACATTCTTACCATACTAGTTGTGCTAAAACAGGTATAGCCCCCGAGCTCAATGACTCCATCAGGACGTAGCTTTGACAGGCAGGTACTTGAATTACAGATGTCAACTCCTCCTTTCCCCTACCTGTTTCTGAAAACACCCACCAGCAATACCTGGTTCTGCTTTCTGTTTACTTTCTATTCGACTCTTTATGTATGCTGAATATGAACTCTAAAGTCTTGCCACAGCAGCAGGGACTCTAGTAATTGGCCCTGAAGAGCAGACGCTGAAGGCAAGGCTGTCAGTCAAGTGAAATAGAAAAATGTGGGTGTCGGAGTAAGTCTGGTTTGTCACATTTTTTCACAACTTTCACAAAACTGAGACAGTAAAACTAAGTGCTATCCTCAACCACTGACAACGGGAGGAAACAAATGAATAATAAAGATGCAGCATTTCACTGCTGAACACAGTCTGTCCTGTTTTTTGTCATCCAAAAAAGAAAAAATGGAATAATGACACACGGTATTTTAAAAAAGAGACACGAGAGCTGTGAGTCATGAACCAGTTAGCCAAGTTATCACAAAGATGTGTAATACCCGCAACAGCTAATTCTATCTAATGACTGTACATTGAATTTCTCCAATACGTTAGAAAAGATGTGGAAAAGAAAACTACATGTGTTCATTTCTTCACTTGAGTTTGATGTTATTGTGGTTATCATGGGCGCTTATGAGCAACATCTGTCAGCCCAGGATGGAGTCAGGGTTTTGCATGTTTAACCGACTAACGGTTACTGTCTCTATGCTGTAATGGTTACTTCCACTATGCTACAATTATTTACTAGCAGCGCTGGAGACAGGCGACGTCTCAAAGCACAGCAGAGCCCAGTTTGACAGTAGTTTAATCTGGTTAATAGGGGTAGGAGAAAAAATCAATACAGCATAGTATTGCAATATTTTGTCTGGTGATATATCGTATGAAGTATCGATTTTTCAGATTAATTGCTAATGTGAAGTCAAATCTATGACAATGGAAAAATTAAATCAACTGTTTGTCCAGTGAGGTTGGCAGAGGTGACGTCATAAAGCAGGAGAAAGTTAGTACAACAAATATATATAAGGTTTGCAAGATGTGCTACATGAGAATAAAATACAGCGTAAATAAGACAACATAGTGGAAAGCCAAACGCTAAATTAGCTTACAGTTGAAAAATATGTATAGATCACAATATATCGTATTGCAAAACTCACTGTCTTGTAAAATGTTAAAAACAGCAATAATATCGTATCATGGCCCAAGTATCGTGATAATATCGTATCGTGGGGCCAGTGGTGATTCCCACCCCTACTGGTAGATGTCAATAACACTGAGCGAAGGCTGTTGGTTGAAAACAGTTGGAACCCCCCCGCCTCCTTTCACCATTTCAACCTAATCAACCTAACCTAAGAAAACCTGATATGCTAGATTTTATTTACATTTATATGGACGATGCTAAAAACTAAGCTCCAAATAAATATAACATTATTCTTAAATCCCACAGACACATAAAAGGAGGTAAGTTTTGGTCTACTGTCATTTAAGGACTTAACTCACTGAAAGCTCCTGTGTATGTTGGCTGGGTGAGATCTTTTGGCACTTTCCGGTAGATATCAAATCTGAGGAGAGAGAGAGAGAAAGAGAAGAGAGGGGGGATGGGGGGGTCAAGAAAAATAACAGGGAGAGAGAAAGAGTGAGTGAGAAAAAAAAAAGAAATTGTCAACACTACGTGCTGTGAAAATAAGCACATTCTGTACCCATAAGGCAGTGCGATATTACAGAAGAGTGGTGGAATGTTAGCTCTGGACCAACGCCATTACACACAACAGGTCCAGACAGCCAGCCGTACAGCCAGCCGCAACACACACACACACACACACACACACACACACACACACACACACACACACACACACACACACTATGTGGACACACAAATACACACTTATTATAGGGTGTCACCTCTTCCTCTGAATGTGTGCTCTGTAATTCTGACCTGACCCCAACAAAGGTCTCTGACGCTCAACATACACATAGAAATACACACTATCAGCACACACCTTCACTGCTGAAAGAGACACACGCTGTGATTTAAACATAACGGTATCACACACCTCAGATTTTATCCTAAGATCTTCCTGGCCCTAAAAGTTTGAGTTATGATCAAAATAAATACCACGAGTGTGGGATTGAGCAAGTTGATCCCGAAATTCAGAAATGTAGGGGAAAAGGCATATTAGGTGTTAAAAAGTGAAAGCAGAAGTGCAGGAGACTCGTCACCACCTGACACAATCAGCTCTCTTCTTGTGAAATCCTTGTTGCCTATTTGGGGAGCTGAGAGGAGGAAAAATTCTGCTGCTCAACACCAAAACTATTTGGGTTCATGTGTTCTTGCGCATGTCCTTTTTTGGGGAGTGAAATATTTTTGACCCCAAACTGCGCTGACTTTGCAAACCCCGCCCACTCATCTCTCCTCTCCTTTCTCATCTCCGTCAAAAAAAACAAAAAACTCTCACATCTGTTCAAATTTCTTCCTCCGAGAGCCGCCGGTGAAATAATCTCAGCTGATGCAATGCAGGGCGGAGGAGGAAGTGGGAGGGTGGGTCTCCTGTCCAGCCCTGACCCTGCTGCTTTGTCTGTTTAGCTTCGGCTCCTGCTCTCACTCCTTTGTTTTTATCTACAACACAAAGACCCCTGAATAATCCTAAACACCCCAGCCAGCTTCCCTAGATCTCTTCCTCTTCCTCTGATCCCCATCAATCTATAACCTCCTGCAGCCGTGTCCTATTAGGTCACTGTATGCGAATAGCAGGCCGGACAGGAAATATAGGGCAGACGGCATGAAGAGGAGCTGGGTGGATGTGCTAAGGGAGGGGTTGCTCTGTATCAGGGTGAGAATAACTTTGAGACTACCACATTTCCTGGATGTTAAGCTTTACCGTGACACTACTTTCTCAAGTTCTTCTAGTCCCAGTAATTTCAGCCTGAGAGCATCAGACAGGTGGGGCACAGCGTTAAACACCATTATCCCATGAAATCCTTGAAAGTCTGGTTTTATTTATGTTCAGCTTTGGAGAATTTTATGCTCCCAGTGTTCATGACCAACATTATTTTTGTTTTTTGTTGTCATTTTTGGCTGTATCAGACAAGACAGCTTAAGAGAAAGGAGAAGCAGCAAATGTTCTTGGCCAGGATTTGGAGCAGTCCTCCAAGGGTTTCTTTCAAAGCATTTCAAATCTTTTAGAGGTCAGAACCACCCAAAAAGCCTTTGGTCCCCTGGTAGATTTACTCAACAGCAATCGACCTATGGACAAATCCAGCACACAATTTGTGTGTGGTACACCTCGCATGGCTGTAATTACAACAGAGGCAACTTAGCATTGACTGCTGCCTGATAACTAGCTGATCCAAATTCTCAGTCCAGAATCAATCTACCTGCTCACCATTATCATGCTAAATACACAGTGTGGCTGTATTTTGGCTCTGTGGTTAAATCTCACACTCCATAGAGACTGTAGTTGTCAAAGCAGGCCCGGGTTTGAATCTGACCTGCTGCGTTATGACTCTCCTCATTCTCTTGTCTTGGTTTCCTACTCGAACCCCTGTCCCATCCTCTGAGTAAAAACATGACAAAGCCTCTGGAAAAGATGTCTTTGATATACAGAGTGCAATAGCAGATACATTTAAGTTAGTAAGCCCTGTGTTTTTCTATAATTTAATTTTTTAATTTTGAAAAACAAAACTGACTGAAAAAACATGTAAATAGAGAAAAAAGGAGAGGCATGAGATTTACCACCATACCTCACTGTACTCCTTCATTTCTCAAATTGTTTTTTTGTTTGTTTGTTTTTAATCAGACACACTCCTCAATTCAATTACTTCCTGGAGCTGGAGCTGAACTTGGAAAGACTGCTTTTTGTTACTCCGCCCCTGACTCCTGGAACAAGTTGCTGCAACTCCTTGGCATAAATGCACTTTTGGACATTTTAGAAATTTGATTTAGAGTCGACTAACTTCTGTTTCAAACTGTTTCATTTAAGTGTACCTTTAGTTTTATCACTAGAATCATCTGTCGTTTTCAAAAAACTGTTGTTGTACATTCTAGCTCTATCTTACAAATCTTGTCTTTATTATACTTTTGTATCCTTTTGATTTCAAGCAAGAATTTTTCCAATTTAGTTATTTCATTGGCCTCAAATCAATCTCAGTTCTTTTCTCCATAAATGCTTTGTGGGCTGTCTTTTGACTGCTTAAGTTAAATTAAGTTAAATTAAATTTAGTAAAGTCTGTGGCCCAGATGAGCAAGAAACAAACAAACAACAAAACAAAACATGCCATCAGTGTGAATGTGACATTAGGGCTGGCCTCAAATCAATGTCACGATATATTGAACAGTTCCCTTCAATAACGATAAATGGACGATAACTACTCCACAAGCTGCTCACCCCCTCCCACATTAACTTCTTCTACTTCAGCCACCTACAACTTTTGAACCGTCCTCCATCTCCTCACCTGTCTTTCCCTCTTTATTACAGACTGGATGGGGTGGAGTCATGTCTCCCACGTAGGACAGTGTCTTAAAGGGACATGAGGCCATCGTCTACCTACACACATCCAAAACCAACTTTTATTTATTCATTTTTTGGCACTGAATACATTGACATGGGCAAAATGGCATCGGTTAGTGTCAGAAATTTCGGTATTGGTAAATTAAAGTGATACAGAGCATTTTATAAGTACAGTCCACCATTTCAGTCCATTTACTTAAGAGTACTCTCAAGCTACATTTTGACTGCTGTTGATGGGGCAGCCTATGGGCAGTAACTCCTGCAAACAGCTGGTCTACTTCTGACGTCAAGTTCTCAAGTCTATATATGAGTCCAGGTTATAAATAATGGTAGAAATCCTCACACTTGCTGTAGGATCACTGCCATTTTTAGCAGTCACCGCCTCCCAGCTGCTAATATCAGACATGATCGAGGGAACACAATCTCACTTCACAGGTCCACCAAACACGTGATATGGAATCTGACTCTACTTGTGAACTGTAAATAGTCGAAGCTTACACACAGTCAGCATCTGCCTCGAAGAATTGTGACTGGCAGTCCAAAACAAAAACCCTGGTAGCCTGACAATGACCTCAATGTAGGGATGATAAAGACGACGTACAGTAAATCAGTGTTTGTGTTAAATTCTTGACTGATTTTCTACAGATGTAAGACACTTCACTCCACATCAAAGATTATAAGAGCCAGCTGAAGGGAGTCAAACTCATTTTACCTCTGCCTGTGGGATAAACTTGAGATAAACTGGTAAATAAAGTAGCATCTAAAAAATGTCATAACACATTATTTTCTGAGAATACACTAGAATATCATCTGAAAATTAATTGATATCTTTTGAGAAATGATGTATTAAGTGAGGTCTGTTTCTTTCCAAAACGAAAACACTGCTAGCTTAATGCCCTCTTAACGGTTTTGTTATTCTTGTAACTCTGTCAAAATTCAATTTAAAAATAAAATAAAATATTGGGACATCTTACCTCCCCTCTACCTTTGTTACGGTCAGGTTTTCTTATACTAAAGGTTGCAGTGGGGCTTAGTTTCACCTCATTACCTGTGCTCAGAACACTTTGTATTCATGAGTGTTAATGTTGACTCGATGATGTCCATCCTTGACGTTTGTAATTTCCTGAATTACAGTCAGTACATCTCCCTACATCACTTCCTACTGCTCAGTGGTGTGTGAAGGGGCTCAGATGTTTTTTGATTAGAGTACACGCTGTACCGGCATCTCTATGTTGACACCACAGGGTTGCTTTTTTAAGAAAAGGACCTTACTAAATTAACCATAGAGCTCACAAATGAGTCACTTATGAGTCAGTGGTTCTTGTTTTGAAGCAATGGGGTGAAAAACTACCTAAACTATTCTTTATTTTACATACGATCATCTCGCATCACAAGACAACATTTATGCCTACTTCCTTTTTTCTATCCAGCCATCTGCCTAACATGTACGTCAAAACCAGCAAACAGTTACTGTCAAGATAAGACGGCCACTGACACTGAGCATCCTTCCTTCAGCGCTTAGTCGCAGTGATCTAATCATCACAGGAGCAAACACACTACATCATCAGCTCAGCACAAACCAAACCTCCTTTGTCAATAAATGACATAAGCTGAGGGTCAATTAAGCTCAGACATAAATGCTGTTGTCCTCTTATTCATACTGAAGAAAAGATGTTCAGTCACTCTGAATGAGCTTCTCTTGATGAATAGAGACTGTGACATCACGGCTGAACAGCATCCCGAACAGAAGACGGTTTATTCTGATTTTGACAATTTAAAGTCAGTGATGTATTATGACAGCAAATACTCACAACATTAAAACTAGCTTCCATCAATATTTTTTAGCAACTGGAAAAAAAAATGCTTAATGACTGTGAATTTAATGCCTCACTGCATTAAAAACTGACTTGACTCTGTAGTGGGAATAACTACATGAGCTCAGAATCAGTCAAGACTGCTGTCTGTTTATACAGTTAACACTATACCTGAAAAGGCATCTTAAATGCAAAACAATTCATACAATTATTGGAGCAACAAGTGCTGCCAGCTAGACAATGCTGTTTTTTCAATAAAGCAATAACACGCCAAACCTTATTCTGCGTGCGTGCAAGTGACATGACATGGCATAGGGGTAAAAGAGCCTGGGTACTAAAACAACCTGTCTGTAGTCCCAAGTTGACAGAGAGAACCCTGACCTATCAAACTGCCTTAAAATCCTTTATCAGACAAGCATGGAAAAACGTAAAAATTTCAAAATTGGCTCACAAATATTTTATCATTTCAGTTTTGTCGTGTTGTCTTCGTGTTACAGGTGGCAGTATTAAATTGTTCTTTTTTTGTTGACGAACAACAGTTTACAATCTGCGATTGGTAGTAGTCCTTAAGAATAAACAGATGAAGCATTGTTAGCTAATGCCAACCCCATGATTCACAACAACACAAATCTGGGAACACAGGGGAAATGTTTATCAGTCTTTATAATTCCATGCTATCAGTAAAGAAATATACCAATTACACAACCAGTCATAGAAACCTGTGAGATTGGGATTAAGTGTCACAGACAGATATTGAGATACACAAAAAGACAGTTTTGGTTTTGTTTTCCATACTGGATGTTGATGATTAGAACTGTGAGAAAAAAATGGACCAAAGTTTTCTTCTGATGTGGTTAAAACAGTCATTTGTCCATTAAACCACAGCATTCTGGGAATACATGCTATCTCATTACATGGTGTAATCTACGGTAAGCTACGCTACACTGTTTGCGACACACTGTCATACTGCTGACTAACCTACCAGTGTTTCTGAGTGGGTGAAACCTCACTGTTAAGTAGTTGGTAAATCGAGCTATTTCCAGTTGTTGCAATGCTGGTTTTGTAAAAACAGGGCATGAAGTTAGCGAAGCATCTTAACAGGATATGACCACATCATGACACCATGACACACATGCTCTCACACGACTATCAAGTACAGGTCACCTACTGTGGTGTCAACGAGAGTTTACAACAGAGCCTCTATGCTGACAAATTCATTCTGTCATTACAACAAAGCTGTGGTCAGTGGAAAAAATGAGGGTAGATAAACAGGAGGAAACAGACCGAGAAAAATGCTTATCACAGTCCCACTAAACTTAGGATGAAATAAAATGAAGAAAAAATGAGAACACTTGTGTGCTATTTTCTTTTCTTTTTAAAGCCTCCCTTTCCTGTAATATTGTAAAAGAAACGTGGGGTCATTTTTTTTTTTACAAGATTACAATTTCAGTTAGCAGACACTTTTATTGAAAACGACGTACACACGAATTATACACCAGTGGGGGACACACACTGGGAGCAAGGTAGGTTAAGTGTCTTGCCCAAGGACACAACAGACAGACTAGGGGTAGGGGGGAATCAAACTGCCAACCTCGCAGTTGTTGGACAACCGCTCTGCCTCCAAAGCTACTGCCGCCCCCATTTAATCAATTATTAATTCAAAAGAAATCAAGAAGCAGTAGGGATGGGAATTGAGAACCATTTCTTGTTGAGAACCGGTTCCAAATGGTTCAATCCATTGACATCATTTACATTTTATCTTAACGATTCCCTTAACGATTCCTTTCTTCTAGGTGCCGTGAAAAGTGGTCTCGTAAGAGCCAATCTACGAGAACAGTGACAAGGAAAAAAACATGTCTGAGAGCACAAAAATTAGGCAGAAACGATCTGAAGTGTGGCTCAATTTGACTAAGAAAGATGTCCTGTGTTAACATTAGCACAATGCTTGCCAGACTTAACAACATATTATGTATTTGACCTAATACCGACCGAAGTAGATGCTGTAAATATAGTTTGTTGTTCGATTATTTTTAGACTCTCACTAAAAGTGGCATACATCTTTTTCTGTTAACAAAGACTCAATAAAATTGGAGTTAACGGTGAAAATCTATAGTCTACTTTTTTTTTTTTAAATCAAAGAAAGGCATTGTTCAGGGAATCATTAAAGAATTGAATCGATAAGCAGAATCAATAATGGAATTGTTATCGATAAAATCTTATCAATTCCCATCCCTAAAAAGCAGCCATTTTGATGTCATAAATTATAGAAATTATGACATTGTCTCTTGCTTAAGCTTACCAAATGTAGGGACTAACTGTCTTTTAGTCATTTAATTGTACTCTATTTTAAGGTACTTGGATAAAAGTGTAGTGAACTACTTTGTCTTCTGGGCAGTTTTAGTGTTTTTATCTGATATAAACAAATTAAACTACTTAATACTATTTGGTTCAACCATGGCCGTCCTACATGATTTCATTTTGGTAGCAGAGGCAACCCTTTCCTCTCTTCAGTACAGGGTTGTATACATAAGGGTTTGACAGAGCAGTTAGTATCTGTCCCCAAGCTCTGCAAACATCCTGTCCATTAAATTAATAGGGTGTGCTCTGATGATAGTTTCAACAGCTTCATAGGTGAGGCTCTTACATGTGGCTCTGTGTTTCTGTGCCCAATTATCGATAGATTCTCTCATTGTCTGTGTAATAGTGTATTCTGAAAGGCAACCTGTCAGTGATAGCTGTGTACTGGTGGCTAATGATACTAGTATTGTGTATTTGGGAAAGCATACCGGGCTGAAATGTAAATTAGACGATACAATGGTTGTAAAATTTGTTGGGTAAAACATGCAGCTATGAAAAGCCGTTGTCAACTGGAAACTAGTCCCGGGGTCACTGTGCTCACTTTCACGTCTTAGAAAAATGAGGATGGATGTGGACATCTGCACATGCGCAGAAAGAAACCAAGACAAAAACTCCTACCTGAGCATCACTCAGACTCCTAAAACAGTCGACAGCCCTCGCTACAATAGAGTCCATTCATGCCAAAAGTGAGCCAAGACTGTTTCAACTTTCTCCCACTCATTAGAAAAGATTTCTTCACAAACAGTTTATTCATCATCTCTAGCTCACAGACTGCACAACAAACACCCCCGCCTCTTCTTCTGTGAGAAAAACACGGAGGAAAGCCCGTACTCACCTCCTAACATCGAAAGGCATGGTGTTTGCGGGTTACACGGGGGGAATAGCAGACAAAGCTACAAACAACGGGAGACCACACAGACCTCTTCAACGCTACCGGGTGTTCATCGGTACCGGGCTGACGTCAGCTTAGGACGCTTTGCAAAAGCTGATTGGTCAGCGGATACTTCCTGTTCACGCTGATTCTGTTTCCGTCTTGAGCGCAAAATAATTTTTATCAAATATATTTTTTAAAGGGTTTTCTATTCATCAAAGATACAACCTAGAAACACGTTGTCTAAACAAAGAAGGAAAAATAAAATTATACAAATAGTCAACTAAAAGATAATTGTTAAATGAAATAGATTAAGATGTATGTACATACTTTATATGTAAAAAAATGTGTTTTTAAAGAGAGATAGATTAAAATATTTGATACCTGTAATAGTTACTTTTGTTTTACAGGATGACTATAGTGTGTGATAAGCATTCCATTCTTCACAGTCACCCTACACAGAAAAAAATTGATCTAAACATATAAAAGTACATTAAACCACAATTATATAGATAGATAGATAGATAGATAGATAGATAGATAGATAGATAGATAGATAGATAGATAGATAGATAGATAGATAGATAGATAGATAGATAGATAGATAGATAGATAGATAGATAGAGTGAGTTATGAATAGCAGGGGATAATTTTGAGCTGTACTGGTTAAGTCAATATGTGTTGGACGTCAGGTTTTTAATATTATTATTATTATCATTATTGTATTTTGTTTGTTTATTTGATTGTTTTTGTTTTTTAATCTGAGGGTGTCAATATGTTTCCTTTTTAATCCTTTCGCTAGAGGTAAAATTTGATGCCAGGCCTTTTCTTCCTTTTCTTGGATTGGATGTAGGTTTTGCTATTTCAAACAGATTTACTTAAATGCCAGAATTTGCATTTTTTTTTTTATTAAAAGTCTGGAAACTTCCCTCACAACTGTTAAAGTCAGGCACAGCCTAACCATAACATTTTATTATATAGCTCCTAATTGTCTCTGGGATTTTTGACCACTTCATGTTTACAGACACATGATATAATGATCTAAGTTTGCCCATATTTCACTGTCAGTCAGTGAGTAACATCTTGTTGCCCAAACAGCAGGTCATAATCCATGTGTGCAGAGTAACTATAAATCATCTTTATATAATTTTTAGTGATTACATTTAAGACATTGCTTTAACCTAGCAACACATCAGCCAATAATGGTTAAAAAACATAACTTGTTAAGAGTGAAATAGTAATGAGAAAAAAAAACCTTGCAAAGAGTCTATGATTGCAGTATCTTCAAAGATTATTTTCAAAGACCGGTAGGTAGTTTTTTTTTTTTTTTTATCTCAAGGATTATCTTTCAGGAGTTAAAGGTCTTTTTTCCCACGGCAGAAATGGAAAAATACAGCACACGCGTGGCTGTTTTCCTGTATGCAGATGATGAAGGTCTCCCTAATCCAATATATGCATGAAACATGACATCCAAGTTTAAACATGTCTGTTTTAGAAACAGAAAAGTCAGGACAGACCCTGTGTTTTCCCACAGTGGCTCAGTTGTTGCCCATAGCGACAATGACAGTAAACAGTCAGAGATGACAGCAATCGACAGCTCTATACAGACCACAGGAAATGCCTTTTTGTCATCCTCTGTTTCACTTCCCTTTCTGGATGAGAGCCGCACTTGGTCGTGAGCCACAGTTATGGGAATCTAAAACACAGCAACAACTTGGGTGCTATTTTCAGACCCCAATATCAACAATCTGACACACACTGAACAGACTCAGAATTTTTTTCTTTATTTATTGTAAGGCGAGTTTTGGTTTCCTGAGTTATTGGCGGCTGAAGAAAGATAGGGTTTAGCTGGTTATGTTTATGTAAAGCTTTGGAAAGTACTAATATCATTGGTGTCAGTGGCAGCTGCTTTCAAATTAGAATAAGATGGAAGTGAGCTTCTTTTGCTTGGTGGGAATTGCTTCACCCGGCTTCATCTGTGCAGGACGTCACGGTGTACCCCTTATTTTCCCAGCATGTACGTCTTCAACATGACTGAGAGGAAGACACGTTCAAATTGAGGACAAAATGTTTGAGTACAGACTGTTTTCAGTTTGACCCTCCTCCCCTGTATAGTGTAACATTCCTGCTTTGTGGCATGTGCCTCACAGTTGACTCATCTCACTGGAGTGTGAGGTTAAACTAGCAGGAGAGTTTTTGCACTCTGTTGTGATTGGAGACGTTTATGTCCTCTAAGTTTCCCCTTCCATCTCCCTCTTCCTTTCTCACATCACACATCTACAGTGTGCTCCCTTTTGCTTGAAGTCAAGATGGCCTGGATGTGGATTGAGTGAGCTGAAAGTCTTCACTTGTTCAGGTCACAGTAAAGTGAGAATGATGTCATGGCCTACATAGTGTATGTCAGCCTTAATCCAGTTGAAGCAATAAACACATAAAACTCTTATCACATAAACCATGACAGCTCAGTGAAACACATTTTAACAAATTAAAAATTAAATCTTTAGGGCACACCATAACATGTCTACAAGCCCTCATTAAGACTAATGGGACCCTGTCAAGCTGAAACTGAAGACAATTGGACTACAGAGCCCTGTTGCAACATAACCTGTTAAATCTACTCAGTAAACATTTGTTTCACAACAAAACAACCCCAGAGTGTCTCTGCTGTTAAGTTTCTACACACCCTTTTGTCAGCGTAGACGCCTGTTGTCGGTCAATAATAGTCCTCCTGGTTTCTTATTATGACACAGGAGTGTTGCCCACTCTGAGTCAGCAAGCAGATAAATACAAAGGGTTTCCCAAAGTGACAGTAATCCTCATTAAAATATAGTCAAATACAAGGATGGGAAAAAAAACCTCACCAAATGAAACAAAAACTGACAAGTCAAGAGGTCTCCAACAGCTGTGGTCTTCCTGGTAGACTGGTGTTTTGTTTCTCAGCATGTGGAAATTTACTGGACTTCAGATTTCTATACAGTGATTAACTTTTATGGTTGGCCTTTGCTCTCGGCGCATTGAACACTATGTACCTCTGACTAATAAAAACAAAGAATAAACTTTTATGGCTCCCTGGCAGATATTTACTTATTATCTTGTTATTTGTCAACTCTCAGGTGAAGAGGCAAAATAGAAATCTAATTAAACACTAACATCATGGAAAATTTGGCAACACAAAGAAATTAAAATACCAGCTCTCAAAATTAAAGGAAACATTGGGTTAATTGTGATTTTAATTATAGATTTTATTATTCACATAAGTGTCATTTTATGGGAATATCTTCACATAAGATCTCCAAGAAACAGATAAAACAAGGAGGGAGTGAATAAAAACACAGATATAACTCTGTCTCACATAAATTTGCTTGACACCGCGTGCCCGCATACGTGCACTCCGTTTGTACAGAGATGTCTCGCTTGTGCGCGAGCCCTGTTCTGTCCTACTGCCATTGGTGGGGGGAAGGGGGATGACGTCCACACTTCTGGCACGGAGCCAAAAGAGGCGGTCGCCTGACGTCAGTGCCTTCTCATTCACAAGCACGAGCCGTGTATATAAATCGTCCGGAGCACTCTTGAAGTAGAAACCACTCGGTAAAAAAGTTAGGCCTATTAAACTTTCTAAGAAGGAACACAACATCCGGATACACTCAAGAAGAAGAAGACAGGACCGGCTTCGATAAAACTTTTTTTTCCCTGACTTGTTTTGTTTTTGTCACATATCAAGCTACCCGGAACAAAGGACTCAGCCGCTCGAATTACTTGGTAACTTTTGGGGGAAAAAGTTACTCTCTACAACAGCTTTTGTTTTCCTAGCTTTATGTATTTGGATTTAACCTTCTACTTCAGTCGTTCTACTATGGTCATAATGGAGGTCCCGACCATCGACAGTGCGTCCCTCCGTGGCTCGTTGGAGGGCGACGTCCCGGGCTGCCTGGTGCTCGACTGCCGATCCTTCCTCTCCTTCAACTCGTCCCACATATCGGGCTCCACCAACGTGCGCTTCAGCACTATAGTCCGCAGGAGGGCCAGAGGGGGTCTGGGGCTTGAACACATCGTCCCCAACGAGGACACGAGAAACAGGCTCCTCTCAGGGGAGTATGAGTCTGTGGTACTGCTTGACGACCGCAGTTTGGACTTAAGCCAGGCTAAGAAAGACGGGACTCTGATGCTGGCTGTTACGGCTCTCTGTCGCGATCCTTGTGGAGCAAGAGTTTTTATCCTAAAAGGTAAGCGAAAACAAGTAGTTCCCTTGTTTAAAGAGCCGAGCACAATTGTTTGACTGTATCTTAACAACGGGGCAACAAATGCGGATTACAGCTGTCACCACACCAGCTGGCTCTGGAGTAAACAATGTTCCAAAATAGCCCCCTGAGCAGTTGTCACCTTTTAAGAGACCCATATTTAAACATGGATATGTCTTTGTGCTGTCCTATTAAATGACCACTCTTCTGTTTTTTCTTCCCTTTCCAGGTGGTTTTGACACATTTTCCTCAGAGTATCCTGAGATGTGCACCAAACCTTCCCCTCCCCAAGGACTGAGTTTGCCACTGAGCTCTGGTCACCCAGGGAGCGCAGACCCAAGCTGTAGTCCATGCAACACCCCTCTATATGACCAGGTTTGTATTATATTGAGTTCACAGCACACACTGTTTTCTTGTTTCTGGTTTTACATTAGGTGTTGACTGAAGTTTATTCCCCTCTGTTTAGGGAGGTCCTGTGGAGATCTTGCCTTTCCTGTACCTTGGCAGTGCCTACCATGCTTCAAGAAAGGACATGCTGGACATGCTGGGTATCACGGCTCTTATCAACGTTTCTGCCAACTGCCCCAACCACTTTGAGGACTCCTTCCTGTACAAGAGCATACCCGTCGAAGACAACCACAAAGCAGATATCAGCTCCTGGTTCAACGAGGCGATCGAGTTTATCGGTGAGCATAAACACCTTTTTTTATTTACAGTCTTACCCGCCAAATGTGAGAGCCTATCACAGCTGTCACCCCCTGAGCCAGTTGAAGAAACACAAACAACCACCCACCCCCCACTTCTCCCTTTGACTCCTGGATTTAAATTTTAAAAAGTTCCCTCCAAAACCGACCAGCTGGCTCTGCACAGGCTCCCTGCTTCACCACAATGGTGGTTACATCATTGCCACCTTCCAGGCGGAGAAAAAGGGATGCCCCCTCTTAATGAGTTGCAGAGCAGAGGCTCCAAACTGGTTCTGTAGTAAAGAGGCTGGCCAGGCTTGAATGGCTCCCCCTCCACGTCGCTCTTTGTTCTGGCCTAACAAAAGGCAATTTCTCCTCACTCACTGTCGGCCTTCCTCCCAGATCAATACCCCCAGCAGGGGTCTGTACCCCTCCTTTGTCTATTCAGACTGCCTCCATTGGGAATACCCCCCAAGCTCACACCCTGCACCCCTAACTCTGTTCCTGTGTTTTAATGAGTGCTCTTGAATTTAAACAGCAGTGGAAAGTGTTGCAGACTTTTGTGGTTTGGGCTTCCTGTGACAGGCGGAGTGTTAGCTACACCTTTTGAAAAAACAACCCATCATGTGATAGATGTTTACAGAGTTGTAATGTTTGTTTTCCTTCTCTCTCCCTTCCAGATTCTGTAAGAAACAAAGGAGGCCGAGTGTTTGTGCACTGTCAAGCCGGCATCTCGCGCTCTGCCACAATTTGCCTCGCCTACCTCATGAGGACGAACCGGGTGAAGCTCGACGAGGCCTTTGAGTTTGTTAAGCAGCGCCGCAGCATCATCTCCCCAAACTTCAGCTTCATGGGTCAGCTGCTCCAGTTTGAGTCCCAGGTTCTGGCTTCATCGACCTGCTCTTCAGAAGCAGGGAGCCCGGCCATCGGCAACAGCAGCACAGTCTTTAACTTCCCTGTCTCTATCCCTGTACACACCTCTGCCGGTCAGCTCTCGTTCCTCCACAGTCCCATCACCACATCTCCTAGCTGCTGAGAAAGGAGAGGCCAGCACAGACATTTTATGAACTTGAACTGACACAAAACCAAACTTTGATCATGACCTGTTCAGTGGTGATACTGGTATCACCAGACAGCACAGAAGAAGCTATCATTTGAGTCAGTTTATTTGACTCTGCCAGTCAAGTTTCTGTGTATATGGGTGTCATCATTTCAAAGGGAGATTGAAGCTACCATGAGGCAGTATTCTACTTTTACCTCCTAAATGTGAAATCATCCAGTCAATCCTAGGTGGCTTTATGAATGGCTGAAAGAAGATGAGGTTATTCAAGTAGAGGAAGTCTGAAGTACCTGAATATTCTTTATTCATTTTTTTTTTTTTCAATGAAGGCAACTGCTGTTGATAATCAGAATCATTTTGAAGAAAACAAAGAGCAGAGGGCTAACAGTTGTCTCAGGAAAGTTAACTAACCCCCTCTACTTTGTTCAAGAAAGCAATCTGTGGCGTGGATGTTGCTACTTCATGTGACGAACAATGAATGTATCCCCGTGTTTTTAGAGCAGAGGTGGCAGAGATCTTCTTGTTCAGTTTGAGAGTTGAATGGGTTGCCAAATCAGATGCAAAAGCCTGCCTTTCAAAATGTCATGAAACCTTGACGATCCTGACGCTTTGGGGAAACGGACCATTAAATACCTCATGTTTCTGTACTGTGTGCTGCAGCACTGACATAACACAACCCCGACAACTAAAAAAAGGGGTGATGTGGTCTTCAGCGGCTGCATCCTGACATATTTATTGAACTAAAGTAATATATTTCTTTATCATATCTATTTTTGCATATGTTTGTTCGTATGTTGTTTTTATACTGATGAATAAATCATTTGACTTTTTATAAACACTCAAACTTTCTTTCCTTTGCTTTGTAGCTACAGAATAGAGATCGGGGTTGTCAGAGGCTTAACATGGGAAGTGAATCAAATCAATTATTACTGACCTACTACTTATTTAGTTGTGCAGTAAATTATACCATGTTTACCAGTTATTCACCACAATCACATTTGCCATGTCACTCAGCACACTTCACAAATGAAATATAAATCATATATAATGTTCTAAAGTAACATCTTTTAAAGTCATACCACTTCAGTTCTTAATGCAAAGACAATTTCTGAGTTATTTCTCCCAAAGTTACATAAAACTTTCTTTTCAATAGTGACATGTACATAAAAGCTTATTTTGGTGTCTCTGAAATGAACAATACAAACTCTTGAAGGTCACAGACCTGAGGTCAAAGCGATGCACTGGCATGTCCCCAGCTTTCCCTGTTTTTGTTCTCTTTGAAGGAATCCTACCATATATCTGCATTAAGAATTAACCCTTATACAAGGCATGATGTCATGGCGTGGGCCATTGTCGGGGCCACACTCCTTCTCTGTGAACCGGTGTGAGATCAGGGCAGCAGCAGGAGGCCAAAAGACTCAGCCAAGGAGCCCCTCCCTCTGGGGCCACAATAGGAGCAGCTGCGAGGCGTTTGGGAAAAGTGTGACAACTAAAGAGCATTCAGGGCTCAGTCAAGCAGTGGCCTTGTGTCCCCTGCCTCACTCACCAATAAGGAGGTGGAGACAGAGATGGCCGTGAAAGGGAAAGGAATATGTTTGGTTTGCAAATTAGCCAAAACATTGGCTGTGACCCTCAGAGGAGTGTGAGAAAAAAAGGAAAACTTCCTCCTAAGGTGATTACAGAGATGATCCCACAAGGTCTTCCCATTCAAAATAGGTGTCTTAGATTAAAAAAAATACTGAAATTCTCTGTCAGTTTCCCTTCAGAGCACAGACTATACACATGACAGTATGTCTTTTTTGAACCGATGTTCATCTCTCATCTGTGACAGCGATGCAAATGTTTGTGTCTGAAAGCAACCATCACTGTGACGCTAACTCTGTGCTGAAAGCCTCATTCATTACCTCACCAGCCTCCTCAGACAAGCTGTGGTTTGGGTGACATATGTGCAACTCCTCAACCCCCCCAACCACACCAGCCCCTCTGCCTTTGTGTCTTTAGATTTCCTGTTGTCAGGAGGGGGGCTGGCAGCAGCGTGTGTGTTTGTGTCTCCGTGTGTGTGAAAGTCGTTAGGCGTCTTTTATGATCTGATGAGGGTGCTTTGGAGGGAAAAAAGCCCTCAGTCAACTGCCAGATGATGGACATTAAGGTGTTGGGATGTGGAAATGAGTGTGTGGGTGTGTGAGACTGTCTGTGTGTGGTGTGAGGCAATGTCAAGGTGTTATCAAAATTTGTCCAAACTCTGCAACAAAGCTTTGAATTTTGACCAAAATAGAAATCACATTATTTCTTCCTCAGTGTGGTCGATACATTCACTCTTATCATAGCCTCTTGTTTTTTTGTCAGTATTATTCAAATATAAATGACCTTAATGTCACTTTGTTGTCAGTTGGCTGTTCAATTTCACAGCTAAGCTTTGACTCAACATCAAAGTCCTTTTAATTAACACCAACCTAAGAAAACAAAGCTTATATAATGCGTCTGACTCTGCTGCCATGACAGGAAGGGACATAATCCCACTCCTCCCTTTTAGCACTGTTCACTTTGGATCAAATACAGCAGCTCTGTTTTCGCTCTTATGTAAGACACATGACTTTATGACATCAGGAGACATATTCCCACATCTTTCAGGAATGTGGCTGGCACATCTGAATTTAATGGGACCGGATGTTTGAAAAAACCATTAAAACTCCCTGATCTGTTTGAATATCACAAAGTGGAAATATTTAGGGAAGGACAGTTCAGATATTGAATTTCCCCTCGTGGATCAATAAGGTTCTTCTTATCTTATCAAATAATGAAATGTCCCGATGAAAGTTACTTCATTAAATAGTTTGATTAAGTATGAGCCCATTTTAAGTTTCATTTTACGTCACAACAGCATGCTGTAAAAACGATTGTTAACCTTTTTAAGGGCGAAAATTCTCAGAGATGTAGAGCCAAGTTTAAGAAGAAAAAGTTCATATTACATGAATAGATTCATCGAGTCATGAGAAAAGTCATCATTTGATGTTCACTCAGTCAGCCCCCTGAACTTAAATGAGGAATGTAGAACATCTTGTGACATTACATTTGAGCGCTTAAATAACTGAATATGTCGTCTTTTAGCACTAAAGCACCACATCATCATAAATAACAGGACTCTGAATCGATTTAAGACTGGGCAGTCTGAACGGCAGCCTCAGTATGTTTTCAAAAACAGTTTGTCCTCAGCGATTAAACACAACCTCACAAGATGATCTCTCTTCCTGATTTTGTGCAGGCAGCTGGTGCTCCTCTGATGTCCCCATGTACCTAATTTAACAAATAGATTAATATTGCCTGTAACTCTGGCTTTTACGTAATACAAAATCTATTCTCATAAGACTTCCCTTATCCTTGTAAATTTATGTTTCTAATCTTGAGCAACATGTTCATTTTTGGAAAAACTACAACTCATTTTTTCAAATAGATTTACCATTTTTCCTGTTAGTTTTCAGCAAGTCTCATTAAAGAGTTCATTCTTGTATCTGACCCCTTTTTTGAATTTTACAACTTTAACCTTGTGAAACCATGACTTATTCAGTCACAACAAAACTACGATTACATCTTTATTGTTGAAATCTCAAAGTGTTATCATCCTTAATGCAGCCCAGTCCTATAACAGCAAGATGAAGTTTTCCATTTGAAAACACAGCTTATACAAGGTGGACAAAATAAGTAAAGTGTGAAACCTAACACAAACCTTCAGCTCCTAACAGGAGCTTTAAAATAGCAATGAGGAACTCAAGCATCTATCCTTGGGCCCCAGATGGTAAAACGCTTTTATATATCTGTTTTACAGTTATCTTGTGGGGAGAGAGGTCATTCTTTCCTGTTAGTTTCTTTTGGCCTCCATGTACATCTCTCCAGCCCTCTCTGATTCAACAGCCCTTTAAAGAGTTAAATCAAACAGGGATGGCCTTCATTTAGAGATCCCACTTTCAAGGTTGTAACCTGGTTTGACATATTTGCTCTGGCAGGATTTAGACAAGCAGATCGTACTGCAGGTAAAAAAGTTAACATCAACTGATGCATTTTTTTCTGCACATTTTGCAAGTTACACTATCTGATCACAAAAGATGTGTCTATAAATGCATGGGATATTATGTTTCAGCCTAATTTATAACTGTCATTAACATGTGACTGACAAATTTTAGTTAAAAATAAGCAGTAATCTGCAGTTTGACTTTACTGTCTTTGTTCAGCTTAACATCAGTATTCAGTTCCTGTAAAACTGTGTTCTATCTCTGAGCTTAGACATTGTTTCTTTAACCAGTGACAAAGGTCAAAATTACACAACAGACTTCTCCAAATGAGCAACTTTGACAAAGATAAATCTGCATCAAACCAGAAATACCTCAGCTGTACGCTACCATGACAACAAGACAAAAACAGACCCAAAATTTCTCAGAAGTGAAGACCCACTAAACTTAACCGCACTTCCTGAGTGAGGAAGTAACATGCGAACACAATTGCAGTCTGATTAGTCGAGGATGCAAAGTAATTACACCTCTCACCGTTTACCCTACCTCCAAACTTAATTAATTTAGTCTCTCACTCACACACACACACATAGACCTCCATTCTCACTCACGCACAATATCCTGAGTGGGGAGATTTAGTCCACACATTGATGTCAACGGCACACTACTCACCTGCAGTAAATCTGTAAGAGGATTAAGAGTGTGACGGTAGGCCTCAGTAACATGTTTCAGCTGTGGCGTCATATTGGCTTCTTCTAATCTTTACATCAGCACCAAGTGAAGACGTTCGCAAACAGTCTGTCGAGCCAGATGCCAAATCTCATGCTGGTTTTGTTGCTACAGGGTCAGCTGTGAGCTTTTCTGTAAAAGAGGGCGATGTCTCCAAGCCAAAAGATACCTTGGAAATGTAAAATTAGCAGAGACATGCTACAGGTACCATGTATTACATGAATTCTTAAGACAGAATATAACAGTAGTAATTAGTTGTGTGATAGGCTTATTATTTAATCCGCACACGATATTGAAGACCCTGAAATACACAACCCCAAAAGTTGGGATGCTATGTAAAATGTGAAAAAAAGGTAGATTTTAATGGTTGACAAATCAGTTGACAAATGGTTGATAAACTTTGCAAAGACTTCTTGACTAATTACATATTAGAAACTGGACTTTTTAGTGAAAAATGGGTGCTCATTTAAAGTCAGTTAGGACTGGGATGTGTTGACCATTGAGTCCCTTAAGCTCTACTTTCAACAACACTCTGTTAACATTTGAGATCTGACAAAACCAGTTTCTAGAGTTCTGGAGGTGAAATGTTCCACACAGGCCTGATACTGGATTTTCTGCTCCTAACCAGTTTGCATCTCCTTTGTTGTTTATGATCAAAAGAATGTACACATTTTGATTTGTTGGGTTGCCGAACAGTTCTACATTTTACCTCATTTCACTTTTAATGGGCTTGGCTTCGTTTTTTTTTTTTTTTGGACCATGTGTTTTCCTCTTTGCATTTTCCAGTTTTAAACCTGCATTTGTGGGTAAAGCTACAGACAGGAAGGGATTATGAAGCCATGCAGTGATTTCCATTATAGAGTCATTTCAGATTTTAATGCAGTGTTGCCTGAGGGCCAAAGATCTCCACCAACCAGTATTGGCTTATGGCCTTGTACCGTTTGTAAAGAGATTTCTTCAGATTCTCTGAATCTTGTCATGACATTATTGGCCATGATAAAATCCCCAAAGCCTTTGCAATTTTATTTGAAACTTACAGACTTATCCCTGCTGTTCCCCCCCAAAAGTTACAGGAGGTCTTTCTATCAGGCTCTATTAGGCCCTACAGCACAGTTGCATACGCTCTTCAGGGTCAAAAAGATTGAGAACCACAACCTCCACTGAATGTAAACATTACAACTACATTTGTGATACATCCAGGGGGAAAGCCTACATCTAAAATATTACTGTTGTGGTAGAATTACGCAAAAACAAAATTAAATAATTCAAGTGGAGTCTTGTTGAAGAGCACTACTGTACCAAAACCACAGGAAATTTAAATTATTTATATTTAAAAAAGTACAATTAAATGAAACAACTTAGTGGGCAACAACAAAAGTTTCTTCAGAGCTGTCTCTATATGGGACAGTCTTTAAGGTTCCAGGTCACTTTGTAAGAGCCATCCCTTTAAGCTAAAAGATAATAAAGGTGTTGCTGTTTACTTTTTCCTTATTTTATTTTATTATTTTTACAGTGGTATGTGTTTTTACACTGTGCCAATAACAACAAGACAAACTGTATTTGGAGAAAAGGACACATATCTACAAAATCACAGCTTTTCATGACATTCCTACACAAAGGTCTACCAGAGGCCCTGCAGAGAAGCCAGACGAACTGCAATTGCGTGACAGGAACTGAGATAAGGCCAGATCTGTAGCAGAGATTGTATGGCCATAGGAATGTCAGGCTAAAGACATTACGTATGGCCGAAGAGAAGTGGCTTTTCCTCACTAGCAGGCTGCCCCTTCCTCTCACAACCCCATTAGGAATGTGAGACGAATGTGGAAGAGGAACTAAGCTGGCTGTAAAGGCGTGTGTACTGCTGTATCATATAGGGCATCTGTGCAGGAGTTGTATAACCTTTACGTCCTATTGTGTTAGAAGTTGTTCCACCTGTTTAGATAAGGGGCAGCAACTATGCATGCATGTAAAGGAGGGCAATAAACTCTAAAAACTACAGTATGTGCAAAGAAACCATTAGATGCATAAAAGGAGCAGTTTTTTAAAAAAATATAATGTGTAAAATCAGGTCAGATAGTAAACGAAACACCCAAATATGACATCCATCAATGTCCCAATGCCTCAATCACATCACTGAGTCTCAGCAGAGTCAGTATTTTTCCACTCGCTGGAGGTGCAGGGTTGTGTTCACAAGCAGAAGTGAGATCCTGTGTGGAGTATTCAAGGAATTTCTGGCATCCTGCCTTCTAAACCGGCTGCACTCTGGGTCGGTGATGTCACACCCAAAGAACATACAGACAAGCAGACATAAATCACCTGAGGCCTCGGCAGATGTGCACAGCAGCTAAAAACATTAAAATTCCTTGTTGTGTTTTGACTCTATGTAAGCATTGTCAGTCAAAGGTAACAGGTTTACATAAGCAAAAACAACATGTTGGCTATGACGACAGTTATAGCACCTCATTCGATACCACGCATGGCTTGTTTGTCTGGGTTTTATCAGTTATCTGTGACCTCAAAGCATCACAAAACCAAAATAAGCCTCATTGTGGTCAAAGCCAAAGCACAAACTGATGCACTGCTGAAAGCAATGACAAGTGAGAGTGTAATCTTCCTCTTGTCAGCGCTAAAGTACCTCAGTGAGAGGCTTCAGTCCTGCTTCAGAGGCTTGAAGGCTCAAGGCTAAAATGTGATTGAGACACGGTCAGTCCAGATCCTGACAAACCACATGTGCTTTCTCACAAAAGCTTTCTTACAAGTTGCAGCAGATCCCACATGACTGAGAAATGACCAGTCATATGTTTCAACTGGTGCAAAATTATAACCTCAATTTCAAAGATGTTCGGACATTGTTTGAAATACTGAAACTTATGTAAATGGTTTGAAAATCATTTAACCTTTTTAGTAATTTAAGTGTTACGAAGACAACAAATCAGATGATGAAACTGAACAATTTGAATGCTTTATGAAAGATGTGTGCTCATTTTTTGATTTGATGTTGCTGACATTTTATCACAAAAGATGGGACAAAGGTCTGTTTAGCATTGTGTTGTATTCGTTCTTCTTTTGACAACTCTGTAAATGCTCGATAACCAAAGAAACCAGCAGTTTGTGAAGTTTTGAAAGTGAAATGTTGTTCTGATTTTAGCTTGATTGAGAATTCAGCTCTTTGTCATATATTGTGTTTTATGAGAAGCTGAATAATTTCAATAGGTGATATGTCCTGACTGTAGACAGTCCAGTTTATTACCACTCTTCTACCAAAGAGCCATGCTGCTGTTTTTGATGCACAACATGAAATGTGTGTTTCCTGAAAAAGGCATTTGTTACCTGGCAGCATATGTTACCTATATTGTTCAGCTTTAATGGTGCCCTCCAAAGTGTGTAAAGCTGCCTAGTGGTGAGCATTTATGCATCCTCGGACCGTTGAGGATGTTGGTTTTGGAACTGTGCACACAAAACAAGTCCTGTGGTTCCTCTCTTTTGTCTATTATTTCTAAAAACACTGTCAAATTTTGATTTATCAGACCAGGAGACAATCTTCCACTTTATTTTAGTCGATCTTAAATGGGCCCAAATAAGTCATATTTATAAACCTTTCCCCTTTTTCATGTTATCACAATTTCAACCTGCATTTGTATACGCAGCATCAATCAGTGTTACAGATCTTTTGTTTGTTTGAGGTGGTTTAAAGGCCATGCAGTAATTTTCCCTCCAGAGTCATCTGCTGCTTGAAGCCCAAACACGGTCAGAGCCATCCAGTGTTGGTTTTAGTCCTGGTCCCATTTGTAAAGATTTATCTAGTTCTGCTAAATATTTCAGTGATAGGACTTAACATACATGACAGAATATCCAAGGAATTCACAGAGGAACATTGCTCTGAAATTTTTGAACCGTTTGCTCATATTGCCCGTATTAACATCTGAGAGCCTCAGCCTCTCTGGAGTGACCTTTTGTAACTACCCATTGCAGAGCAACCTTTTACACAAGAGATTTTTTTTCAGTACTACACAACTTTTCAATGCTTTGATGTCTCTGTGTGTACTTTTGTAAAACACAAGCTTGCACCAAATTTAGAATGAACACTTTTTCTGTTGATAAAACGTTTGATATGTTGTCTGTGTACCATTTTGGATCAAATATAGGGAAAGAATGACATTCAAATCATCAAAATATTTTTTTTTACTCAAAATGTAAAGAAATATTCCTACTTTTTTTGGAATTAAGGTTGTAATGTAGCTGTTTAATTGTGAAAAAAAGGTTTAAGTCTTTTTTATCACATTCACATTTAGCTTTGATATGAGTTTGTGTGTTATTTAGGTTTAAACATTTGAGTCAAGTGAGGATACTGCACCTAAAGTTAAGCCCAGTATTGATTTAGGTAGTTAAATGGTTTATAATGTTTATTTAATTAGATGACGGATGTTTGTCTGTGACTCAAGCATGGCAATCTTTGCCCTGAAGTGATCTTGGAGCAATGATGACTAACCGCCAGGTTTGGCCACATCGTGACAGTCATCTCATTTTGGTGTTGTTTTTTTCCTATGCAGTGACACATCTCCAGTGTGTGAATTCATGCCTTCATGCTCTACTTTATTGTGCTTTTTTTATTTTTAAAGTTTATGTAAAACTTATCTGATGAATACTCTTAATTTAGACTCTTTCCTATTTTTTCTTCCACACAACTGACACAATAAATGAGATTTGTTAAAATTATGTTTTTGCAAATGAAGTATGCTCATACAGCCTCTTCACTTCAGGATAGCAAATGTAACCTACTTTTGAGGGCCCTTTTGGTCATGGGCCAAATACATGTCATAGCTTGTCCCCATTATGGGGCCCTTGTAAAAGATAGAAACAAGAGGCCACTCTAACTAAAGGCATACTGGATGGAGAAATGCTCTCAACAATGGTTATGAATCATGGCTGGTTTTGTGAAAAGGAAGTTTCCTCAGTTACAGTTCATGTGAAGAAAAGCAACTAAACTAAAGCAACTAAAGCATGACAGGAAGCAAGGCATGATGGGCCATCAATTTTCATTCTTTTTACTCAGTATCATATCCCAATAAAAGGTTAATCATAACACTTTATGATTTCAGCCCTAGCACATCAGATATCTGATTTGTTCTGCATGTTTTATGATCAAGATCTTTCAAAAATATGTTGAACTTTTTGAATGTCACTCCTCATTAACTGTTAAATGTTGAGTATGAACTGCATCGGGTGAATAAGGCTCAACAGTTTTAATAAGAAACCAAAAATTCAGACTGGTTTCTCAGCAGTTAATGTTGAACATAAACCCAGTATGGTACATCACTCATTCATCGGTCCCTGAGGAGTCTTCACAGTACTTTCTTTTCTTTGACTTGATTGGGTGTTGGTGCCATCTCTTGGTCTATATCCAGTATTACCGTTTACTAAGTATAATCCTTCATGAGGATTTTCAATTGTACTTTCTTCAGTTAAAATTGTTTACCCTCACCTTTTATAAGCAATTATGTTAGCTCAGTCAGACAGCTCTCAGCACCACAGTTTGAATACGCAATCTAGACCCCATATTTACTTTCACCTCACATGTTCGGAAATTGAAGGAAGTTTAATCTCAAAGTCTAAGTTGACACACGAAGAGGTTGAGAAATGAATGGATCAGTGTGGGTGTAGAAAAATTGACAGCATTTAGTCAAACACAGATACACTGATCATGAGCATGAGCAGAGGATGTTAGACTAACCTGACCTGTGGCTTCTAGTAGTGTAGTGTATTTTCAAACCAGCTATTCAAATGTGAACTTCAGGCAAACAAACACTCTGGGTCCAAAGGACGAAAACTGCTGAGCTGGCTGGATAAGCTGAGAAAAAGCCTTGACTCTTATTGGTCAAACTCAAGGTTTCTGATTCAAACTGTTAACTTTCAACCAGGGATGTTAATGAGTAACTCGTCTGTTGTGCCAGCTTCAACAAGCAATTTAGAGGGAAATGTGTCCACTCAGCTATCTGATATCTGATTTGTTCTGCATGTTTTATGA